CGCTGCTGGAACTTGCCCCACTTGGCCATCAGCTCCTGGTGGGCGATTTGCCCGCCCAACTCAATGGCCCAGCAATGCAGGTTGACCTCGTCGCCTCCCACGTGAAACATATCAGTCACGTTCGTGAGGTATACCAGGTCTAGATACAGGTTGCCCAGCACGGAGTAGACCCGCTCACTGTCCGGGTTTAGCTGCCCGCAGGGAGGTTCCTCGCAGAACACGTTCCAGGGCTGGCGGTTTAAACACAAACTGAGATTTCTCCCCCACTGCCAACCGTTTCCAGCGTGCGCAGGCGCGTCCACCTCCACAAGTATTCGCACTCCCCGCACGCGAGCGTATGCCACGAGATCGGCCACATCGCGCGTACTGTACGTCTCGTCGGGCGAATACGCGCCGTGACGAACCATACTGGGCACGTGCGGGGAGTCGAACGGGAAGCTGTGCGAGTCGGAGATGTGCCAGTGCAGTGCATTCAGTTTGGAGGCGGCCAATCCGTCCACTGCGGCACGGAGGGCGCGTAGAGGCAGGAAGTTGCGGCCAGTGTCCAACAGCACCCCTCGGTGTGGAAAGCTGGGAGCGTCGCGAATATGGGCACTCGTGAGGACCCGCAGGGTTGAGTCGTCCCACCACACTAGCTGCGACAATGTCTCCAGGCCGTGGCGTGCCCCGAAGAACGTCTGCGCTCGAACATCGGCACGCAGCTTCCCTGCGCCTGTGTGTCGTACTACCAGCAGGTAGCTCTCGTTGGTGCCGAGTGTCAGCAGAGGATCGCGGTCTGCACTGTACACCTCCACACTCACCACAAACTCACTCAGAGACCTCCCGCCGGGATCCTCGGTGCTTGAGTCAGGCACCAGGGACTCCAGGTTCCCGCGAAACACGTCAAACGCTTGCTCAAGCAGGCGTCGAACCTGGGAACTCCGCACTTCAAGCCGCAGCACCAGCAGACGGAAGGGAACTGACTGCAACCCGAAGTCCGCGACCCCAGTCGGGCGTGGCCACAGAGGCACGGCGCCGCACATCATACGGCAAGTGGCGAGCGATATGCGGTCACCCCGCGGCTCACGGCGCACACAGTGCTGAGCCTCGCAGGCCCAAGTCCAAAGGCTGTCCGCTACCCTGCAGACAGCACACGGTTACCTAGCGCTCTGACAAAAGCGAGCAGCTGCACAGAGGCTACAGAATGACTCGTCACCTGGGCTTTCTGATCCTTATGGCGGTCTGTAGGTCCTCGAGTCGGCCCCAGTACAGGAGCGCGATCAGCCCCACGCCAAACACCGACAGGGTGAGCAGCCCCTTGCGCAGGCGGTCAGCACCCATCTGCAGGCAAGACAACAGTCCGACCCGTGGGCAGTGAATTGTGAATGTATCAAAAACACAGTGGCTCATGACGGGCTACACTGTTCAGGCATTTGTGGGTTCCCTCGACCTCTCCAGGTAAATGCCAAAATAGGACACTGAATTAGGCCATGACTCCTTCCTTCAATATCCTTTCCAATTCGTTGTTCGCTAATCATTCAGCGCTATACATCGTGAGCTCAAATTTCAAAACACGTGTTCAGGCGGAAAATTTGTAGGCTGTGTCAACACCTGTGAGTACTGCAGTTCTGATGGAGAACTGACAAGCGAATGCCTGCTCTCCATACTAGTCGGCACATGAAAAATAATTAATAATGTTTATCGATTATTACGAACCGTCATACACATTTAACGCAACCAGCCGCTGTCTTACTAAATCACTGAGTGGTCTTAGTTACCTGTTTAGTGACTCTTGTCACCACATACATGCCGATGATGAACAAAATGAAAATGACTTGACTGAATACCACAATACGAAATTGTGGGTCGTCGGGTCTTCCACCCGATTTCCCTACCCTCGGAGCGGCCGTAGTTTTAAAAGTTATCTACTGATATGTTAAATAAAGGGGGCAACATGAAGAGGTGCCGTGGGCCGCATCCGGCCCGCAGGCAGTAGCTTTAAACTCAAAGTATAAAGTGCATAACAGAGACAACGTATATTTCGTATCGTGTTTCTCTTCATCGTGTTGACGAACCCTTAAATTATAAATGCAGGATTATTATACATAGTAATGCAGAATATTCATTTTTGGAAGTTAAATGCGCCGGGGGGCGCAAGGTTGAAGGTTCCCCTAGGGCGCCAAATACCCTTGCGTTGGCCCTGAGTATACAAACGCATTTACCACTGTTACCGCTGTATCGTAATTCAGCGCCGTGAGGAAATGTTACCGCTGTGCCAACGCGAACGGTGAGCATGGCCCCAGGAAAGTGTATGCAAATTGGCACAGTGCCAATCAGGAAAATGAGAGTAACTTCACAGGCAACACACTTAAAGCTTCCCAAAACGCTGAGGCTGTCCTGCATTGCAGGGGCTCCCAGATGGTCCCACTACCATGAAGGTTCACACCAAAAAATTTGCATTTATTTCTTGTTTCAACCAGTTCTGATTACACTGCCTTCCGCCCAAACATCCACACGACTCAAAAGAAAGAAAACACGAGACATTCGTTTTGTATAACCTCAGCCTTCGGAGCAAAGGTGCAATTTACAGAACTACCCCCGCACCATCCCTACACCCTGCACGTCACTAATAGCAGGGCCCAAGTCACGCGATTTTGTCAATACAGGCCACGCCCCGTGTTGACGTCACGTTTCGGAGCTGCGTGATCGTGTTACGTGACTCGGCTGCGCCTCCAGTTTTCCAAACAGCCAGAGCTCCAACGTGCCGGCGGCTATGAGGTGAGGCAAACCCATGCACTGCGACGACCGAAAATGTTTTCTTCTGTCCTCCGACAGTGACTGTGTAATGGCGACATTTTCAAATCTGCTGCAACCCGCGGTTGCCCGAACAAGTGACAATGCGAGACAAGTGTAATGCCATGCCATGTCCGTGAAACGCCTGGCGGTGCTGGCCGCGACGCAGTCCGATGGCTACATCGTCAACAATAACATGACGTCATTTCCCGGGGCGCGAGCCGGCATCCCGCTCCATGGCAACGTCAACGTTCTGCTGAGTGGGTGAGTCTGCTGGCCATGACAACTGTTACATCCGACGTACATTTAGTTTTCTTGCATCAATGCCGTAACACATTGGCTGATGCAGCGCTGCAACACCACAATTCCCGGAACAATCAGTACACGGCTCTCTGACGCCGGTCTGGTCTTCGGTCTTATTTTAAGAACACGACAACTCGAGGAAGCAAAAGACGGCAAATGACAGACAATTAACGAACCGTTCGTAATTCGTCAGGACAAGGTACGAGACGGTCGTTTCTTTCTGGTGCTGTGGAGTATGAAACGAAACACGAGTTAATGTTTTTACTTTATATCAGTACGCCTATAATTAAAATCGACGGACAACTGGCTTCATGAAAGCACGTTATCTTTATACCGGGGGAAAATCCAGGATTGTCCCGGACAAAACACTTGAAAATGAAAGTCGTACCATAAATAATTTTTATATTTCACATCAAAATGGCGAAATATTACACGGCACGCGAAAATCGACCGAAATTATGAATTTCTCCAAGGCCGGCTTTAAGTCACCAACGACAGTCTGTGCAAAAGGTTTCGTGTTCGCTTAGTTACGGCGCGAAATCGATCCCGTCAGAAGCACTGAACCAACCGTGCTTAAATTACGACTCTAGCCCTGTCTGAACGTCATGCGGTTCGAAATATCTTACTGAGACAGCGTCGGTTACAGTGCAAGCAGTGATCTGTCTGCTCAGAAGCAAATGACGGACGAATGGCGCGATCGATAGCACCCATCTTCGAGTTCTTGCTCGAAAGTCAGACTGTGCAATCGTGGCCCAGACAAAGTGTCAAGAAACTCCCCTACGTTTAAGGTACCCGACGGTTTATTATAGCAAACCCCACGAGAACGTAGAATAAGTGCTCGGTAGGAGTCAGTCAACTGCTACAGGAGCAAAAATGGGTGGGTGTAAGTGAACGGATAATTTGAAAATGTTGTCTACGTTACCAAAAAATGAATTCGGTACTGCACACCGTAGGCAACACTTCACACTCAATCAAGCAGCTTGAAAACCTTCTCGTACCTACTCTCACTGCACTAAATGTAGCCAACCTGACGTCCGTTCCTTGTCTGGTGAAGCCACAAACTTCATGCGCTATGCCACGACACCGGAAACTCTTGCGATAAGCCCCTCACAAGGGTTTCCGTTTATAGCTAGGGCTGGACGGGAAACATTTCGCTTCGTTTGTTCATTCAGGGTTTTGAAAGAAAGCGCACAGCACTGGCTTTCAATATAGTTGATTACTGCATCAAAATCTGTCAGTCCGTTCCAAGAGATGAAACAGCCTCTTATTTTCGGGTTTTCAAGTACACTCTCCGTTTTCCCAGACAAGCGTTTTCTTACGACAGTTAATGTTACGACAGATAACCTTCCCGCTCCAGTATTATCAGTATCAGCATCGGACAACAAAAGCTGAAGCAATAATTTGTTGGAGTTACGAAAACAACAATAACGGCGTCAGGAAACGGTATTCAACGTCGCACGGCAATTCCAAGCAGCGTAGTCGACATAATGAGCCTGCGCGTGACCGTGTCGTAATGCGTCTGTCCTCTGCTATAGGGTGATGCTGAGTGGCCTAGTCCTCCTGGTGTTTCTCATCTGCTACTGTTGCCATCGCAACGTAAACAAGAACTCGGAAAGACGCAGCGAAATGTACCTACAAGAGCCGCTGGAGGTCTTTACCGTTGACGAGCAGGTGAGTTGACAGCAACGAGGCAGCCGAAGGTAGTAACAGGATGAAAAGCTGGTGGTAGGTTCCGCAAAACAAACTCCGGGCAAGACAACGAGCAGCGGGTGTCTGGGTCCAGATTACAACTTGCTCCAAAACACGCGTAGCTCCTACTGGCGCCGAGAGGGACCAACAGACGCTTTGGAGATTCGAACCCGGTCGCTATTAGTGGACGCCTGTCGGTGTTATACACACCAATAGAAATATTTTCGTAAACACCAATATAAAATTCGTCACACTGGAAATGTGCGGTGCATATAGTAGGCCACCCACAAATATTTACTTAACGTACGCCATAAAATGTCCCAGATAAAAGTCACTCAATCAAAATTTTCAGTAATTAATTTATATTTCAGCAAAGTTGGAATAATTTCCGATCGATAAATAGAAAAACTAAAATGAAGCTTAAATTATCAACATCGAATTCAATCAAAATCTATCCAGTAGTTAAATGGACAGACGAAAACGATGCAGGACCTGCCAACAGCAGCGTTTCTGAGTCCCCACGCCACAAATTTAACTGTTTAATTACAAATAAGTATTCTGCAGTACAATCGTAAGGACACTTCTTACAATGTATCCTCTAGCATTTACTTATCAGCAGAAAACTGGGGGGAACAGAGCGCACTCTGATACTTGCAAGACATTCGTTTGTTAGTGACGGTAATATGAGGCCAACAGATGTCCCTCGTGTTGCATCTACCGTGGTTACACTAAGCTCCAGTATCGCGGTTTGAATCCCGCTGACTACGGTGGTCAATCCCGAGAATTGACTCCACAAGAAAAATATGTTTTTAAACTACGCTAGTCTAAAAAGTAACAAAATGACTGACGTATAAATCGATTCAAAAATAATTCTGTCAGTGCAAGGTATCCTATCTTCACATATTGCAGTGCCCTGACGTGTTCCTGCAACCGGACCCCTGCCCCCAGACTGCCTCCAGCCCGCCCCCGACCTACGAGGCCGTCATAAGGGACAGACCCCGGAAGAAGGTCGAAGAAGAGGACGACAGCGGACTGCCTACGTACCAGGCGGCGCTGCGACTGGCGGCTCAGGGCTACGTATGAGCAACGCAGAAAGCCAAAATATGAGAGAAATGAACGCACGATGGGGAGACCATGTTCTTCTGTTAGCCTGCTTCGTTTCCAAAAGAAAGTGGTACATTCTGGTCCGCAGTAACAGTCGGTGTCGAACAATAACGAACCCCTAATTTACGCGAGGCTGAAGCACCCTAAAACGGCCCGTCGTGTGAAAAGGAACTTAAAATAAAATACGTTTTTCGATGTAAAAAATGTTTAACGAAACACGACGGGCAGCAATGTAGTAGCATCGCTCGTTTCAGTTGTGGGTTGTGTTGTGACAATGTGTGGTCTTGCAGGTGGTTCGAAAGGTTTAGGAGGAATTTCTTGTCTCCATCTTACATCTACCCGAAGGACATATTGTGATATGTTCTTTGGAAACGCTGGTAACCACACGGCTCCGATAAAAAAAAAACATTTTCGCCGCCATGAAAAACTCAGATCTCGTGTTTCAACTTCTTCCGCCAAACACCGAATTAAGCCATGCAGCAACTTTGGATGTGCAACACGCAACTGGTGGCTGCTGTGGTACAGCACCATCAATGCAGTAATCAAAATTTCACACAAATACCAAGATAACCGAACACCCCGAGAACTACGAATAAACCGCACGGCATCACAAGCTGATATAAAGGGTGGAATAAACTTCTATCTTCGTCACAAGGTTCCCTGAAATCTGAGCCATGTCTGCAACAAACATTTTCACAAGTTGGTCCATAATTAACTACATACCGTTCCAGAAGTTAGTGCCTACCGAAGTGTTATATACCAACCAGTTAAATCCCCAGTGATAGTGAAATGAACTAATAGAATTTGAGGTAACATTTGAATTTGCGGCTGTCCACTAAACCTTTTTCTGAATTAGTTCACATTACAAAACTGTCTCCGTCTCCCCGTGAGGTTTCATGGCCAATATTTGGCCCGTCTCAACCTTCCAGACTGAGTAGCAAAATACGAATCTTTTCGTAATGCACTGTTCCGTAACCCTATCAGCCGTTCGTAAGTCATCGTGCGTTTTTCCTCTGCAAAGAAGAAACAACGGACCTGAAACGCTTGAGTGTTGTGTTTTTATTCTCGGCAGTTCGCTTTAACTAAGAGTACAACAGGATCAGTGGATTCTAATAAGCTTTACATGTGAGCCCAAAGTCAACAAAGACATACGATTATTGATGAACGACTCTCGGGCAAAAACCCGTGTCAGGTGGCTGAATGGTGAATACACCATATCTTCTGTTAACGTTTCAAGAGCCATCTCTGCTCTCATCCTCAGGGCAGCTGCGTAACAAACTAGTCCTCTGTAGCGCTCTGTACCCACACTGACGATCCCCAATAATTTAATTCACATATGGAGTTAATCTCGCCAGAAGAATGTTGGATAGAACTTTGTATGAGGTTGATAGTACAGAAATTCCTCGGTAATTACCACACTCAGTCTTGTCCCCCTTATTATGAATAGGAATAATTATGGATTCCTTCCATTGTTGTGGCATCTCTTCCTTATCCCAAATTAACTGAATAAGCTTATGGATCCTCATATGCAACCCTTTGCCACCTGCTTTAATTAATTCGGCTGGAATTTGATCGATACGTGGAGATTTATAACTTTTCAACTTTCCAATGACTAATTCAACTTCATCTAAACTAGGTTCTGGCACTAACAGTTCAGCTGTATGTATTTTAATCTAACTTCATCAGACCCGTGCCCATTTAAGAGCTGGTTAAAGAAATGTTTCCAACTATTCAAAATTTGTATTGGATCTACAAGTAAATTGCCACCCTTTCTTAAAATCATTTATGCCTCTGTACAGATCTGGCTTTCAGATTAGGCCCGAGAAAATCAGGGGTGCGAAAGTAAGAGGCCGTGGCCAATTACAATATACCTTGTCATTCAATCATTCATTCATCTCGGAGAATAAAAAGAACGCAGGCCATAACTTGCTGGTATTCGAACCGGCGATCTGCTGACATGCGGTGTTGAAAATTATAGAAAGTATCACGAGTTTGATCGAGACACCTGTCAGAACTGAAGCTGCCTGCAATTAACAGCTTCCTATGTATGCGGTAGAGGAATAACATCAAAGCAGTAACGCATGACGATGTAGAACTCTTGTTCCAAAGGAGTGCACTCGGCTGAACAAAGCCTTCTGCTGGTGCTTATATCGTTAGACAAATCAATGGGCGCCAGCGTATGAAATCCGCGTCGCTTAGCAACGACAGCAAACACACACGAACAACTGAAAAAGTACTTCGGCTTAATTTCTAATTTATACTTCTTCCAATCGAAACGCTGCTGAGTATTGGGGTATTTTCAATACCTACGTCTCTTCTGTAAGAGCACTCCCTCATCGAGACGTGACTCGATGGCGTGGAACACTTACTTTATATCGTTCAACTGTATTCCAACTAAAACTTTTAAAACGCAATTTTTCTGAGCCACATACACTACAGATCGACATGTCAGTCAAACCCCTAGGACTAGGCCTTCGACGTCGAAGGCCAGCCCACAAAGGACGCCCTGAAAGGGGTGCGAGGACACGAGACGACTTCCGGGCACATGGTTTCGCATCCTTAGAGATGGGACGGATTGACACGACAAGCCCGCCTACCTCAGACAGTGCTTCGCATCCTGACTCCGGTGAGTCCCTTGAAACCGGTCCTGATTCTGGGCATCTCTGGTGACAAGTAAAATTATGAAGCTCGTAAAGTTTCGTTTCAGAGACGTTCTTTACGAGAATGCATAACATGAACACAAAAACATCACGCAATAACGGCAGCACGCAACATGTCGAGAAATTGCAGCACACTCATGCAGTCGCAAGTATGGTCGATACCAGCGCTATCGATACTTGAGAACAACACAACGCCATCAATCAGGATCACTTCGTTCTCTTACAAACTAACTACAAATGTGACTAGCTGACTCAAAATACATACATATACAAAACAAATGACAAAATAACAAAGTAATTAAAATCGTAAGCAAGTAACTCTACAGTTGCCGACTATCCCTGCCAATCGTCGATATTTTGGAACACGAACGTTCATGACCGCAATCACCAAAGCTCGCCATTTGCATTCTGTGCAAAGACGTTGCAACTACCACGACCTTCAATAATGTAACTCACTTCGGAACAATCTCGTCCTGTGCCGCCCCGAGGTTTGCCTTCGTGACATAATGCTATACAAACTCTGAAAATGAAACAGCGTCGTTAAATAACCAAAGAGGCAGTCAATCTAAACAGCATGCCACTTGTCTCGGGAGATCTTCAATTGCTGTTGTTATGGGGTCTGTGGAACTGGGTCGCTAATGGGCCCTGCGTCTATCCCCCAGATGATCTTCTTCTTAAAGTGCCTGTCCGTTCCGGATGTTGGCTTTCAGCACAGCAATTTGAGCTTTACTGGCTGCTACTTGAAACAGCCCTCCAGTGGACATCGATAACCAAGTTTTTAGGTTCTGAAGCCAGGAGATTCTTGGCCTGCCAGGCCCCCTCTTTCCGAATACTTTCCCTCGATTATAAGCTGAAGCAGCCCGTATCTACCAATATTTCACATGATATGACCGAAATCACGGTGGTCTAGTGGTCAGAACACTAGCCTTGTAAGCCTGGGGTCCCGGGTTCAATTCCCGGAGGTGCTCAAATTTATAACTTGTGTTGGGCAAGGCCGTGGTCTAGGCATCACAGAGTTTTCCTCCGGGGGCTTCCCCGGTTTCTCCGTGGCATCCCAACAATTACTCCATTCACACACAGAAGAAGGCAATGGCAAACCACTTCTGATCATCTCTGCCAAGAATGTATATATGTATGAGCAGGTCCCTGACAACCTGAAGAGGTTGGAAGGATCCTGTTCATGATATATGGACCTGTCGTCAGACAGAACACTACAAATAAAAAAAAATGACCGAAATATTCCAACTTTCTCTTTTTTATGGTGTTAACAACCTCAAGGTCTTTAAAGGAAATTCTGAAAATACGAGTGAATATGGAGCAGCGGTGGAATGGTACTGACAGCACAAAACCGAAGGAATCGACGAGAAACCCGTCTCAGTGCCAGTTGGTACACCATAAATCCCAAATGGACTGGCCTGGAGGTGATCTCCGGAGTCCGCGATGAGAAACCGAGTAACCGCTTGAGTTGTGGCTCGGCAGCGACCTTCGGTTGCTGGACCAAGGTCGTGTTACGAAACAGATGCCAATCGAACTCTGACTGTGCAACTCAACTACAGTATGTTTCTCAGATATATCATCAGTGTTTTCAGACGAGTAGCAAGCCGCGTGAAGTGGCGTTGCACACACGTCCCGGCAACATGAACTCTGGCGAATATCGAACGCAGCTGTCGAGTGGTTAGCATTGCAGATTCGTTTCTGGGAAGTCCGAGGTTCAAATCCCGGTCCACGGACCTGATATCTTGTCTCAGGCATTTCTTGGTTTTCCTAACTCCTCCAAGGACCTTTCAACAGGCCACGACAGCTTCCTTCCATTTCCAATTCATTATTAATTAATCAACTTATCATCAGACACTACATAATATGAGCTACTGATAAAGTCGTTAATTAAAAACTGAAGCATGCAGAAGACAAGCGATCTAAACTGCGATTGAATCTTCTACTGAAGCCCCCTTCTCAAGCGTCAATGGGCTGAGATACGATCAACGGAACGCCCTGACAGCACAGCCACACAGAAGCTTCAACATAGTTCGAACCAAAGCCGATCATTAGGAACAATCTAGAGCCCAGATTAAAAACCTACCTCCATAAAACCCAACCAATGTTATCCTCCCATTTCCTCCTCTGTCTTAAAAGTGTTCGTTTTCCAACAAGTCTCCACATGAAAATTCTGTATGCCTTTTTGCTCCCTCATTTTATCCTTTACCCTAACAACACTTGGTGATATAAACAATCAGAAAGTTCTTCATTATAGAAAATTTAATTATTTTCTGCCCCACGTGCTCAGGATCCGCGTGTTTTCAAATGCCTGTTGATTCTTCAGGGCAGACTGGTTAGCTCACCGAGTTCATTATGTAATTCAGCATTATGAAATAAGTCAACATTGATTTGCTTCACGCTGCCTGGTTACGAAAGAGGCAGCGAGTGCCAGTGTGACAGATAACCCCAAGGCCTCTTTTATCAGACAGTAAATAAACAATCGGGGCATTGGTGTTCAGGGCAAGAACCATACGTCTAACGATTATTATATCACCGAAGTGGGCCATAAGATTACGCAGCACACAACACTGCACGAAATTAACAAATATTTCGTCTTTTGCCTTTTGAATAGACAAGAATTTCAAAACATTTGCCTGTTTTTTATTCAAAGACTCCTCGCTTCTGCATCGTTTTGTACAGCAGCCCTGCAAAACATTTCGCCAACAAAATTTCGTTTCCATTTCTTGTCTCTACAAGTGTCCGCCGAACCGAGGCTGCGCTTCAAAATAAGGACGAAGCCTAATCCTTTTACGTTTGAAAGGCAAAGTTGTCCCTGTGCTTAAGAAACGCGACGCCATGAACGCGTTTGATGCGGAGGCACAGCCTCCACAATTTCTTAACCTAGACACGATGTAGGGGTGAGTGGTCAATCCGACGCTCCTGTAGCTTCATCTCCGAGAATGAGCCTCGGTCCCACGTGACTGGAAGTTGCGTGATATTCTGGTCTGTCACTCTACTGATCGAGCTGTCCCGCTAGGAAAATTATAAAACGTTTCGAGACATAAAAATCCGTGATGTTTATACACGCTAAAATAGACAATAAAGAAACGTATTATGGAAATCACAGAGAAACTCTTAGGAATAGCTGACCGACATTTGAACCCGGGAATGCGACACAAGAGGCCGCAGCTGAGCGACTACTGGCTTTTCAGAAAGGACTCATTATCTGTGACTATGCAACCTTTCACGGGAATTGGCTTCTTCCCATCTTTTTTGACATTAGGTGGGGCTCCTTGGACGAGTGATCAGCCCGTCGCAAGGCCTCTACCCACACAGGACAGCACAACACAGACTGACGGGATTCGAAGCCACGGTTCCAGTGCCCCCCCGTGTAGTCGTTATCGAGGGCAGTTCGAATTTCTGTAAAACTGAAAATAATTTTTGTTTACGTCACAGGACAGTGGACGTACCGCCGACAAGCGTGACGGATGTCAAGTCTGAACTGGGCTGTACTTACAATACGTCACTGGCGTGATCGATTTGCTAGATTGAAACATCAGAAATATTTTAATCGATAACTAAAAATTGAACAAAAGTACTTTTCTGCCACGAATGCGGTTTCCCCGTTTTAAGGACCTGGCATTCAGCAAATTATTAAAAAGGCGATTTTTTCATGAAGCTCGTCTGTCCGCATGTTTCATCCCGGAATATAATCATCAGATTCCGATTAAATGCGTAGGCACCAGTCACACTGCTGTTGCTTGGAAACAATACAACAATGCCCATCACGCAGATCTGATCGTTGTTTTAGTATTTCGTTTGTTTCCGTAACCGAATTACGCGATGCGCATTCAGATGATTCGCCATCGGGGATGAAGACCGTTCAGTGGGCTGAGCAATCACCCAGAAGGCCGCAGCCATCATGCGGCATGTCGGGCGGGAGAACGCCAGTCACCCAGTGAAAGCCCGTCTGGCCGGTCGACATGACTGTGCCCGTTCTTGAGGCGAAGCGCTTCGTCCTGCAGGCCATGGTGGCAGTGGGCACCGTCCGGCAACACGCACAGCAGTTGGCAGACGTGTTGGTAACTGCCGATTACATGGGCCACTACAGTCACGGCCTCAACCGGCTAGGTGAGTGGCGTTCTTTACGCGCGTTTCGGGATAGTTGTTTGCGTCACATCGCAGCGTTCAACTAGATTACCGATGCAACTGATAAATGATCGTAAAATATCTGACGCCCTAACGCATGTTATAAATTATTCGGAAGTGTTTAAAAAGCCATGTTCCCGAGAACAACAGCGGCCAACATAGATGGAGTTCAGAACGAAATTCTGAATAGAAAAAACAACAACTTCTTGTTACATTGTGTTCCAATAACTGACTTTGTATTGCTGACGCTTTGCTGCACTGATAACATTTCATATCACAATTATTTACATTCACTGATATACATGACACACATTTAGAATATCATGCCCCAGTGTGTCTTGTTTCGTTCTGTACCACTGCTGAAGCTGTTATTTGTTGTTTTCGTTTCACCCTGGATGTTACAGACGTCTGCAAAGTAATGTTCTAATTGCCGGGTGTAAAAACTTCCACAAATTAGGACCATCAGAACAAGCAGTAAGCGATGATAAATGCACATACGAGACACTTCATGGTCTGCACAGACGGGCACTTGACCTAAGAATATGATGGGCTGGATGTGTAGATCGGGCTGGAAACGAATGGATGGAACTGGCTCACGATCGTCCACGAGTGGGACCAAATCGACAATTTTCCGTTTACCTGGCTAGATACGCCACTTGAAAAGCAATTAAACTAATTGCTATTAGTGTTTTAAGATAAGCCACTTGCACGTGCCATCTTTCATGATGACACAGTTTGCTAAAAACAAAGATAAAATTACATTATGTCCGTTGAGTGACTCTCGTAAAACCGTAATTCAACCAAAGTTACGCAAAATTATATCAGTTGAATATCTACATATGAGAACCGAGATAGCTCAACCAATTTAGTGACCAGACGACCGGGGTTCGATTCCCGGCAGATGCAACGATTTCTCTTCGTCACCGCTGTTTCAAAACCCAGGCACCCTTCTATCCAGTGGGTACCAGGACTCTCCGCAGGTGGAACGTCAAGCTGATCATTAATTTGAATAAAAAATTTCTTGGATATTATCCATCGTCTAGTAAAATATAAAACGACGTTTCGGAGATGGGGCTCTATCTCCGTCTTCAGGTTCCTACTCAGTTGGGCCCACTGAGAATCGCCACATCCTCAGGAAACTAACCCCTATTGTGTCCTAATAGAGAGGAACCCCGCTAGAAACGGAGAACAACACATAAGAAGAAAGAACTTCTACTTTAAATGAAGACGCACTTCGACATAATATTAAAACGATTACGTCAATGTTATTCTTGTGCCATAGGGAGGCAATGCGTTCTGTACGTCTACTCCAGATGTAATGAGTGTAAATCTTCAGGCTTTGGCCTCTTTAACCACAGTATGCAGCGGCTATGAAATTGCTCATTTGTGTTCACGCGAAGAGAATGATTCTCAAACCAAGTTGGCCGCGGTTGTCAGCACTGATTTATCCTGGTTCATAGCAGTAGCTCTTTCCATGCTACGTACGTAATAACTTGCTTCAAAAAATTTACATTTTGCTCTGCATTTATTTGGTGTTTAAAAAACTTCACTAAAAGATAAATGCCCCGTCATCTCTCAGAAACTAAAGTTGAACTATTCATGGCTTTTCAACAACACAAATTATGCCTTACCACGTAAAACTACGAACAATAAAAGCTTCCCCTTACAAAGAAACCTGTAAAGATCTGAGGGCTGGACTGAGTTCTCTGTCCCTGAGACAGTGAAATGGTCCCTTTCCACAGAAATGTACATCGCCGACATAGAAACCAAGACCACGGACCCAAACGCCCACCCAGCTGTGCTGAAGGAGTCCCCCGCCACGGCCTGGGTGGACGGCAACAATGGACTAGGCCCCGTGGTTGGTAACTTCTGCATGCAGCTCGCCATCCAGAAGGCCAAGGCCGCTGGCGTGGGCTGGGCTGTTGCAAAAGGTACGTTCGACGACCGTAATGACCTGCAAGTGTTGTGTTGGTCACTTCTTCTGGTGTACGTAGTCGAAATAATCTTATTCCTCCTCTGGTCACGAAGTCGGGCAAGAAAGACTGGCCGTCCAGAAATTCGTTTAATGGTCGCCCTGATCGTCTTTCGAAGGGTAGATCAGCAGTCAAGAACATGATATAACCAGTTGCGTCGTTTATACTGCGCCATGTCTTTTCCACTTTGGGTCCATGCCGAGTTCTTCTCAAAAGGCGTTATTCCTTCTACTGCTAATGTTTGCTGTCATACAAAATAACTCATTAACTTTCTCTGTTTCCTTCCACCCATCATCCAGCCCCCAGATTTCCACCCTTGTCATCCATCATATACTAGTGAATTATATAACTGCTCTAAAACTTAATGTTGGTGCCCTAGCCAGACATGGTGTATGTTAATACTACTTCTCCTGACTGTTCTCTCTCCTCCTCCCATCTGCGCTGCCTGCTGTCCAATACCACGCGTAGTTGGAGACCATACTGAGTGTCCACAAAATAGGAAAATAAAATGTGCCAATGACAAATTCCGTGAAACAATTGTTAGTTCGATCTTGGTATATTTTAAGTTCTTTTATTTGCAACAGCCCTACACATGGCTGCCACGCGAGTGTTAGAATCATGCAACAAGGAACCAGGAGTCTTCAAGGGAGGATGGTTATCACAATAGGATGCAGAATTGTAAACATTTTCGTCAACAAGCGAAAAAGAGCAAACCGAAAAACTGTTCTCATTTTACAATGCTTAATAAGCATTAACAGGAATTTGACATTTCCACCACGATAAACAATTACGAAAACGTTGTAATGAGCTCGATGTTGCAGGCTCTAACCACTACGGGATCGCGGGCTGGTACACGAGGACGGCCTTGGAACACGGCCTACTGGTGAGCTGTGTTTATGTGCAACGTAATGCCCCTGTTCTTTTGCGTGCCGCGTAATAATGCAGCGCTCTTTTGCAGGGCATGTCCTTCACAAACACGTCCCCACTGATGGGCCCCACCAGAGCCAAGGAGGTAAGAGGCCTGCATACAGCATCCTGAAGTACTGCCACTGTTTACTTAGACGACAGATTTCTGTAGATCCCAGCCGACAGTCGCCCCTTTCAAAACAGGCGCATCTACATCACACGATAAAATGAAACGTTAAATTTCTCTACGCAATAAAGAATTAAACATCTTTTGCGTCGCTCGCTCTGACTGATTATGCAAACACTTCAAGGCTGTCCCGTGTTTTAAGAGATTATGAATGTTTCGAGATACAAAAAAATGCGCATCAGATCCGAGCATTCTGTGGCAATTCTAAGAACGGCATAACATATAAGGCAGCAGCACCGTTTAACTATATACGGAGCCAGGAGCAAGTTCGGACATTTTCAATTTTATCATGTCCACAGGAAAGGAAATTGCACGTAAACAACCAAACTGAAAACGTTGAACCCGAGATTCTGAAGGAAATGAACGTTAACGGCCTCTTCTACACACATATTTAGGCTATATTTTCATTGTCTCTTCCTGAAACTTGCGGTGAGAAAGTCTTGTGGGCTGCACCCCATTTTCGGTTCAGTACGTGATGTGACGGCACCACCTGACGTGTCCGAATTACTTGTACTGGTGCCTAGTACACTACAGCGATGTCATTTATTTTAATACGACGCGCCGTATGGAAATAAACGGGGTGGGAGGGGCGATTCGTGGCTATTACGAACTATTAAGCGAATAACTGGTACGGCAGGCCCACGTGGTTTACAATTTCCAGTAACACAGAATGTTTCCCGTACGGCACCACGCAAAAATGACTGCGAAGTCTCGCTCCAGACCAGCCATGTCAAACTCACTGTCGATTCCACGCTTAAATTTAAGATAATTATATTTTAAATGCCTGTGCTTTCCACAAGCACTCAAATGTGAATTTCATTTAAATACATTTCCACTTTATTGCCTTCATGTAAAACAGCGGGACACAGGTAGCCGTTTAAAACTTGAAATGTATTAAAACTGGGCATCTGCGGCCGGTCATCGTGTATAATTCGAGAAGTAAGTCGGACTGTTTTACACGCTTCCTGTAGAGTTCTGACATTCTGTAAACAGTGACTTTGTTAGACGTCACCAAACGTGCTCGAAAAGTAAACACCTGTTAACCTGATATCTGTTGTTCACAGGCAGCACTGGGAACTAACCCCTTATCCCTAGCCGCTCCAGGGAAAAACGGCGACAGCTTCGTTCTGGACATGGCGACCACAGCAGTGGCTGTCGGAAAGGTAAGAATGGACGGCACTGTTGTCATGACGACAAATAAACGTGACGTTCCTGTGAAAATACTTGCCGTTCTGTAACGATTTTTGGTTCTTTCGCCTCGAAAACGAATAGCCTGAATAAATTCGATTTACTGGGGCTTATTGTTCATGGCCACAAACAATTCAGGGAAAATATGAGGTAAATAAAATGTTTTTGAAGTTTAATGCGGAAAACACTTGGACGTCCAAATTCACAATGGACTGGACCAGTCACTAAGTGTCTGTTGCAGATAGAGGTGCAGCGCAGAAAGGGAGAACCCATCACAGAGGGCTGGGCGCAGGACCCGGAGGGGAGAAGCACCACAGATGCAGACCTCGCTTTCAAGACGGGCTGCCTCATGCCTCTTGGGGGTTCTGAGATCACGTCCGGGTACAAGGGCTACGGATTGGGTCTCCTCGTGGAGACCTTATGCGGCATCCTTGGTGGTAAGACAGATAAAATTTTAAGAAATCGAAAGGAAGAACAAGATTGGCATTTTATGCAGCATAAATTTTCTCCACACAGAGTGTAATAATTAATTTGTGGGCTTAAGACGTTCTCACCATTGCCATGGCAATGGCTGCAAATAGCCAGTGATCTTTGCAGGATCTGCGTTCGGACCCAATATTCGACGCTGGATGGAGCACACGGATAGACCTGCTGACCTGGGCCAATGTTTCGTTGCCATCGACCCGCAATGCTTCGCTCCTGGGTTCAATGACCGGATGAGCACTCTCATGGACTATCTAAGAGGCTTGCAGCCGGTGAGTCAGTCACAGATTCACTTCACATCCATGTATAAAACCCATAAATCTACTCTCGCATAAAAATCAGCATAAATGTTGTACCTTTAATCCCCATTTTGAGCAACACCATATGTTCGACAAACATGATAGCTCAATCAGTACAGTGAATAAGCCATGACTGGGGATGGATCCCTGGAAGGCCAGTAATTTTCTCTTAGCTACTACCAGTATCCAGACCAGCTCTGGGGTCCACCCTGACTCCTACCTAGTTAATACCAAGGTTCGTTTCTCGGGAGAAAAACGGCCAGATTGTGAAGCTGACCACCTACATGTAGTGCTGAGATTACAAATGCGTCAATCTTTACCTCAACCCCCCCCCACACACACACACACATCTGTATGGTGTGATGATTAATTATGCAGCAGAGCATTTACTTTTACCACAAAGTAAATTGTGCAGCAGATACAAAGCATCAACAAATTGGAAAACAATCCTTAATGTTTGATGACTATAAAAATCTTGCTGTCTGGTACATTGATAGATTTTAAACACATACAAATTTTCACATGAAATGTCTCCCCTGTGTAAATTATAAACACGTTTTCAGATGAACTCATCTGAAATTTTTTTTCTAGAGAGGTGAACAGATTAAATACGTGCAACTAGACAATACTGCGCATGCATTGTAGTCCCTTCAACTGGTATTTATCTTGCTTCCAGGTGGACTCCTCAAAGCCTGTGTTGGTGCCTGGCGACCCTGAACGTAACCACATGAAGATGGTGGATCAGCAAGGAGGAATACAATACCACGATAACCAGCTTAAAGCGTCCGTAAGTTAGTTTAAACAAATTAATTCCAATAGAAAGAACTCTACTCACTCCAGGCTGCCCTGAGGCCATCATTAGCCCCTGGGACATAGCATTGACCACCCTGGTTACCTACTGTTACTTTGGGAAACAGCAGGTCTACACACTGACAGCTTTCTCCCTTGTCTTTTAAGTTCACCGTCCTCAGTTTGTTCAATACCACATTACGTTTAAACCTGACACAGCTTCACCAAATAACCTACCAAGTTCAGATTATTATTATTGACACACCATTTTCTGTGTTCAATGTTGCAGGCTGCTCTAGCCAAGAGACTGGGCATCACACCAATTGAAGTAAAGTAGAACGCACTGCAGTAGCATTATTCCATTGCTACAAATTGGTCTTCAAAACACAAAGTTGTAATGTGCTTGCTTTATAGTCACTGTTCGCTTCAGTTCATATATTTGTTCAATACAGCTGTTACAGCACTGGGATGAAAGACTCGGTGAAATTTCGACCAAACTTCTTGCTACCCGTACCTCTGCGCTACACTACATCACACGCCAAATGAATGTGCAACATCTACATTATGCCCAGCATGATGCAAAAGTTACAACCTTCTTATAATTCTGACCCGAAATTTCATTTAGCAGTTGTCTGTGTAACAGGAGGATCAACCTGCATGATAATTGGCTATCGCAATGCACACAAGCGTGTACCTCATCATATGCTAGGAATCAACTGCAGCAGCTTCAAGTGAACTTACTCATATGGGAAGCTGATGGCATTCTGTTGGTGTAATTGATGTCAGGCGCATGACAAACTTGTTACTGACATTAAGACTGCAGCTATTGTTTGGAGGGAAAGCAAAATTTGGTGGCTAATAATAAAAATTCTGTACTTTCATGACTGTATACTGCATTTTGGGAAGCCCATAACCAATAAGGGCATTTTGTAACAACAACAACAAATAAGAGTTCAAACTGAAAATAAAACAACGAAAGCATGTGGCAAATCAGTATGGGTGAAACACAAAATGACAGGACCCAAGACCTGCCTCACTACAGACATGTTTCAGCTACCACATGAAATTCAAAGGCCCTAAAACATTCTACAGTAGCTGAACTTGCCGACTGCAACATGGCTCTTGTACCTCCATGCCAGCTACAGGAGGGTGACACTATAAACCATTTCTCCCTGTAATGCATGCAGTCAGATTGGATTCTGAAACAATCCATGACTATTCTGCCATGACGCATAAGATTTAAATGTTGTCTACGGAAAATGGAGAGACAGACTTGGCTGTACCACATCACTGTTGGTAAACACTCCCAAACCTAAGGATCTGGGACATGAGCATCACATATTGTGCAATATTGCCCATCTGTATCTGGCATAGTTCGGTATGTAACCATTGTTCTGTCATACCAAATAAAAACTGTTGCCTTCTTACCGTTTGGCGAGACCAGCAGGTGGTGAGTGTTGTTGGTAAGTGAAGCTGGATTTGCCTCTTGCAGAATATCAGTCACACTAACATAATACACTGCAATGGGACTGTGTACTTCACATCTCAATAGCAGTTATTTCCTGAAGACCACGTGCAAAACAATCAACTGTTCCACTTCTGCTTCATGTCTCATGATGTTAACAGCCACAGTACAACTGGTACCTGTCAATAAAGTTTCATTCTTCTTGAAACAGTTTTTGGACAAACACTTATCCCTGCAGAACACGATTATTTCTCTGTTAATGTGACCCCCCCTCAATCCAGGAGGAGGACATCAACATACATCTGATTCTATAGAATAGAGTCCATTTAGTTGGTCAAAAACTACCCACATTTATAGAACATGAAAGTTCATTATGTTGAAAAAAGCCTGTCAACTTCAAAAGAAATTAACAGCCTATATAAAATGTGGAAATTATTTGTGTCTGTAACTCCAAACTTCTGGATGGACAATGAAACAAATTCAGGCTGAAAAACACATAAATGCAAAGTGTAATGAAGTGAAAATGGCTTATATACAGGTAGCAAATAGTCTATTTGTACCTCTTTCTCTATAGTTCAATGATGTATGAAATAAATAAAATATAATATACAATTGACAGTGAAGTAAAATTAAAATTGTCCTTGGTATGTCACTAAGCACTACACCATGCAGAGGAAATGGAGAGTGGAGATATAGCTCCTCACATTCTTAACCTCGGCTCTAGGCGCAGATGAGCGGTCAGCTTCATGCCCCAGTGGCTTTACGCCTGAGGAAACAACTACTGTACCCTCTGGTCAAGAAGGTAGGTGGGCACAGTTGGAAAGAAACAAATCCTGCTGGAAATCAAAACCTGGCCATCCAGCCCATAGCCTAGACACCATACTGAGCTACCCAGCTGTCACTTGACAGTTTGTGAACATGCATGCAGGTTTCCCTATAAAAATTTTCAAAAGCCATCATGTAACTTTATTGCCAACAACAGGTAGTAATCAACTTAAAATTCTGTATTGTTTCTAAAGATAATATTAGGATGAAACAAGGAACATACTGCAATACACTTTACATGTCTCACTTCTGCACCTTCAAGAAGCCATGACATATATCATTATATATTTTTTTAAGTCTTTATCCTCTTCTACCCGCAGGTGTCAAGGTACTCAATTCATTCAATCTTATTAGACATTTGGTAGGACTCCTTGGATGAGTAATCAGCCCATCACAAGGCCTCTACCTATACACAGGACAGCACAACACAGAAAGATGCGGACAAACATCGATGCCTTGAGTGGGATTCGAACCCACAGTCCCAGTGCCCAAGCGCACGAGGTCTATGCCTCAGACCGCGTGGCCACTGTGACCAGCATAATATATTGTAACTAACCAAAATTATTCAAAGGAGACCCATAAACACACTCTGAGAAAAATTCTGAATTACTGAATGTTAAAGCATATGGTACGCACAACTGCCACTTCCAGTGAAAGATTTAAAAATCCACTACACCAAATATTTTAAACAAAATTTGAGCAGAGATTCATAATTGTATCATGACATCGCATTAAATGCATTGGTTACATGGTCCTGAATAAGATGAATGTATGTGGTGAATTTGGGGAAGAAAGTACGCGTGTTCTGCTTCAAATAGACATTCTGGAATTTGCCTGGGGTTTGAAATTGGGACCTCTAGAATACAAATGCAATGGTGTGTAAATTAAAACAATAGACATCAGTAAAATAAGTACTTCATGTTGTGTAAATTTCTATATACTATACTGTCAAAACAACAGGCAACTTCCATTACTTGGTAAGTATGCACTTTCCTCTAACAAAGGTACATACACAGATGCATCACATCGTGTTCTGCATCTGTTTAACAAGATCAGTCTTGAAATATACCTTGGTTGGGGATAAGAAATGCAAAGGCTTATAAAATTTTGATGGGAAAGTTCTTCCATATTCTTAAATATTCATTGTTCATAATACATCTTAACCTTTGCAGTTCAAACATCATCCTCAACTGACAAAAGACTGCCTCACAACAATGCAAACAATGTTTCAACTTCACCAGACACAAGTACATTTCTGTCAAACTGCAGAAATGACTCCTGTTACAGTTATCAAAAACACTACACATTCTCCAGTTTTGCTTGCTTACTGCTGAATTTTACCACTTCACAGGTTACGGAAAGAACGTCCAACTAATTAGAGATAAACAAGGACTATTTTGGGTACCAACCTGTGGTCTTCATGTAAGAATCATTCCTTGGTCCTTTAATGATTCTGCTGTGCAATTTCAAAAACTGGATTGTATCCAGTGAGATGAGAATCATCAATAAGAATAAGACTATCCTAGCCTGCAGAAAATGAAAAAAGCCTCAAATAGACTGCCCAAGATTCAAGTGCCTAACACACAGTTTTCATTCCATTACTACACCCAATATGCTTGGCTGTGAGCAGTCAATCTCATAGCAGTGTCAGGTGACATCTTTGTGACACACTTCCTGTGGATTTATGGAGCAGAAATATGAGGATTAAATGAGGGGTGGAAGAAGATTGATGGAATTTATGGAAAACTTCAGGGATACCTAGATTTGCCACAAATAGGTTGCTGAACTACAGACGGGAAGAGATATTGGGTTTGGCTGTGAAATAATGGCTAGGAATTAGTAAGGGTGTGTCATGAATGGCAAATAACTTAAAATGTAGAAGCTGGGCAAAGAAAGTAAGTGAAGAATTAAATAAAACATGGCTGGGATATATTTGGCAAGATCCAGAGGAGACCAGTGTTGGTACAATTTATAAAAGAACAAAAGAATCTGTTATCAACATGAGAACGAGGTGTTCATTAATATTTTCCTGTGAGATCAGACTGGAATGGGCTGGGGAAGAATACAGTTTGTTGCATGAGGAACGAGATGTGGGCTGGCCCGGTATAAGACTGGTATCCAGAAATTGAGAAGGATGAGAAAGGAAGATGCCCAGTATGTGGTGTGGATGAAGATGCTGTATGTATGTTAACAATTTAACAAAGAAGTGGTAGAAATAAATTCTGAGTAGGAAATGGCCTATTATCAGAGAAGAGTCAGCTCACAACAAAATAAATTGTACCAATGTTGTAGAATTAATAAATACTGAAAATAATCATCACAAAAACTAGATGTTAAAAGGTAATAAAAAAATCAGAAATTTATAAATTTATTCTGGCAGAAGAGAGAAAAACTGTATAGTGATGATAATGAAAATGTAATAAGAGAATGGCATCATTAGAGACGGTTATAATAGTGCTCTGTACCACAAAAACCTGGAGTTAAGGCAGACAGTCTCTGTACAGAGATCTGAACTAAATAAATTATTTGACTGTTCGTGCAGGAAAATCTGAAGCAAGAACTACTCATACTGAAAGTAAATAATGGACAGATGTTTCATTACAAAGCCACAAGAAACTGAAGGATGTGTATAGTGAAGTAGACTTTGGATTGGAATGAAGCAGTTTATGGTCTGGAAACACCAGAAACAGAACCAACCATGTTTGTTTTATTGACTTATATTAAAAACAGTTTATTTTCTTCATTTGTAACATAGATCACAAAAACTGTTAGAACATATGCAGTGATGAGTTACACACAGTGAAACTATTTTTTCCTGGTGCCATATGCAGGTTTCAATGGACGAAAAAAGCGACCAGCTACCTTACTCAGTGGATGGCCCAGTCCAGTAGCCACATAGGGTATTTCACCCTCATGTTCGCTAGCATGAACATATACATAACTGGGAAGCATGACTGTTCCCAGCATCAGGCAGTTAACACTACTCAATATGACTTCTGGAATTGGAGTAATTAGGAACAGACGCTTCTCTTGCATATCAATGCCTCGTACCACACCTGAAAACAGACTGTTTAATGGCCTCTTGTGTGTGACATCCCACCTTATAAAATTTGAACAGGCTGGTCATAAACCTAGACATGTACTGAACACCACTGGACGTCTTACAATATCTTTTCTCAAGAACTCCAAACCAAAAAAGCTGTGAAAAACTTTTGATATCAAAACAACATTAGTGTCATGCAACACAGAAACCAGGACAATTTGCAAACAGAAAATGTAACAGGCCCACTTTTGCAACTTTCAGTTGTAAATGTGCCTAGAAATTTGACATAAATCACACATCTCATTAAGGCGAAACATTTTTTATATGCTAAATACATAACAACATATAAGGGAAAGCAGATTCTGACTCTGCAATAAAATTAGCTTCGCAACAATGATTTATATCACTAATAAATGAACATCAATTCCAATGATGTCACACCTTTTCATTTATTTTGATACACATAAGTGTAACAGCTTGTGTATGAAAGCAGACTGTAACTCACCAAACCCCAAACAAGGGCAGACTGGCTGTTGTCCTAAAACAGAGGGCAGTTGTGGATCATCTGGCAATAGGGTCATGGTACCACTGTAAGAGCACAGGGCCACCAAGTTTCCATTAAAAGCACTGAGTATCTGATAGAATGGCAGCTTTACATGGCACACACACAGTGTGACCTTGGAGAATAGGGTCCTGGAAAGAGAAAGGAGAATCCTCCATCAGCTGGTCAAGAAATTCCCTATCCTTATGGAATCTGCAGGTTCTGCTAAGAGACCCTCACTATAAAAGGGGGACAATTTGCAACACAATGTCATATAAGACAAGTTTCAAATTGGCATGAAACAGGTAAGAATAAGAAAAACTATAGCCATGAATGACAAGTAAACACTGAGTCAAACAATGCAACAAATTCTGAGACATAATTTAGTTCAAGTCATGTTTGATAAAAAAAATTGGGGGGGTTAAAGTGGCATAAATTTTTTGTGTTTTCTGCAAAACAAGACGTTGTGAAAAGATTTCATAACTTTAAATACCGTAACTTTAACTTACAGATTAATCAAGCTAATAAATTAATAATTATGTAACCTAACACTCACTTGCTGCACATCACAGCTTGTATGCCATCAAGCTGGCCTTGCATCACAGTAGCATACTGTTTAACCACTAACATAAGAGACAAAGTCTGGCCAGCAGCTCTGTAATACTGTGGTTTAAATCCCCTATTCTTGTACAATAAAGGCTAAAGAGATCACTGAAGAATGTTTCTACTACTAGAGAATCAAAATACCTGAATCTTGATAAGTTATACTGTTTTGTACTTCAAATATCCGATGTACAAATAAATGTTCAACACAAAATTTGTAAACACATCTATATAACCTATTCCTCCATCAAATGTGACAAGTTCAGCTATGAAGGTTTACCAGTTCTGCTCCATGTCAACACCACCACCTCTACACGAAATGAAAATAGAGATTATAATTTTTGTTAAAACTGACGTTAACAATTCTGCATAACATTCAAAGATCTACTGGCATTCAATTTCTCAGCAGTCTACAGAGGTATGGTCACAATGCTGTTGTGTACAGATCGAAAACACTATGAAAGCATGACGTCTGTGCTGATATTCATGAAATCTGACAGCTGAAAAGGGAGCATGATGATATAAAATTGAATACTACTCACATGTATGGCACTGTTTCTGTGAGGATATATTTCGGTGGCTGCACCATCTGACTGAGATATGACAGTATCACAGCCTCTCGTAACTGTGGTGCTCCCATGCCCCTACAACATGTCATTCGACTAGTCAGGGAACAAACTGTGTTACCAAAAATAATAAAACAATCTTTTTGTAAAAACAACAAGGTAATAAAAATAAAAAAACACTGTTAGTCCCATGAGACACAAGAGTACAGATTTATTAAGCATTTACTAGACTATCATATAACTGTGAAGCATGAGCCATAAGGACATATGAGGTTTCATGAGAAAAAAAAAAGTTGCCCCTTTCTACCTTTAGAGATAAGGAGAGAAATTATAAATTTTACAGGTACCAGATGAGATATGCTACTACATAAGTGGGTTATCACAGGATTATGAACAAATTACCCTATTTACTCATGGAACTGAACAATATTTTACATTAAAATAAGGCTGGGACCATTATTCTTTACCTTATAATATAAAAGTGACATCCATAAAGTATTTGCTTATATTTTGTCCGTAAACACATTCATATCAACTCACGTGTGTCAAACTTCTGGCACAGTAGAAATGGGGAAACAGTACCAGTGGCTCTAACAGTCATACCAGTTTTACATAAAAAGTTAAGCAAAGGCTATTTCTGGCAAAAATCAGATCAACCAGTCTACTAGGAGGTGGAAGCAGAAGGGAAACTGAAGCATACACACAGCCATTGCATTTAAACAACTGGTACAAAAGACAATCTCCTTATTTTATCCTGATAAATTGGGCACAGCAACAGTACCAACTGCACGAGAAAATATATCAAGTAACAACCACTGGGAAAATTTAAATATTCTGTTTTGCAGCTCAGTCAACTAGACTTAATAGTGGAAGAATAATGACAACACTTAAGAAGCTCAGAGCTTAAAGAATGATTCGTGCCTTCAGTCTAAACTAATGTGCTGATGACTAAACAAATGTTTCATTCTCTCCGGGAAACATTAACATTGCGTATGTAATGCTCTAGTACCAAGGTGACATTGCTTTCCTGTCTTCTGCCACTGTCTTCATGGTATGTAGGACATACTGCAAAGAATCACATGGACCAGAAGGCAGCTCACAGAATCTGTTCTGGTAGCTACACACATATGATGGACACAGCAGTTCAGGGAAGTTGAACTCAGCATTCACACTCTGGATTTGAATCACATGCTGTGGTTTTAGCAAGCGGATCACGGATGTTGTTATGTCCACACCAACTCCTGCAACATCCTTTAGTTTACTTTAACAATTCATGGATAAGGAATATTATGACTGATATTAAAAGAAAAGGGGTACAAATATGTGGAATCGATTAAGCTGGCTCATGATTAAGTCCTGTGCTGAACACTTGTTAATATGGTTATTAACCCCTCATTTCGTAAATGGCAGAGAAATTCTTGAACAGCTGAGCTTGTCAAGGACCATGATTCATAGTCAGTCAGAAACATAAACCATACACTGCATACAAAAAAGTGAACTTTAATACTATATGAAGCCATCATATACCTATTCCTGGGAAAACACTTAAGACACCAACTCTCAAAGACAACATCCAATTACTGACAAACATGCTTTATTTACCACTTCCGAATCTCTCGCATTTACAAAAAACATAAATCTAACATGTTTTAAAACATAATACCTTTAGGTTCAAGGGATACACTGTACTATCTGGGGATAAAGGAAATATTGTACTGCTATGAACTGACCTTTATTGAAACCCATTGTGTTGACAATCCATGGCATCCTCATCAGCTCAGGTTGAGAGTGGCAGTAAGATGTTACATACTGAACGCTCTCCATGTACTGGGCAGGGCACTGGGAGATGTTTACCTCCCCAATAAATACCATGCTACAAACAAATCAAAGTGGCATGTCAATTTTGGTGTACCTGTAAGACTACGCAGGTCCACAACCCAGAAGACTTAACTGCCCTGACAATGTAAAATCTTTGGATATAAGTAGCATGAACAGTGATGGTGTCCACTACCAAAAACAAATCTTCCATACTGTTAATGAACATACATCCATCAGATTACACATGTTTGTACATAACATGCAATCACATTTCTCAACACCATCTACATAAACCATTATTTCGATGTGATTTCTTTTACATGTTAATGAAAATGTAATATGCAGATGCATGAGTGTTTTATCAGCTGGTTTTGTAATGAAGAAAAGTGAACTTACCTACAACTAACACACCACTAACTCATACAATTCTAGCATAAAGCAGAGAAAGTCACATCAGTAGTTCAAAATGTGTTAAAATTATTTAGGCCTACTGCAATTAAATTAATTATTTCATAAGCTGGATCATATGGAAGAATAAAAGTAAGATCACTCCAGAAAGAGTAAATTATTTGTTGGGGGCACAACATATCTGCAGTAATGGAAAATAATAATACCACATGGAGAAATAAACTGATCATGAATAAAGCATCATATCAGGATTCTGCTTTAGTGACAAATGTCAATAAAAGTAAACAAAAATCTGTTTAGTGGCATGAAATCTTCACTTCATAAAGAATGTCTAAAAATCTGCATCCAAAGAATGGAAGTTACCATTCTGGTGTACTGAGGTGTGTGAAACTTGGTCCCAGAAGTGGCTCCTTAACAATAACAGCAGACACACAACCTGGAATGGTAAACTCTGGCTGTCCAGGGTCAAAGTCCAAGCACAAGACCTGTCCAAACAATGGCAGGCTCCGATTGATCAGAAACCGAACGAAGGTTGACTTGCCGACACCTTTCCCACCACACACCACTGTGCAAGATGACTCTATACATACAAAAGGAAAATCAATTAAGCTTCATCTTATAAGAATGACTGAAAGAATGTGCTACGAATTCTGGTTCAGTTATAACATAATCACTTATCTTTATTAACATGTTCTCTCCTACTATAGAATGTTTTCTTATTTCCTTTTTTAAATTTTCCAAATTGTTCTTATAATATCATCACAGCCTAATATAAAGAGATGGGAATCATGCAGTGAGATGACTACAGTGGCCCAGATATTTACAGAAAACGGACAGAACAAGGATAAAAAGAAGGGCACTAAAGGCAGCATTTTAAGAAAAAAGATCCATGGGATGACCTAGGACAACAAGGTTCAGCCAAGTACTAGAAGGCATCAAGAAGGGAGGAAAGAGCTTGCAATAAATTGGAAAAACCATGGACAGACAGAAGTGTATGAAGACTTTGTATTCATTTACCTGTATAAAATCAAAACAATGGTAGAAGAAGAACCATGCAGTCCAATGCAACAGCAACTGGATTATATCCAAGCCCTAGTTATTTGTTAACACAAACTTAAATGTGTTTGATCCTGAAGATTTCTGTCTTCTGGGTTGTTGCGCTGTGTAGTCTGGTCGATGTTAACCAACGTTTCAGAGGTCATACTGCCTCCATCATCGCCGTGATGACAGAGGCAGTATGACCTCTGAGACGTTGGTTAACATCAACCAGACTACACAGCACAACAACCCAGAAGACAGAAATCTTCATACTCACCGCTGTGAAAACCTCAAATCTTACGTGTTTGATCCTGTTTATACTTTAATCTCAGCAAATGAAAATAGTTCATAACAAATGTAAGAACACGTATATTATGTCAAAATCATGCCCAGGTATGAAGCTGATTGCTTATCATCAATAAGCTTCAATGCTGACACCACTGAAAATTATTTAAAAATTACAGTGCTAGGGATGACTATGTCAACAAATGGCTCAGGATGCCAATGGAGCCTTAAAAGACCTGTTCAAAGAAGAACCTGTATAGTAGATTTGTTACACACCCTTGATTATGCTATTAGCAGTTTCATCCCAGTCGGGGCCTTTCCGATGTCGTTTCATGTGTCTGGCCGTATGTGGTAACTCAAACACACATTGCAACATCTCTTCTACTTTGTAAAAAGGGCTACCTTCTCTTTCTTTGGCATTCCTTTCTTTCATTTCAGTAAATGTAAATAAATGCATAAATGGCGGCAAAGTCTTCATGTAGCCCTCCAGAAGACTAGGCCGTGGTGCTTCTAGCAAGATCACGCAGTCTCGGTGACGCATTTTCGCTATTATGTCTTCCGAAAGTCCTAAATTGAAGACATCCAGGTTTTTATCCATAACTTCATAATCGAGGTCATTGGGGGGAAATGGGAAGCAGGTTTCTATGCTCAACATGCTGGACCCTTTCGGTGAATACACTACCCGTCCAGCGCTAGTTCGTGCACTCATACTGCAGCCTAGAACTTCAACATTCCCCTTCAGTACAGAGACGCACAGTCTACCTTTGAAATACACAGTGTATGGATGTTTCATTAACAATAAGAACTGTTCCTTCCGTGGTAACTTGTGGACCAAAGCATGCGACCTTATATCTTCCACCCCCCAATTTCCATTCACACAGCAGACTTTACTTTCAGAAAAGTATTTATCAGATCTTACATGTAATTCCATCATGATTCCACACGTTTGACACAATTTTTCGCCACTCCCGTATTTAAAATAGTTATGCTCCAAAAATAATCTTATACTGCAACCGAACACCAGTTAAAGTAATACCAACGATATAACAGGCAGAGTTGTCTGTCACCTGTGGTACAAGAATGTCTTCCACTCGTACGCTCTGCTAACCATGAGGTGTGGGTGTGTTCCGAAAATGTTTCTAGCGCAATTGCAATTGACAACGCTGTTCACTTGCCGACGCTTAAAAATAGTACCGGATACTAATTCACGTTAGGAGTGGCGATGGTGAATTCGGTGAAACCTATTTAAAAACTTGTCCTATTGGCGGTATTAAATGTGTTATTTTGGTGCCATGTCGCAATAATATCTTGAGAAATTATATTTCAATAAAGGAAATTTAAGTGATGGTTGAATATTGTGTGGCGGAACGATACAATGTATGCGTTACAAACTTCGCCATTGGTGGAGTAATCAGTTGATGTTTGATATTGTCGATTGATGATCGGAATTACAAGAGGTGAAAGGGAACCAAGGCAGAGGATAACAGTGAAAATACGCAACATGAAGAGGAGTTCAGATCGAGACACACCTCCACGAAGCAAAAGATCTCGCTCTAGTATTGGAAGGTACGATGATAGTTCAGATGAAAGAATTACTCCTGAGCGGATTCGACGACGAAGTCGAGGCAGATCGCCGAGCCCAAGGGGTCGATACCCCTCCGAGGGTTCCCACAGAGACGACTATGGACGTTCAAGGGAAATGTCTGAGAGATCGTACCCAAGTTACAAAGTGTTATGTGTGAGTGCTTTGCATCCCAAAGCCAGCGACGAGGTTATCAAGGACACATTGTATAGAGAATATAAGAAATTTGGAGATCTAAGTGTTCGAATTTCTCATGATCTCGATGAGAGGGTTGCATATGTTTGCTTTAGAAGTTCAGATGATGCTCGTGATGCAAAACATAACAAGCCTAGAATAATACTGTTTGATAAAGTAGCTTTAGTTGAAGCTGTATATGAAAGTAGCAGGAGTTCCAGTGATATGTATCGTAGGGGACCTAGTAGGCCAAGAAGTATAAGCCCAGATTATGATAGGTACTACCATCAGCGCTCTAGGTCACCAGGCCCAGAGAGACACAGACCAAGTGAGAGTCGTTATGAACGCTCGTATGGACCTCCTCCAGGCCTTCCTCACCGTGAGTTTCGTAGAGAAGGACCACCACCACCACATCATGAATTTATGAGAGCTCCTGTTCATCATGGTCCACCTCATGTTCCCCCAGGACCACCTCATCATTATGGCCCACCAAGACATATTGTTCCAGGGGGTTTCAAACCCCATCCTCATTTTGAAAAATTTGATAACAAGAAAGATAAATTTCCAAATTATCTACATCATGTCCCACCAGAAGATGATCCATTGGCAACAAGGACCTTGTTTGCTGGTAATTTGGAAATCAATATTTCAGAGGAAGAGCTTCGTAGAATCTTTGGCCGATATGGTATAGTAGAAGATATTGATATAAAGCGTCCACCTCCAGGAACAGGAAATGCATATGCTTTTGTAAGATTTCAGAATTTAGACATGGCTCATCGTTCAAAAGTTGAACTTTCAGGCCAGTATATTGGTAAATTTCAGTGCAAAATTGGATATGGGAAAGCAACACCCACTACAAGAATTTGGATTGGTGGGCTTGGGCCATGGACATCAATATCCCAGTTGGAAAGAGAATTTGACAGGTTTGGTGCTATAAAGAAAATTGACTATGTAAAAGGAGACAGCTGTGCATACATCTTGTATGACTCTATTGATGCTGCACAAGCTGCAGTTAAAGAAATGCGTGGGTTCCCACTTGGAGGTCCAGAACACAGGCTTCGTGCTGACTTTGCAGATGTATTGCCAGGTGGTTTCAGTGGTTTCAAGCCACGACCTTTTCCTGAAGATATGGCGCCAGGTGGAGATTTTAGGGTTAGAGTGCCAGGTCGTGATGATTTTGCTTATGAACCTGGGTATGAGCCCTGGACTGAGGGGGAATTTTCATATGGTCCACCACGGGGAGGTTTCCGAGGCCGGGGGGGTGCAATACCATGGCATGATCGCAGAGGTGGTGGACGAGGTGGGTATCGTGGAGGTGGGTATCCTGGGGATGCTTACATGAGGGAGGAACCAGACTGGGTGACCAGGAGACCACCTCCTGAACTGGAGTATGAGATTCCACGCCCTCCAAGAAGGTCTGGTTCAGGAGAGCCAGGGGTGGAGAGGTCCAGATCACGGTCCCCTCGCAGACACTCTGTTGAAAGTGACTCAGGTTCAGATGGAAGACGTAATGGGATGCTGGGTTCTGCACGCACTCTGCCAGAACTGGCACGCAAGTGTGTTGCAGTGTGGCAGGGTGCCCTGATACTGAAAAATTCTCTTTTCCCAGCAAAATTCCATCTGACAGATGGTGATACAGACATTGTGGAAGGCCTTATGAAGGATGATGAAGGCAAACATCACCTGCGTATTACACAGAGACTGCGACTTGACCAGCCCAAACTGGAAGACGTTTCAAAACGTATTTCTTCTTCTAGTTCCCATGCAATATTCCTTGGGTTGTCAGGCTCAACAGCGTCAGTTTCCAGTGAAGATGCTTCTGTTCAAACGCGTCCTCTGAGGAACCTGGTGTCATATCTGAAGCAGAAGGAAGCAGCTGGTGTTATATCCCTAGTGAACAAGGATACAGAAGCCACTGGTGTTCTTTATGCATTTCCACCATGTTCTTTTTCTACAGACCTCTTGAAACGAACTGCACCAAATCTCTCTGAGGAAGGCTTGAAGGAGGATCACTTGGTTATAGTAGTAGTGCGTGGGGGGAGTGCTTAATAAAGTGAGACTGCAGCTTGCTTACAAATTGATGTTGATATGTCCCAGAAATTCACTCCTTATCTTGTTCTAGGATTTACTTCTCTCCAGAATGAGGGCATAATTTCAGCAATGTAAATGTATGGCTAGGTGTATTATTATGTTTGTAGCTGTAATACCGTTAACAAATTGTTTCATGTATGCTGCAAGTGGAAGACACCCAAGCTACAGGATTGATTGATGAATGTAATATCTTAAGTAAAAGAAGTTTGTATCCTTACAGGGAATGTATTCAGTTATTGGCACAGTTGAAAGTTTATTTATGTGATTTTTTTTTCTTACACTAAGTAGAAAAAATGTAACAGTTTTCATTGTCTTTACAATTTGCTTCAGTGTTTTTTTTAAGTACAATAATAATATATGTGATTGTGACAAGTTATCACTTTGATATGAAGACCCAGAAGTGTGTGTATGGTGATGTGAAGTTGATCACACATTTGGTGTGTTTTTAATTGATCATACATGACTTGAAACAATTCAAAGCACTTGTTTTGCTAGTAGCATCTCTGCTAGTAAACTGTTTCTTGATTTTCTTCTTAACACTTGCAATTTTGAATTAAAAAATGGCATTGTATTAGATGTGATTAAAAAATTATAAGAAAAGATCTGCAAAGGATGCTCTGTGGTGATGTGCTGGTTCAAGTTATGGTATGGTTTATAACTGTAAGGGACCCTCCCACTGCACAGTCCATGGACTCAGAGACTGTGTTGTGAGTGGCGTGATATGTCCGGATGGACGGACAGTGGTTCAGTAGTGAGTGAAAGTGCAGTGGGATGGGACCTAACCTGACAGTTGTGTTTGTGTTAAGTGTTGTAATACCAAGTTTTGTAAGTGCACAGTGTATTAGTGTTGTGTTCGCGCCATGTCCTGAGGGGTTAAAGATTAATTTTTGTATGACAAGTGTTCATAATATTTTGTTGAGTTCATTATTCTTTAACCCTGGACATCTGTGTGCGGTGTGTGTGGAATTGTGTCAAATAGAGAAGTTCTTGCAGACAACTTGAAAATCTAATTATTTACCCCAGTGCCACATTGTTACGTGATGGGAAGTTACAAACACATTGTGTTTTCAAGAAAATTTCAGTGTTTCTAAACTAACATTTTGGATCAAATCATAATTGTGTTTGTGTAACTGTTACTGGCCAGTGTGAGTAGTGCATTCACATTGAATCCAAAATGTTACAACACTCGTCATGTTTGTGAATCTTCCCCCATCATGTGCTTTTGTTTTTCAAAGTTGCACAATGTCTGTGAAGTAGTTTGTACCTTGAAAAAACAAGATGTTCAGCAGTTTTCAAAATTCAGTTCCCAGTGTTAAAAAAAATTATTGAATGTGGAGCAAGATATGCTTCCTGTAATGAACAGGTGACAACAAAGTTGAGAGTTCATCATGTGTTTTGTGAAGGCTGGTTATGGGTGGGAACCAGAATGACTGGCACTCAGTGCTGTAAGAAACAGTTACCAAACAGTATTCGTTTCTGGTGCACAAAATTATGTTATGCTGTTTAAATAATGCTTAGGTCATTTATTTTTCTGTTGGAAGAGAGTCTCTTGTCACCTTTGATATGGTTTTAGGGTATCTGCAGAGGTGTTGATTATCTGTAAAGGTGTACTTCTAAATTGTGGGTTGGGAACAGGGTTAACAACAATGTGCTGTAGAAGAAAAGATTCACAATGGTTTCTTAAATGAAGGAAAGAACAGAAACAAAAGAAAACATGTTTTAAAATAGAACTGGATAAGAAGAATGTTTGAATATGAGAACTGAAGTGGATAATGGAGAGTGCTGACTCAGCTGTTTCACCATGAAGCATAACAGTAGTTAGGTGGGCTAGCTCCAGGCAGGTTAAGACAGTCATGCTGTTAGGTTGATTATACCATCCTGCAGTGAGCAGAAGAGTACCTTGGTAATGAGTGAATACACTTCAAAGGTAGGTATTCATTACCTGATGAGGGGAAGGAGGCAGTGGAGTTGTCTGATGTGTGTCATGACCACATCAGTGTTAGCAGTGAGTAGGAATGAAGTCCCTCATTGATGAGATAATACACTTAAGAGGTAGGTATTCAGTCCCTGCTCAGGGGGAGGGAAGTGGCATTGTATGGCGCCCATTTTGGCCACATAAATTTTAGTTTTGGTACCCATACCAGTTGTTTCACAGTAATCTAGTTCATCATTCTGAGGGAACTGCACTTTGATTTGACGAAACACAACAGAATGTAGGATGAGAAGCTGTCATGGGTCTGATTGTGAATTGTTTTTATATAGCTGTAGTTCTTAAAGTACTTTGAGGTCTTAATGGGAGTAAAAGTATGGACTGTGGTCTTCTGGTTTGTGACACACAATGTAGTCTTATAGGTGGTTGCCCGAGAGTCTTTCATTAACTTTGGTCGTGGCGAAAGCTTCACTTTGTACATTCCTCAGAAATGTTGGTGTCCACCTAAAATACTACAGTGTCAAAACCCTTATCACAATGGCTCTCAGTTACAGATTATGGTTTACTTTCCAACATTTATAGCAAGAGTTACTCAGTGATTCAGTTATGACAGTCTGGAATATGTCACTTGAAATAAACCATTAACATGCAATATATATTTGTGTTAAAATTGTTAGTCATGTGAATACAATGTATTAGGGACATCACATATTTGGCATGTGGCAGATGTGACCAGGTTTCTAATTTAACTGGAGGGTTTGGAAGATCCAATGACCTGTCTCATACTTGTTGCTATGTGTAAATAACATAGATGTGGATAATGAGAGTCAATTACAAATACCATACAGACTGAATCTAGAACCTCCACTGACAGAAGTCAGCATCTAACGACATGAATTATGGTTTAGTCCTTTATATATTTTGACATTACCTGTAATTCCTCTGCTTTGCTGCCATGTCCATAATGTTTCTGGGGCCCAGTATCTAGGAACAGAATAACCAAGTATGAAGGCAACATCCTAGCATTCTTTTATGAATCACTTCAAGCACTGTTTTCAAGTTACAAAAAAATATGTTACTGATGTGTGTGGTGTTGACAGGACACACTTGTGGCTCTTGTTCCCAGACAAATCACTTGCCCACCATCTGTGACACATGTAGTAGTATGGGGTTAACATATCAACAGTAGACACATGACAATATGGACTGCAAATTAGGCCCTTTGGCTTCTTCTGAAGCATCACAACACTTGGCTAGTCAAAAGTCTTGTCCCAAACAGGACCTGAAACCCTGATCTCATCAGGCAGCTCAATGCCATGCACAGCTTACTCTTTCCATCAGTGTTGTTTAAAATTGAATGGGCAAGGGATGAAGCCATATACTGGAAGGCACCTGTGCTGCTAAGTGAAGAAAACTTGATGAAGATGCATCTCTATGTGTGCAAAGTACCCTTAAAACATAATTTCATTTTGCTTAAGAACAAATTGCCAAGTTCCATTCATATGTTTTTACACAAGGAAAATAGGGGAAAGAATACCCTTACCTAAATCCAAATTTTGCTGTATAATCTGTCGGATTAGCATGTCAGTTGCATGGAGACTTGTATGTTAGTGCCAACAGCTGTCCTGAAGGGACATGATTCCTTAAATGGAGTTGACATAACCTGTCCATACTGAAGAGAACTGGGTGCAGAAGATTTTCCTGGAAATTTTCAGATATGTCCAGCCTTAACTTTTATATTTTTACCATGCGTGATTCATAATCAGACGTATGGAACAAAACTGTATCATGGGAAAGTAAGATTACATACTGCATTGCATATAAAGTACATTTGTAATACCTAGATGCCATGAATGTGATATTTAGTAAGAAAACCAATTTTGAATAAATATATTAGAGACTTATTGAAGACCTGTGGGCCATACTTAAGAGGGCCCTGTTATAGAGCATTAAATGAAAAACATAACCCATATTTAAGCCAAAATATATAAGTAAATTGACACTAGGAATGTTACATTCAAAATGGAACCTGCAGTTTATCTTATGTGGTGTTTATTTTGAAATGTACTGAAAGGTATTAAACTGAGGCTCCCATTGCTTTCAGTTCTGAGAAAATGCTAAGGTGTAAGGATCTAGGTTTGTTCTCTGAAAAAGAATGACATCTGCGCCCAATATTTCATATAGTCTGCTAAAAGATTCATAGGATCATGGAAGATTATATGAGGGTGATTCACATTTGACCTGGAATTTTCAACATGGATTACAAACCCATCCTAAAAAAACTGTGCTGCAGGAATACTAGTATTCCCATCTTGGTGGGACAAGTGTGCACGTGTAGAAGTGGTGTTCTCAACCCATAGCCTTTGGCCAAGTCACCCACATGCATTACCATATTTTATCACTGTGTAGCGCAAAATAGTTTCTGCATAAATGATACATTTAATTTTAAGTTTGTAATTAATATAAATAAGTCAAATTAGTGCAGAAAATTATCCAGTAACATGAACCTATATGTGGTGATAAGTCAATATTATTTTTAATAAACTCTTGAAATTTCAATAGACAACTCTTTCTAACATGATGGTACACAAGTTGATAAGAAAGGGTATATCATCCCCTGGTCTTTAAAAGCTTAGAACCCATGATGTAGGGAGAGAGTACCTAAATAAAATTGTTCTAATATGAAACAGGCAAGATGACGATTCACTGACAAAGTTCCAGACTTACAAATTTTGGTTGAAATAGTGTTGGGATAAAATAAGAAATTGGTGATTCTCTTTTTGAAGATAGCTGCAGTCAGTTACACCTGTGTACAAGAAATGTTTGCTTATTTTAAGAATTCAGTTCTGTAACTGAACTCTACATGAAGGGCAAGGATTTAATTTTTGGCAGAAGTATGGGAATTCATAAAATCTGTCAATTTCCAATCTTTATGTATTACATTTTGTATACAGTAAAAGGTGAAAGTAAAGCTCCATACATTCTTAATTTCGGTACTTCCTGGAGACCAATCAGCTTCATATTTGGCCCCTTTACCCCCACTAGTAATTGTAAGGGGCCCATAGCCAGTCTGGATCGGCAGCAAGATGAAAAATCCCTGCCAGAGCTGGATATAAAATCCTGGTTTTCCAGCTAGTCATATTTTAGCTATTCTGGCTCATGATTTGTACATTAATATATAAATAAATAGAATTCCTGTTCAGTATAAACTTGTCTCCGTTTGCATGCATTCTAACCTTTTCATACAGGATTAAAGTAATTTACAATTCCACAGTGTCATATACAGAGTTATACTATGATGCAAATAAAACATTTTGATTTATAACTTTGGTTTTCAGGTGAGAGTTGTGTAAAATGTTTGGTGTTAGCCAATGTTTCGGCAGACATTGCAGTTGCCATTTTCAAGGTGGGTATGAGGTGGGGTGAATTCTGCAGGTCTTATATGGGGCAGGCATACAACTTAACCATGAAGATTGTTACAGATTAAGCACAGCCTGGCTTCACCTCTTTGTCCCCAAATCACCAGGTCCTCAAAAGGGCTGGTCCACCATCACCTCTCCAGTCATCATGGTTGAAGAAGAGCCACCAATCCCCTACACACAATCACAGCAAATCCTTTCCTGTCCAACATGGTCACCTGAACCTCTCTTGTCACCTTTCTTCAACCACATGCTCCTCTCCTATTAGATAGCAGCCCTCTCCTTCGCTCCACCAGTGAACACCATCAAATTTATATTGCCACTTACTGCCTGCCCTATATATGGCCTCCAGAACTTTGATTTGACGAAACACAACAGAATGTAGGATGAGAAGCTGTCATGGGTCTGATTGTGAATTGTTTTTATATAGCTGTAGTTCTTAAAGTACTTTGAGGTCTTAATGGGAGTAAAAGTATGGACTGTGGTCTTCTGGTTTGTGACACACAATGTAGTCTTATAGGTGGTTGCCCGAGAGTCTTTCATTAACTTTGGTCGTGGCGAAAGCTTCACTTTGTACATTCCTCAGAAATGTTGGTGTCCACCTAAAATACTACAGTGTCAAAACCCTTATCACAATGGCTCTCAGTTACAGATTATGGTTTACTTTCCAACATTTATAGCAAGAGTTACTCAGTGATTCAGTTATGACAGTCTGGAATATGTCACTTGAAATAAACCATTAACATGCAATATATATTTGTGTTAAAATTGTTAGTCATGTGAATACAATGTATTAGGGACATCACATATTTGGCATGTGGCAGATGTGACCAGGTTTCTAATTTAACTGGAGGGTTTGGAAGATCCAATGACCTGTCTCATACTTGTTGCTATGTGTAAATAACATAGATGTGGATAATGAGAGTCAATTACAAATACCATACAGACTGAATCTAGAACCTCCACTGACAGAAGTCAACATCTAACGACATGAATTATGGTTTAGTCCTTTATATATTTTGACATTACCTGTAATTCCTCTGCTTTGCTGCCATGTCCATAATGTTTCTGGGGCCCAGTATCTAGGAACAGAATAACCAAGTATGAAGGCAACATCCTAGCATTCTTTTATGAATCACTTCAAGCACTGTTTTCAAGTTACAAAAAAATATGTTACTGATGTGTGTGGTGTTGACAGGACACACTTGTGGCTCTTGTTCCCAGACAAATCACTTGCCCACCATCTGTGACACATGTAGTAGTATGGGGTTAACATATCAACAGTAGACACATGACAATATGGACTGCAAATTAGGCCCTTTGGCTTCTTCTGAAGCATCACAACACTTGGCTAGTCAAAAGTCTTGTCCCAAACAGGACCTGAAACCCTGATCTCATCAGGCAGCTCAATGCCATGCACAGCTTACTCTTTCCATCAGTGTTGTTTAAAATTGAATGGGCAAGGGATGAAGCCATATACTGGAAGGCACCTGTGCTGCTAAGTGAAGAAAACTTGATGAAGATGCATCTCTATGTGTGCAAAGTACCCTTAAAACATAATTTCATTTTGCTTAAGAACAAATTGCCAAGTTCCATTCATATGTTTTTACACAAGGAAAATAGGGGAAAGAATACCCTTACCTAAATCCAAATTTTGCTGTATAATCTGTCGGATTAGCATGTCAGTTGCATGGAGACTTGTATGTTAGTGCCAACAGCTGTCCTGAAGGGACATGATTCCTTAAATGGAGTTGACATAACCTGTCCATACTGAAGAGAACTGGGTGCAGAAGATTTTCCTGGAAATTTTCAGATATGTCCAGCCTTAACTTTTATATTTTTACCATGCGTGATTCATAATCAGACGTATGGAACAAAACTGTATCATGGGAAAGTAAGATTACATACTGCATTGCATATAAAGTACATTTGTAATACCTAGATGCCATGAATGTGATATTTAGTAAGAAAACCAATTTTGAATAAATATATTAGAGACTTATTGAAGACCTGTGGGCCATACTTAAGAGGGCCCTGTTATAGAGCATTAAATGAAAAACATAACCCATATTTAAGCCAAAATATATAAGTAAATTGACACTAGGAATGTTACATTCAAAATGGAACCTGCAGTTTATCTTATGTGGTGTTTATTTTGAAATGTACTGAAAGGTATTAAACTGAGGCTCCCATTGCTTTCAGTTCTGAGAAAATGCTAAGGTGTAAGGATCTAGGTTTGTTCTCTGAAAAAGAATGACATCTGCGCCCAATATTTCATATAGTCTGCTAAAAGATTCATAGGATCATGGAAGATTATATGAGGGTGATTCACATTTGACCTGGAATTTTCAACATGGATTACAAACCCATCCTAAAAAAACTGTGCTGCAGGAATACTAGTATTCCCATCTTGGTGGGACAAGTGTGCACGTGTAGAAGTGGTGTTCTCAACCCATAGCCTTTGGCCAAGTCACCCACATGCATTACCATATTTTATCACTGTGTAGCGCAAAATAGTTTCTGCATAAATGATACATTTAATTTTAAGTTTGTAATTAATATAAATAAGTCAAATTAGTGCAGAAAATTATCCAGTAACATGAACCTATATGTGGTGATAAGTCAATATTATTTTTAATAAACTCTTGAAATTTCAATAGACAACTCTTTCTAACATGATGGTACACAAGTTGATAAGAAAGGGTATATCATCCCCTGGTCTTTAAAAGCTTAGAACCCATGATGTAGGGAGAGAGTACCTAAATAAAATTGTTCTAATATGAAACAGGCAAGATGACGATTCACTGACAAAGTTCCAGACTTACAAATTTTGGTTGAAATAGTGTTGGGATAAAATAAGAAATTGGTGATTCTCTTTTTGAAGATAGCTGCAGTCAGTTACACCTGTGTACAAGAAATGTTTGCTTATTTTAAGAATTCAGTTCTGTAACTGAACTCTACATGAAGGGCAAGGATTTAATTTTTGGCAGAAGTATGGGAATTCATAAAATCTGTCAATTTCCAATCTTTATGTATTACATTTTGTATACAGTAAAAGGTGAAAGTAAAGCTCCATACATTCTTAATTTCGGTACTTCCTGGAGACCAATCAGCTTCATATTTGGCCCCTTTACCCCCACTAGTAATTGTAAGGGGCCCATAGCCAGTCTGGATCGGCAGCAAGATGAAAAATCCCTGCCAGAGCTGGATATAAAATCCTGGTTTTCCAGCTAGTCATATTTTAGCTATTCTGGCTCATGATTTGTACATTAATATATAAATAAATAGAATTCCTGTTCAGTATAAACTTGTCTCCGTTTGCATGCATTCTAACCTTTTCATACAGGATTAAAGTAATTTACAATTCCACAGTGTCATATACAGAGTTATACTATGATGCAAATAAAACATTTTGATTTATAACTTTGGTTTTCAGGTGAGAGTTGTGTAAAATGTTTGGTGTTAGCCAATGTTTCGGCAGACATTGCAGTTGCCATTTTCAAGGTGGGTATGAGGTGGGGTGAATTCTGCAGGTCTTATATGGGGCAGGCATACAACTTAACCATGAAGATTGTTACAGATTAAGCACAGCCTGGCTTCACCTCTTTGTCCCCAAATCACCAGGTCCTCAAAAGGGCTGGTCCACCATCACCTCTCCAGTCATCATGGTTGAAGAAGAGCCACCAATCCCCTACACACAATCACAGCAAATCCTTTCCTGTCCAACATGGTCACCTGAACCTCTCTTGTCACCTTTCTTCAACCACATGCTCCTCTCCTATTAGATAGCAGCCCTCTCCTTCGCTCCACCAGTGAACACCATCAAATTTATATTGCCACTTACTGCCTGCCCTATATATGGCCTCCAGAACTTACCCCATCTCATACCCACCTTGAAAATGGCAACTGCAATTTCTGCTGAAATGTTAAACACCAAACATTTGACACAGCTTTCATCCAAAAGCCAAAGTTACACATTTATCTCCAGGCACAAAAACCTGTGGACAAGAAAATATTTTGAAATATGGATCATCATTTACCTATTTAAATATGGTTTCGAAAGACACATTTGCTGTGAATGACACAACTCCACAGAGCAGAGTCCTTCAGAAGAAAACAGCTCTGAATTTACAGGCTTTTACATAACCTGAATATCTGTTTCTGTGTTCACAATGGACATCACCAATACCTATCCTGAGCCACATGAATCCAGTCCACACCCTACTGTCCTGTTTCCTTAAGATTAATTTTAAAATTAGTACCATCATCTATGCCTAGTTCTTGTAAATGGCATCTTTCCTTCAGGTTTTCCAACTATGCTTCTTGTTTTGGTCATCATAATGTTTGGAAGAGACTAACTTAGTTACTTTTTGCTTTTAAACCCTTTAGAGAAATGTATTTAGAACCAAGGTTCCAATATCATAGATGATACAAGAAAATTTCACGTAGGTAGACTGTATCAAGTTACTTCATCTGCACAACCACTCAGAAAACTCCTCTGCATACATAATTTAACAGTCCGACATTCACACTTTATTATTACAGTTATGAAAATCACCTAAGTAATGTCACCTGTTATAAGAAATGAACATGCGCATCAGAACAGTTTTCTATTCCGTATATTACGCAGTTCTGAGGGCTGATAATACAGCTGAGGGTCTCCATACACAGGATCTATTGATGAGCCCTGAACTAAAGTCCGATTTCCATATGTTAAGCTTGGGTGGTATGTTGTTTGTGATGCTGCAACGGCTTCTGCCAGAGATGCTGAGAAGAAATACAAAATGTGGCACATAAATTATGTTGTAAGCACCAGTGGTTCCATTACAGACACTCCCATGACAGTGTAAAAACATCTCAGCGTGTTCACTACTTTCTAATTTCCATGAAAAGGTAAAGGTATTCCTGTGCTTAACTAAGTACTATACCAGGAGTTTTGACCCTGTGGCCTGCATGCAGCCCACATAGTTTTTTTAATACTCTGTTATCCTGTGTAACGAAAAGTATTTAATTATGTATATCAGAAAATATGCTTTGTTAATGTTGTCAGTATTTTGATGTGCCTCTTGCATTGAGCAATTTATCAGCTTAATGAAGGATGTCAGGACATGTTTTCCAAACATATAGAGATGCTAATTGCAAGAACAAAAATTAAATCTGAAAGAGTAGTCAAGCAAAAGTGTTAATACAGAGTATGGGTCATAAAAGTCAATATAGACTGACAGCAACGTATTTTCATAGATATTAGTGTAATACCAAATTTATACCATCTGTTGGTTGAACTGGCAGTAAAACTGTGTTTGACATATGTCAAAATGTGGATTTTCTTCAAGAAAATATCTAGTTCTCAACACATTAATTCAAACTGTAAGTGTATGCTTTCTAGCAGTATGACAATGTGACTTACTGGATGATGGCATCACAGTAGAAGCTTGAATTGATGGCATGTGTTGTAACGGGACAGGTTGCACCATGAAGTGGATGTAGCGGTGGTATGCTGGGAACACAATCACACATTTATTTTTTACCATTTCTGTTCTGTGACTATCTGCACCTCCAGTATTCCTTATGAAGCTATGTACAGCAGTCTGTAAACATGCACCTGTCTAATGCAAAATCATAATCTAACTTCAGTTTTTTGCCAATGTCGATCATATGACTTTCTCTGCCACAAAGCAAATACCAGTTTTTTTTCTCCCACCCAGTTTCACATGTTGCCAACTGCTCATACTGCTCTTCGACATTATGCAGATAATTTAACTATACACCATATAACAGGAGTAATACTTGTGCTGTCATCTGTATAAAAAATGGGGTAATTCCAAATTATGGTGATATGTCCTGGGAGGAGGAAACATAACTGTCTTATGGTAATGCACCTGTATAATGATCTACTCAGGCTATTGACTCAACCATAAATCACTAATATCACGACAAAGCAGGTACTGGTGACACTTGCCAATGGAAGACCTGTTATTCAAATGTGGCATTCAGAACCCCCCACCCATAATTTGATTTACACACATGTACGTTTGTTCAAATCTGTGCACGTGTCTGCAATTTCAATACAAATCAACACATTTATTCTCACATGTATGCACCTGTAGAAAATTATGGGCAGCATATGGGTGGGAGTTATGCATGGACAGCAAATAGTAGGTAGGACTTCTGCTTGAAGAGAACAAATCCTAATATGTCGGTGGTTGCAAGACCAAGAGGTTATGTAAATATGAGAAAAGCTTAATGTCTTGGTTCTGATATCGGTAAAAAATGTCAGGAACACTGCAATATTATTCAAAACTCCATAGTTCAGGTTCATTGTCCTGCACTATTTCAGTTCAGTTCACATTTTCATGACCTTTGCCTGACATCTACTTCAATACTACCTTCCCACATCAAATACCTTAAAACATTAAACAACAGAAAGTGTAAAATTACCATAAGATGTAACGAGGAAGATGATGATAAGTGATCCTATGATAGTAAATGTGTGACGATAATAGTAAACAGTATCGCTGATAGGCAAACCAAGTTTTGACATGATACATGAACCTTGGCTCCATGCAGATTCTCCAACTAGGCGAACCTTAACTGGCACCTGTAATAAAAGAACATGCTTTCAAATGCCACCCATAGTTTCACAAAGCTTTTTGAAGTCATGGTATATTACCAATAAGTGTGTAAAAGCACATGTTCATTCACTCCAGATACAGACTTCTGTAGAAAGCTTGTCACACTATATAGTTAGAAGTTACGTTAATTAAATATCACCACATTAAAAAAAGTTCTAAGTTAAAGCCATAGTGATTAATGAGGTCTATATGTTATGAATTTTTTTTTAGAAAATCTTTACAGGTGCATTTGGGCTTCCAGTACAGCTGGAGTTACAATGGATGAATATTAACCAAAATTAATTTGACCTCACACTCCAGTGTACACACATCAAAATCCATCCAGACAGGATGGGACCTCATCTTAATGCAATCCTTAGCCATCACATTTTGAAACTTGTCAACAGACATACAAGAGGAGAAGTTTTAACACCAATATCTAGGAATAGTGTTATTGCATGGATCATGACAATCAGAAAGGAGAAGAAAATAATGTTGGGAAGCATTCAGTTTATTTCTGCCATAGCTGGTCTGCTGCACTATGAAACTAAAAGGGTTCTCACTCATATCTGGCCAGTCATGGATACCATTTCCTTGAATGGAATACTGAATCTGACTCCTATGGCAAGGTGCCATCCATTCTAGGCAATATGAAGGCAGTCACATGATTGTCATTTCAAGTTCTTGCCAACAGATGATATGAAAATGCTGATCTCTAAACTTTCAACAGCTGTGCATCTAATTCTGTACATTTTGACAAATAAATACAAACACTGACATGAAGAAATAGCAGGCACAGAAGCAAACAGTGTACATGACAACACAAGGTGGTAAATACTGCACCTCAATATTTTGGAATGTTATTGCAGATTTCACAATAACAGATAATGGAATGGTCAAATCTCCCTCCTTCCAGTACTTCTCTGTAAGCTGCACTTGGTAATGTACTTCAGTTGTGTCCATGATCTCTGGTCCACTCACTGTCAGAAAGTCTTCCCTATTGTGTGGAGAAACCTGATGAAAACCAAATATTAAATACTGCAGCAGTTAGTAACCATTTCACTAATAAAGAAATTCAGACATTTTTACACAATATGACCCTATCCTGGGGTCAGTATTCCAGTATGACCAAAATAACAGATCGAGGAAAATATATTAACACAGTTGCTCAGTCAGAACAGGGAAACTGTAGAGCCAAGAATCAAACTCGGGACCTAATCTGAACCAGCAGTTCTAATCGTGATCCCATGATGCACTATTTCATTTCCTGTTTCATCATCATGATTACTGCTGCAGACATTATGAATATATATCAAGAGGATGATGTGATGGACATGCATCATCATGAATCAGGTAAGAATAAGGTTTCATAGGATTGTGACTGTGAGTGAGATGTATGCGTATAGGTTTGAATTGTGGCTACTGCTGCCAGGAAAAACAAAATAAAATAAAGAATAAAGTATCAGTGGGTTAGCAGCTGAATGCCCAAATATGATAAAAGAGCCAAATTGTAAAATATCTTGCAAACACACCCTTGGTGCATGTATTGATCAGTCAACACGGTGCCAAAACACACATCATTACCCCATGAAAACCTGAAATCTCACATACCCTTGACAACTGACAGTCTCCAAATAAATCAACTTTGTTACAATGACTGGCTGAAGAATTTTAATACCAATGCGTTACAGAGCAACTCAATGCAAATATGCTACAACTTACTTTAAGCTGTTTCAAAACACCAGGCCTGCCAGAGACAGTGATGTAAGCTGACATTCTGGCATCACTCAAGTTCACTTGCTTGGCATGAACATACACAGTGGGCAAAAAAGGAATTTTTAAAGGTTTTGAGAGCATGGAGCCACTGAAAACCTGCAGACTAAAATTGGTGTGCAACACACTTTTATTAAATGTTGGAACTCCTGAAGATATTATCACGCATCCATATGTACCTGCAAAAAATTAATTCCCATTACTCTTTTGCCAACCAAGCGAAACAGATCCTTCATAAAGTTGTATAACACACTAAAATAACAAATACTTTACCAAAACTTATCATTAGACACAGGATTTTTATGCACTAAAAATCTACAAAACATGTAGTCATCCATACACTAATAACTACATAAACATGCTATGTTGCTGACTGATCCCCAGGTTTTCACCTTCACCCTTCTTTCCATTTGTAATTTGCCTTGCTGTATGTTACAGTTTTTTAATATATATTTTCTGAATTAAGTTTGTGAAACCAGTGTGTCAGGAAATGTCCATATACACAGACCTTCCACTATTCATAGATGTACCAGAACAGTATTTAAACAAGGCTGCAAGATTCAGCAGTATCTGCTCTGGAAGATCTGAGCACTCTCCCTGCAAATATTTTCTCATAGCAATGACAGCTTTCCATCCTGGAATTTCCTTGTAGAACATTACATAATGATAACATTCATCCATACAGGTTTCTCTTAGAGTCAATTCTTGTAAAATATTAAATTTACAATCTACAGAAAATTTGGAAATATGTATTATTAAGAAGATGGCTGTCTTCTGGGATGTTGTGCCATGTAGTCTGATAGAAGTTTACTGACGTTCAGAGATCCTTACTGCCTCCATCATATGGATAATAATGGAGGCAGTAAAGACCTCTGAAACATCGGTACGCGTTTACCAGACTACACGGCGCAACAACCCAGAAGACAGCCATCTTCAGACTCACCACCGTGAAAACCTCAAATCCCATATACATTATTCACTTTATTCCACAGGATGTTTGCAGCAATCATTGCTTCACTAAGTTCACACACAAAAAACCACTGCCTTTGTAAGAAAATTGCAGTTTTTGTGTTGTTATTGTTTGTCTTTGAGGTACCAATAATTTTCTTGCTGCTACATGTGCACTTGCATTTGAATGTTGCATCAGTTCAAACTCTTCTCTCACACACAGGATTTGTTTCTGGCACTGTTGACTAAATACAGCTTTACTCTTTGTACTACGTTCTGCATTATCTCTGATCCATTGTTTTAATAAAGTACAAGTACTCAGCTTGATTGTTGGCATATTAATTAAAATAACTACAACACAAAAAAATATGAACCCTCAGGCCCCTGCACACCATTCCTCTCCGAGAATTCTTTATACCATACAATATTACAGGGATGCCAATGATAAAAGGTGCTCAGTGAAATAAACAATACCTCAGTGGAGTATACAAAAATCATTTTTGTTGCCTGAAAGACCCAATATAACAGAACTGTTATGCACAACTGTTGGTATGTTATGAACTCAATTTGTAACTACCATCTCCCTCTCCTTTATGATGCAATAATGCTCCTATGGCATGAAAAATTATAATAATATTAGTTATATAAACATTTAAACAGGCACAAATACTATAAATTGTTAAAGGTGACATAACATTATAAAACACACATGAATGTAAAAACAGCTAGAATATGCCAAATATATGGATATATTCATTCATTATGCCAAGTCTCTGCCTGGTGCCTGCTCATATCTGTTTGATTAATCTGTCACTATGTTTTTTCTAATTTTTTTATTAACTTGTAATTCCTTTATATTTCACCTTAATGTATCTATTAAAGTTGTCATTTGTTACTAATAGTCCATGAATGGTTTTAATGAGATCTGGTAGTGAGAACCTATGCCTTCTCTGAACCAGCTAAGTATATTTGTCTTTTAGGTCAATGGTTTGGGGTTTCTGGTATCTTCCCCAGATTACTCAGAACTCTGGTGGCACCCAAACAGCTGCCTTTAGGGTGCTATTTGTCTTTTAGATAAACTTGTTCTGTAGCCAGATGAATTACATAAGCCACCAGCACCCCTACTGTCACAAAGGATAGAAAAGGAAATGAAGACAAAAGAGAGAGGAAGGGAGAAAGTGAAAGACAAATTAGGAGTTAACAATCGGACAAAGTTTCCCTTGCAATACCACTAATCTTGTTGAATATACTAACCAGTATGTGTATCAAAATCCTGATGAACAGCAAACACATCCTGGATGTCAACTTCTGCCACTGGAGTGTCAAAACGCAATTCACACATGAAAGGAAAAGATGTAGCATGGTACTTAACAGGACATGTTCCATTTCTAGTTATGAGATTGCCAATCTTATCTTTGTCCTTCACATTGCCCAAAACAATTGGCACACGGAACTCATGATTCAGATCAGTATTGATCAATGTCTTGTTTGAGGGCTCCAGGAATGTTATCTGTAAGCAACGAGAGACATACAGCAATGTAATTTATAACATCTCAAGGCGAAAGGAACAGCAAGTAGTGTGGACAGGACCAGATCTAGGAAAGCCTGGTTTAAATTAATTTTAAAAACAATGTACTATAGTCACTTCTTGAAAATCTGATATAGTCAAGTCAGCTGCTTGAGAGCTTCCCTGTTATGGAACCCAAAAATTTATGACTTTATTAACAAAATCCTACCACTGAAACACACACAGCCCCACAACCCTATATAAGAATATTATTTATTTACAGATTACAATTTAAACAAATGTATACACATATATTAAGATACAGACTAGTAACACACAGAAAAGAACAACGGATCGCTAAGCAGTCCCACGAACCTGTGTCAGCTCTCCATCCTACTTTCTAAAACAGGAAAAGACCCACCCAATTTAGTAATGAAAAAAGAGAGAGAGAGAGACGTTAAGTGTCCGATCACCGGGCAGACATAACTCATGACTCACACTGGTCCCTGTATAACAAAACTGGAGAAGACCAAGGTGCAGTCTGATGGGAAATTGGTAAGATTTAGAACAGGGTGATACAAAGGAAAGGTAGGAAGGTACAGAATGACACAAAGGAAACATTACATCATACATACCATCCATCTCACCCTCCTTCATGTAATATACTCTAATAATATTACATAAAGCTGGTATTTAGTGTAGAAACACATGACACAGAGTTTGTAATCTTTTGCAATGCTAAACCTCAATTATTATAACAAAACTGTAAATACGCTTTTTCTCCTCTCTTCCTTTACACTGTTCTTGGGCACAAGGGAAATTTTACATTTCACAGATTAATAGAAACAAGGCCATTTTGTGGGACAATAGGCAGTGCAGCTTACCAAGTTCATTGGAAGGGTCTCCAAATTGACCAAAGTATGGACAGATCCCAAACGATGCTTCACAACCACACTCCCGACTCCTTGTACTTTACCAGTGCCCAACACTGGGTCCAAAGTCAGAACATTTTCATTATCTGTTTCCCACATCCCATGCACTCCATCAAGAGATGACAGTGGAATGGAGAAGCAAACAATATCGCCAACTGTCAAGCTTCGCTGTCATAAAACAAGGCATACAGCAATTAGACATACATTTCTTCTACATATCAAGTATGAGAAAACAGCTCAAATTTAGAGAATAATAACAACATCAAAAATATCTATATAAATTTGGACATATTTGTTACTTTGTATAATGGACTGGATTACTGCTTTACATATTTCTGTAACATTCACTGATGAAAGAAATGTTCTGTAACAAAGTCATGGTGTTAGTTAAATATTCTACAGGTTACTGACACTGTATCAACTGCTTAAGTAGTTTAGTACTGATTTCTCCTTGTACCTCTCTTCTTAAGAGAATGTTTATATTTTGAATTTAAATAATATTTAATACTGATTTTATAAAATGAAGTGTCTCTATTTATATGTCACAAGGACAGTGTTCAATATTCTTTAAGGCACTTGCCAAAAACTAACAGAAAGTTAGCAACTTACATTAAAATAAAATATGCATCCTTATTTCAACTTCTCTTATTCCCTGAATTATGGTAAGATTTTAAAGAAAATGGTGCCAAATTTGTACATCAAAAAATTACAAACACAATTCAAGCATTACTGTCTTCAGTCTTTCTTGTCCCATGAAAACCATAATTAAAGTCCACTCACAATATGTAGTAAATCCTTTGCCTTTTCAGGAAATATGACGTCTCTCACGTTAAACTTTACATAGTCCGCTGCCTGCTGTGGAGTCTGAGCATCCCAAACTTTTAACAAGGTGTGTCCTTCATCCACGAGGTTTGCGATGAGTGAGTTCTTGGCTTCTGCACTCCTCACCTGGGCGAGATCAAACCTGTTTGTTCTCAGTTTGATACTGGACTTTGTGGCAGTGAAGGGAGAACCAGAGCTGTCATGGTAACTCACAGTAAACTGTATTTCAAAGCCTCGTGGTATAAATTCTAGTGACTCTTCATCCTCCACATGCACTATCTTGTGGGCTGTCAACATTATGTACAGAACTTCTTTAACCTGTCCAAAATAAACATACACATCCTTTACCATTCTATATAATTTCAGAGACCCTATATTGACTTCTGTTGCCTCTGTTTGTTCCCATTTATAACACATATTACTTGCCTACTGTGGCATGTGGAACAAAAACAAAGACATGATTTAAGATAAATGTAAACACATTAAAAACAGCAGAAATGAAGTTCAAATGAAGCAGTAATAAATTACAACAGGGGATAAAACCTGAATCCAGAACATGTTGAATCAACTACCATTAAGGAGAGCAAGAACAATGGTGAATACCTCAAGTTAGGAAAGACAAAGAACAGAGGGAGTTTTGTCATAAGATGTCTGACCTGGTGAAAATGTCAATGCATGGTAATGATCTCATCTATGGGTGTCCCCATCTACCAACCAGAAAGAAAGTCACAATAATATTGTCTCAAGATTACCCAAATTATCCAAGTCTTGAATTATGTTGAGATTTGTATCATTTCTGGATGATCTTGCAGTGTTCTTGTTTGGCAGCATCTTGGAAAAGTTACTAGTCTCCATTTTTGAGGTCCCCATTGTTCTAAATGTTCCATTAACATGTGTACACTTCTCACTCAAGGAATCAAAATAAAAGTTGTAGATCTTAATGATATCGATTTTAGAGGAAACCAATGAAGTTCCATTTCAGCTTCATGCAAAGAATGTGCCTAGGCCAAGACCAATTCAAAGCAACAGTAAACTTTCCTAACAACTCTCAATAAAGATCAAACCAGATTTAATTGAGATCAGTAGCTTCACATACAAAATCTGCAGAGGGACACGCAGACAGATATGATCTTGGGCTTGTGTGTTCACTTTATGTAATACATCCAAATACATAAAAATGTACCTAGGAAATTCTATACAAATATAACCATCTTATGCACAATAACAATTTTTATTTAACCAGTAACAGAGTTATGTTTAGTAAATACCTGAATTAGAAATATTAAATTTGTTCACATCTGATTATGTTATGACAGTTATATTGAGTCTAAGGCACTACAAAAAATTATATAGGATTTTTTTATGGACTGTCAGTGATGCACCAGTACAGCTTTACCTTCACCTGTCATTGAAACTCTTAAACACTGCACTACCCCCAGCATCCAATAATTCAGTCCATAAATCGCATCACCATGCCAAAATACACTGCCCATTAGTAATTAACTTCATTACTTTAATAATGTAAACCTGTAACTTGTTAAATAGATAAAATCTATGTTGTGCATAAGAAAGATAATACATTAATAAAGTATATCCTATATTACACAAGAGAATGCCATGATCCAACACATAAATTTATGTTTTTTAAAGCAAATCAAGTGATGTGAAAGGACCACAGGAAAAATCTTGCATCTACACATTTGGATCTATTCCAGAACCTAACATATAGAATCCCCATCAAGTTCTACCCATTTAATGTGAAACCATCATTACCTCAAAGTTCAGGTGTTACTCAGTACTGTCTAAATTCACTGCACCCAGGACACTCACCTCTACACTGACACTGAGGATCTGTTTAATGCCAAAGTCTTCTTTTGATACCACCATAATCACAGATCTTCCTAGTCGGCTGTGTGACCTCACAAGGCCTGTTGGTTCCACTGTCAAGAACTGGTCAGATTCCATCAATGCTTTACTCACAGTTTCATTGTCAGAACTGTGTCCTGTTGTCAAAATTTTTCCCCCTAAACTATACGTAACTTGCTGAGCCAAACCATCTCTGTTTGTTTTCAACTGCACTTCTGAATTTGGAGCCAAGACAAGGAGTGGAGATTGCTGAGATAATGGATATGGTGGGTGTATCAAGAAGAGCTCTTCAAATACTTCAATCTCCAAAGAGTCTTGAAATTCTGGTATATCCACTCTGCCACCCATTTCTGGTGGAAGATACACGTCCATTCGAAGTAAGGTGCGACCAGCAGTCATGGCAGAGAACCGCATTGACACCATATCTTCCTGCGGTATAACAAGACCAAAATCTTCAAACACATGTTGCACCACTCCAACCTCCCTTGCAGTCACACTCCAAGAAAACCTTAAAGGTGGATCCATGGATCCAATGATTATTGGAGACAACACATCAGGTATGCCTTGTGCCCATACTGGCATGGTGCTTCCAGTTTTCAGCCTCGTTAAAGGTGTATAAACCTTAATTCCTTGTATCTCAATCACGTGCACATTAATTGAGTCCTGGGAATATACAACTCTCTGTCCAGTGACCTTGTTCACACCCACAGCTTTGCCAGTTATCACTGTAGCACCCAGTTTATCACCTGTCACCACTCCTGAAGTGCTTATACTCACTATATCAGCAGAAGCAACAGAGTATTCAACATTTGCATCTGACCGAGGCCCACCATGACTTGTGATCTGTAACTTTGACCACACAGTCAATGTCATGTTGCGCGGAAACAGCCGCAGAGGTGGAAAAACTTGAACAAACACACGCTGACTCTGGATCTCTCTCTTTCCTCTACCACTTATAAACTTCAAACCTGTTTCACCAAGTTCCAATCCTGTCACTAGGTATCGTATCTCTCCCAAGGACAACAGTGACTTTTTATCTTGTTGATGTAACTTTACACCTATGATCCCAGAGTCTGTTACAGGTCTCAAATCTAAGAATTCTGCACTTGGGACAGGAAGCAGGTTTTCCATGGTATCATACAAGTGAACTATAGCAGAAACATACTGCCCTCGTTCTACCCTTTCTGCAACTTCCACTTTGATATTGCCCACACCCAGAACTTGAATTTCAGCAATGGCAGGTTTGGACACCAAACACAGATCAACAAGTGCAAGCTTCAGCAAACCATCAACTTTTGGAATCACTTCCAGAACTCTCGTACTTTCCAAATAAATGACATCTGCTATTTCCTCTGAACTAAGCACAAATTCATAATAGCCTGAGCCCTGGTTCACCTGAAGATTCACTCTGTTCCGAGGATGATTAAAAACTGATGTATGATTTGGAGTTATGATAGTGTCATTCACAAGTGTCAAACTCAAAGAAGCCTTAATTTCTGGTGTCACAATGTAACCTCTCTCATTGGCAATGCCAAAAGGTGGGTCTTCAGGCAATATATCCATGTGGGCCAGCATGTGAGTTTGATAAGCAACAACTGCTACAGTCACTTCCGTCATTCCAGTTTTTGATTTTGGTTTCAGTATTTGATAATATTTATGTGGTAAAGTAATGTCTTTCTCTTGAATATCCTCTGCAAGAACTGTCCCTTTTTCCCATACAGTTGCAAGAGAGGGGTGAGACACCTTCCAATCAAAGTACAAACTCGTTATGTTATCGAACACACAACCATGCTCATCCTTCACCATCACAAGTAGTTCCACCTGCTTGTAGTTCTGAGTCACCAGCTTCTCTGAATTCAGATTCAAGGGACAGGAAGAGCTATCAGGCATTTTGAGTTCAGAGGTCAAACTGACATAATGAGGCTTAGCACATCGAACCTTGATAGTGGCCATGGCTACAGAGCTCTTGCTATGTCCTAATGATGGCATATTTGTGACATGCAAAGTCACATCAACTTTTCCCAGCTGTCTGCACAAAATTCTATATGTGTACACATCAGGGGAATCGACTGTCTTTTCATCTAACTCTGTTATTTCAACAATCTGTTCTTCTCCCTGTATCATTAATTGGTGCACATGCTCAGAGGACCGACCAATCCATGGATATGGACCTCCAGAAAACATTACTTCTCTTGAAGTTCCAATTGCCAGAACAGTTTCTCCTGAGACAGGATACATTACTGTGAGTGGTCTGTAAGCTCCAATAACAATGCTGTCTGCCATGGTGTGGCCGTTGAAAATATAGGACACAGACACTTTTGAAGTCCCAACAGCATGACCAATAATGGCAACTGTGGTGCAAGAAATGCCAACAGGTGTAATTTTCAACGATGAATTCTGGAAATTATCATTCCAGGCTTTGACTATCAAAGGAAGGTCATCACAATGAGTAAATGGAATCCTGGTGTTGGCAGGGTGTGACGTGTTAGGCCAATCTGCAAACAATGCCACATGTAGATATATAGCAGTTCCTATCTCAGCCTCCAGCATATACTCCACTATTTCTAAATGGCTTGCTGGTAAGACATGGATAGTGGCCATGTCTTGATTGTGGAGATTGCGGGTCATTGCAGCAGATATCTTCACTTGACCCAGTGTCTGTGTTTTCACAATACCAGTCTGTGTCACCATGGCAACAGATGTGTTGTAGCTTTTCCAAGTGAAGCTCCCATCACCACCAGATGCATTTAAAGCCACTTCAAGTCTGTAAAATGAAATACGATAAAGTAATTTATGGTGCATAATAAACATTATCAAATTCCCACTGGACAGTTCTGCTACCTCAACCTTAACTTCACACTGTGCAACCCATTGTCACAACCAAATCACGAGTAATATCTGTAGTGGAGGAAATGGCACACCCTAATTCAAAATCCTTCAGTCATGGTAGAATAACCTGAAATTTGGTTTGGAAGAAATACTGATACCACTACCAAATGTAACTTAAATTTGAGTTTTGATTAGAATTGTTTGTGTATGTTTATAACAGTCACAAACAATCAATGCAGTTGGAAAAATCAAACACATCTGTCATGACCAAGAAATATTTTCTTCTTGTCATATTTGTCTTTGTTTTTCACAGTTATGTTTAATTACAAGGATACTACCTTGCTGATAACACTGGACTTTCGTCTGCACAGCCACACCCACCTGGCTCTAAGGTACACCCAGCCTACTTCAGGCTCTTTCCCCAGAAGTAAGGCAATGGGAGAAGCAGATGGTGCATCTCCATCTAGAGCTAAGGCATGCTTTACCTGCATGCCCTAGTGCTAATACAGATGAAACTTTGCCTTCATACCTAGTATTATTTGGCTAATTAAAACTTCAGAACCCAGTGGTAACTGCATGTACCACCTGTTTCAACTACAACTCTGAATTTTGCCCACATTGTATTTACAGCTCTTATGTGATTCTCAGAGTAAACCGATTAGTTCCCTAAACAGCATTAGCCAGTTAATCTTTATAATGGAGATGTGTGTGTGCATGCATGTAAATGGGGTGCGCACCTAACCTACCCATGACCATTTCTGATCTTTTGTTCATTCACTTAATCTACAAGCAACACTGTACCTCACAAAAAGTACAGTATCCTACATAGCAGGATTTCATAGATGTCGTCTCGGCTTACTGGTAGCCACAATCAAGGCCTTCCTAGAGATCCCAGGTCTCATACAGACCCCAGATCTTTGGGAATGGTTAACCCCTCTAACTAGGGTACTGCCCTCAGACTTTGGCCTTTTAGGCACCATGGTCAGGTCCATACTTACTTATGTTGTATGCTGGGATCCCAAGGCAGTGCAACCTCAGATGGGTGTATAAAAATTCTATTATAGATCAACATATCAGCAACTGCAGAGATTGTTGGAGATGGATGCAGGATACCAGAAAAATCCCTCACTCCTTCCAAAGTGGCATTGACTTGTGCTGCTCCTGCTTCCACTGGCCAGCCATAATGGTGTGTGTTGTTGGCTGTGCTGTACTCAACATGAAAATACTGCTCTGGGATCAAGGCTGACACCTGCACTCCATCCCCAACATGGAACTTGTGGTCATCACTGGAATCAAAATAATTGTTTTAAGTCCCTCCAATTTATTGTCAGAAAGCACTTCACATGGTCACACCATTAACAAAAGAAGAAGTTGCTTGGACACATGAAAATATTTTGATATTTCAGGTTCTCACAGCAACGAGCATGAAAATGTTTGTCTTCTGGGATGTTGCACCAAGTAGTCTGGCAGATACTGACTGACATTTCTGAGGAGCTTACTGTCACCATCATAACCCTGATGACAGAAACAGTGATCAAGTCTGAAGGACTAAGGAAAACTATCCCCGATAACTGATTCTGTGTCAGACAGTCAAACCAGGGACCTCCTAAATGTAAGTCTCAAGCATCAGTCTTCCATGGTACAAGCATGTTTTGTACTTTGGACAATGCTAAGTAACAATGAAAGGAAAAGTGGAATAAATATATATTACAGAAAACAAAATCAAAGCTGCATTTAGAATGCTATAAATATTCATACCTGTCATACACTTCCACTGTTATTTCATAGTGTTCATCAACCATAAGATTCCAATTTTGATGGGGCAGGATGGCCAAGGTGAGGTAGCAGGGGTCATTGACAGTGATAGTAGCACTTGGGATATGAATTCCAGCATCCTTCTCATCCACATTACGGTCATGCAGCAAGACTCTAGTTTTTCCTTTCTTCAGTGCTGTCACAACAGCTGTGCTGTCATTCAGCACAGCAAGACCAGGATCCTGAAGTTCCAGGAAGTACTGCTGTGAAGGCAGCAATATCTCCTCCAGGTGGCCATGATGCACCTTAATGACAGCAAAGGAAACAATTTTAAATTTTATGCCGATTCAGAGACGTGACTGGGTAACTGAAATTTTTTACCTGTTACGGAATTTTTCTTTTCATAACAACAGATTTTGGGACATACCTGGCTTCCCACCTAATCAGTACCATGGGTGAATAAAGCCAACTACTTACAACTTCATGACAAGGCAATGGGAACAAAAGCAATTTCATCACTCTAATATTGAATATACAAACCAAAATGTATGCCCTCACTGGACAAAGTACAGTTCATGATTATATTTAATAAATATAAAAAAAACATCAAAATGCAATCTCTGAGACAGCTGTTATTACTAACTCACAGTAAACACAGAACCAAAACTCACTTGCAGAATACGATACTGCACTGAATCTCCTTTCAGCAAATAGATGTCAGCTGGATCAATTATTATATTAGCTACTACCATAAGCTGCACCTCAATGGCAGGGACATGCAGGTACTCTGAATGGGGCAGCCTCACAGACACCTGCAAATGACACACATCAATATTCATTTGTGCTTATCACCAGAGAAAGAGAGACAAGAAAGACAAAAATGAAAACCAGAAAAGGTGAGTCACATACTTGAGAAGTTACAGGCCACTCAGGTGGTCAAGAAATTGCCCATTCACATGTTCACAAGGACTACCAATGATCTCTATCCTGAGCCAAATGAATCCAGTTCACACCCTCACCTATTTCTTTTTAAACCCTTTCAACAGTATCTTCTCATTTAAGTCTAGGATTTCCAAATGGTCTTCTCATGTTTAATGACCAAAATGTTGTATGCATTTCTTGCATCTCCACTTCATGCTACATGTCCTGCCCTTGACATCCTCTTTGATTTGATTGCAGTAACAAAATTTGATATCGCCCTCGGTGGACTAGCAGTTAGTGTGCTCACCACAGGACCCAAGGTTAGCGGGATCAAACCTGGCTGAGGTCGATGGATTTTTAAGTGTGATAAAAATCCTTAGCACAAGTTCATTCAAAGGGGAAGTAAAGCCGGTGGTCCCAAGACGTAGATGTACAGCATGTAAAAGAACCTTAACAGCATGAACAAGATGTTTTGTAAGCAAAATTCAGGGGCCGTTTTTCACCCAAGTCTCTCCTGATTCACTACTAGATGGCTCTAGCAGACAAATCAGGATTGAGCAGAAATTGTGCAGAGGCAGTGGGCCTGTCACTCACTACTCATAAATGCACACTTCAAAGACAAAAGAAACCTCACACATGGGTGGAGGCCAAGGCTCGACTTCAGGCTATTGCACCATAGAAGAAGAAGAAAAACACCAACAACAACATTTAATTGAGAGTACAAATTATAAAGATCCTCTTACACAATTTTGTCTACCCTCCTGCAGTTTATTTTCTTCTCAAGACAACAAAAGCTCATAATCCAAAGACAAATGAACATCCTTGACATTTCCCATATGAGAGGGAAATACTGACCTTGGCAGCACCTGTCTTGATTCCCTCCAACAGGACAATGTGGCCATACTTCCCAATGTTGTCAAATGCTTGTATTGTGGCTGGGGTCTCATATGGGGAATCCCTAAATGTAATGAGTCGAAGAACACCACAACCATTGCTGATGCTGCTCTCTTGATGGAAGTTCCAGTCAGTAAGACTCCAGTGGAATTCAACTCCTTCAAGAGTTGAAAACTCATTACCTGAAATCAAACATGGGCACAATTAAGTAATGTGTGTAAGATGTGATGACTGCATGATGCAACAACCCAGAAGATAATTGGTAAGTAATATGTAGCCTAAACCTTTCAGGCACACGCATTTAGAAACATGACGACTTCAAAGAAATGATGATTTCCTAGGTAATAAATGTGTGCAGGTGACTTACCAGCATTAGCTCATAGTTTATTCTTTATTATCTCCAGCCTGTGATATATTCTTGTGACAGAAATGAACATTTAAATTGCTATTACAGATAAAGAGCTGCACTCAGGCACCCAAAGAAAAGACATGACATTCAAAATGGTCTCCAGCTTAAATTCTAATTTGTTCTCCCTATCACAGCTGAGAAAGGCTGCCACTTTCACATATGCCTAAAATTAATTCCTAGACTAATTTATGAGAAGAAAATCTGTCTCATAATGAAGAACATCTACCACCACCCCAAACAGTTACCCTAGAACCAGGACCAAGACATTTGAAACATTACTAACATGGTGGTACAGAAAGCATCACTCGAACAGCTCAATGTAAGAGCCTAAACTTCAATGTCCTAAAACTTTTGTTGTACATAATGCTTCAACCTTCCTGGAATCTGCCCACTGTATAAAATGTGCTGGAGTCCCTTACCTCAACATTTGTATAAAAACAGCTGACAGAAGGATCTTAAAAACTCTAAATGGAAACTTTAAAATAAAAACAAGACAACTGGAAAGCATCATAAGAGTTTATAATATGGATCATTTACAAAGTAAATAAATGTTAAAACAGAAAATTAACTACATTAAAAAGTTAATTTCTAGGACTTTCAATGTACCTTGGTCATTATAAGCTCTGACTTCAAATGCTTCTGGTGCTTCTTCCATATACAGCTCCCTTGTGATCGTTACAAGATTAAGGGAACTGATGGCATCGACAATCACATCACATCTCAAAATAAGTCCGGAACGTTTATCTTCTGCAAATACAATTGCTGTGTTTCGTGTTCGTTCTTTTGAAATAGCAGAGACAATAACACTAGATGAACAATCACTGGCAATGTCCACATTCTCAGGTTGTATTAACCGAATCAAGTCATTTCGGGAAGTGCTCCTGGAAAAAGAGGTATACATACTTGCAACAATAAAACAAGACTGTACGGGCCAGGCATGTGAGATGCCAGTCCTGAAGGTAAGAGATCACATGGAAAACCTGGAATAGAACAGAATTTACTTACATTCTATAGATCATCAAAAACCCCAAGCCAAGGCTGTAGAACATGTCATAGCACAAATACAATACTTGTTTCTAATACAAATATAAATTCCATAGTTGTGACAGTAATTTGCAGTCAACTACAGTGTTACCAAAAAAATTACACTAGAAAGCATAACCACTATCACTTACATGTATTTACAACAGCTGAGAATTTTTGGTTGAGGTAAATTCTTCTATGGAGCAGAAGGAGAGACAGAGGATATATTCTCTTGGTACTGGCTTAAACTTCTCAACCCCCCTCCCCCCATCATTAATACCTTTTACAGTGGGGGATTACTGAATAGCTTAATTCCAGTATAATAAACTCCTTATTGATATTTACACAGTTCAGCGTTTGGCACATGAAGGTTATACAGCATTATATAGGAGAATAATATTAAAATAAATCTTAAAGAAACAGGGTGTGAGGTGGCTCAGGGAGGTTTCAGTACTGGACTCTTGCAAACATGGTAATGAACTTTTGGGTTGTAGAAAAATCTTGACTAGCTGAGTGACTATAAGCTTTTCAAGAAGGACCAAGTAATATGGAGTTAATTAGAAAAATGCCTATTGTGATCTCAAATGAGTTCATGATTTGTGAAGTACTGTGTAAATCAACTAAGTCAGCTGGGTGTAAGGGTTTTAAAAATACTCAAGTTTCTTATATGATAAAACAACTTAAAGAGTATTAACAACTAAGTTCCTTGGTTTACAACTGGTAATAATTTAAACTGGTAAAAGCATACTGACTATGTAGGATTTGAGGTTTTCACAGTCGTGAGTCTGAAAATGTCTGTCTTCTGGGTTGTTGCACTGTGTAGTCTGGTAGAAGTTTACCGACGTCTCAGAGGTCTTTGCTGCGTCCATCATCAGGGTGATGACTCACTGCCCTGATAATGGAGGCAGCAAAGACCTCTAAAACAATGGTAAACTTCTATCAGAGTACACGGCACAACAACCTAGAAGACAGCCAACCACACTGAATACAATATCCCCAAACTAACTTCAGTGTGCTTTGCCATGAGGGCAGTCACAACCACTGTTGAAAGCAGACACTTTAAATAAAATCATATTACTTTGCTTATTTCTATTCTGTCTAGTAATACAGAGTTATCTTCTGGGGAAATCCAACACACAGCAAGGGAGTATCATCCAAAAAAATCATTAGAATAATGGCAGGTGTTAGAAGAAGAGTATCTTGCAGAGAACTATTTAAGAAATTTGACATACTGAGTTCCTGCTTTAATTACTGTCTTTTATTGTGGACAACATAGAGACGTTCCAACCAAACTCTGACATTCTCAGCATAAATACAAAACAAAAGCATCATCTCCATCAGCTAGGCACTAACCTCACTAGTTATCAGACAGGACCTTAGTATGCAGAGATGAAATTATTCAACACTCTTTGAGATGGCATTAAAAATTTCAGTCTTGATGTAAAAGTTTTTATGCCAGCATTGAAAGATTATCTTTTATCTTCTCCTTATACTTTACAGAAGAATTTACTTCAATTGACAATTATTAAATATTGTAAATAGTTATGTAAATGGCTGTAATAAGTATGGAAGTATAGTTGTTTATTTTTATTATAATGTTCATATTCATACAATGATGTTACACATCCTTGGCTTGTACTATGAAGGATCTATGGAATGTAAGTACATTCTAATTTAAATTCTATAGCCAATAACTAAATACGTCACAAGACTAAATACATTACCATACATTCAAGTTGTATATAACGTTGAAAGGTGCTACATAACCTTTTAACATTCCTCCACTCACCATTTATAACATCCTGCACCAGTTACGTCCAAAGTAAAATTCGTACAGAACTCTTTAAATAATGGCAAAAGTACCCTCGGGACATTTAATTTCGAATTTTGAGCATGTACTTCAAAAATAACCAAAATTAAAATAACTATTTCAAAAAGTTTCCAACTGCCCGCCATAACTTGACTATAAGCACCACGGAATTTACAGCAACATCGATACGAAACCTGATTTTAATGTAAATTGACTCATGCTACAAGTCATCTAACGTAAATGATAATATACGAAAAGTAACACAATATCGTGTCCCAGGTCGTTTGTAAATTAATGGCATATATCTACTTAGCCTTTTGAACAAAAATGGGTATATATCCGGTATATTTTATCAGTTGCAAAAATTTTGCAGGAAAAAATTATATTAGCATTAGTTTATATTAAACTTAGGGACATTTTTATTAATTTATCTTTCAGATGCGATGTTGGCTGCATTTTCAATTTTTTAAACTGTCATGCATCTAGCACGTAACTATATTAACCCGGTTTGTTCAAGATACACGTAGTCCATGGATACAAACGAATGCTTCCATGTTGTCTATGCTACCCACTGGACAAAATTCAGTCCCAGGGTTTCTGTGTTCAGTACTATTTGAAAACTTTATATCTAATAATAAATAAACAATCTATCACTCTATGGCAGAGGTTCCCAAAGTGTGGGGCGACCCCCTCTGGGGGGCTCGAGTGGTTTTCTGGGGGTAGGGGCGTGTTGTTTATACGAAAAACTTTTTTTAACTAAATATGGAGAAACATTTTTAACATCCTTCGCTTGGTTGAGGCAGTTTAGTTGTCTTACAGTGCTGTATACTCATTGCTAAATTTTATGTCAAATCTGTTTGCTTGCACTTGTTCTGGAAGGGGGGCGTGAAATTTATGAAATGTTTTAAGGGGGGCGCAAGGTATAAAAGTTTTAGAATCTCTGCCTTATGGCAAATTTGTGTGCATATGTCCTTCAATTATGTTTACGAATACATGTAAGTGTAGCTAGCATTTTAATGGTATACATTAAACATGCTTAACAAATATCAAGCACAGGGAATAGTAGTGATCACAGATGATTAAACCAAGCAACGAATGCGTGTAAACACACGCGTAATAGGCATTGTACAACGTGTTGGCAGTAAGAGAACCGGCTATAGTTTTTAATAAAATGTATTTGCGTTTACTGTGTTTAGTACTTATGAAATTCCATTTAACCAAATCATCAGAAAATCTTCGGCTGCGTGGCGTTTCTTTATCAAGTAATGTATTTTTAAAGTAATATTTGAAGAGGATATAGTACGTTTTGAGCTCGATTTGTATTTGTGTGAAATGCTTGTGTAATAATAATAATAATAATAATAACATATAGGCATTGTTATAATTTCACTAATATACGTTTCTAAACTCATGCGACAGATTAATAAATATTTTAGTAATTCTGCACAAGCTTGTTCCTGGAGGTTGACACAGTTCTCCACTTGAAAGAAAGAAAGAATACTTGACAGTAAATGAAAAGGATCGACAGCTCGCATGGAAGCAGGACATAATAAATCGAAAATACATTCGGATCGATACATGGGCTTTTTAATAAACCCTGTGTCTTGTTGACGTATCTTCGTCCCCTTCAAAGTGCCTTGCTTTAATTGCTGTTTACATGCATTTCTTGGAAATCTGTCAGACTACCACCTTCCTTCTCCTGTGTTAATTTAAGTTGTATTAGCGTCATTAAAAATATCAAACTTGATTTATTCAGGAAAGAGAGCCTCCAGAAATCATTTCCACTGAACTAAAATAATGATGCAATGGTTAATGGCCTGGAATAAAGTATACCCAGCCAATTTTTCAGTATACATTTGGACATTGAGAATTAACAAGGGGAGAAATGAAACCCTCTTCTATGTATGCACACTTCGTCATTGTGGGTTTGAAGGAATGATAAATTTCATAATTGATTGTTAGAATCCTACTATTATACAGTCTCTCCTTTGCTGAACTTAAAAACAGACATTTGGAAGCCAAAACACATAGTTTGTGTTATAAATTAATACCAAATAAATCCCTTGTTCAAGTAAATGTGACTGCGTCAGTACTCTAATGAACATTAAATGCCTTTGGTATGTAATGTATACAGCAGAAAATGAATAAATCATATTATATTTAATTGTAGTCATGTGGGCACTAATATGATTAAAATACATTGACCGAATAATGACAAAAGTGGCTCGAGTCCCTGGGATGTTATGCAGTGTAGTATGGTAGTTTACAAATATTTCAAAATGCTTGCTGCCTGCATGATATTCATGACAGGAGATTAAGAACTCATTAAGAGTTATAATTTCCACATATGGTTACAGAGCTTGATCAGATCACAATTAGGAAAGATTGTCTCTCTGTACTTGTATGCCAGCACCTTTCACCAATTTCAGACATAAACTTTTTTCAATTACCAGAAGCTTCGTTGTATGCCCCAGACAAGGAGTTCATGTGTTTTGATGGTAGTCAGACCATACCTTTTACGCACGTGAACGACGACTACTGTGATTGCCAGGATGGAAGTGATGAGCCAGGAACATCAGCCTGTCCCAATGGCACATTCCACTGCACAAATGCTGGCCACCGTCCACTCAACATTCCATCCTCACGGGTCAATGATGGAATTTGTGGTAGGGACATAAATATCATCTTCATAACATATGGTGAAAGTTTGGCATTGCTGACAGTGTGAGGATCAACATAATACATTTATGAAACACATGCCAATCCTAAACAGAACTGAAAAATGTAAAACTATACTTTTTCAGTTGTTGATGTTTGTCTTGGGTTTTAACACCATGTGTACTTGTAGGTAGAACCACCATTTCAGAGAAATGTTCTGCCTTCTGCCCTGAAGATATAGGCATTATGTTGATAATTGCAATCCAGAAGACTAGCATCAATATCTCTGTCACCATGAGAGCCTCATATTTCATATAATTTATAATTTGTTTATCAAACGTGAACATGCAAAACTAGATCCCTGAATAAAATGTTGAAATCATTGCTCTATCTCATATCTAATCATTATGTTCCTTTTTGCACAGTCACTGAATTCTGGAGATATTGCTAAAATGTATACTTCTTGTTTCATAATTTTACAGTTCATGCTGGGGATAGTTATTGGTTTAATCATTTATAAGTATTACATTTTTGCATGATGAGTTTTATTCCCAAAGTCTTGTCATTCACCAAAGAATCAGTCCAGTTATATATTTTTTAGGCTTGTGAGGAGGTCAGTAACATAACTGAAGAAATTAACATGTGGAGGAAAAGATTAAAGAAATGTTTACTTAGAATGATTGAAGACAAGAGATCGTGTGGTGAAGGGTAGGGCAGAAAGACAGCTAGGTGTTTGAGAGCATTTTGTTTAGCAGCTTCTACTATGACTGAGGTATGTGCATGAACATTTGCAGACTGCTGTGATGCATCAGATGAGTATGTCAGCCAAGCCACATGTGTTAACAACTGTAATGAACTGGGCAAGGCTGCAAGAGTAGAAGCCCAGAAACTTGCTGAACTGACCAAGCTGGGCAGTGAGATGAGGGTTCATCTGAGTAAGAAAGGAAAGCAACTGAAACAAGAGAAGAAGGTAAGTTACATAATTGCAGGTGTATGGACAGTCTGTCAGCTTCTGTGACCCAGGAATAAGCTACTTAAAACTGTAATTTTATTATTGAATGTTGAACATATCATGTGGCTTGGGCTGAATCACTTTCAGTGGGTTGTTTAGTGCCCTGACTAACACACCACCTCTCCATCAGAACAATGTATGTGCATATCCACAGGTACCAACTGGAAGACCTAATATGACATTTGGAAGCCTTAGGTGAAACATGTATGAATCAAAAGAAACAATATGTCAATGATTCTCATTGTTGGCTTGATGCAGAGATGTTGACTGACTGTGCTAATTTGTAATACAGCCTCTGCCTCTTACTAATCCTGATGATGGTACCTGTTAAGCTTATTGAATCATAGTATATGTTTAAACAAATTATACATCTCAGTGCAAAAAAGTATCTACAGAAAGCCTAAGATCAAGAATTATATCACATGTTCACTTGTGATGTATAATAAATGCTTGTCTGTACTTTTTATACTGACCTCATCTATTAATCTGCATGTGGTTTAATACAGATACCATGCTTCACTGTTACCATTCCCTTACTTCCAACATTAAGTAACATTATGCTCTGAAGTTAGGAACTTTTTTCCATTCCAGGAAAGATTAGAACAATTAGAGAAAGACAAAGTTGAGGTAGATAGTGTGAGAAAGGAGAAGGAGATACTAAAGGTAGCAGTAGAAGTATTGGAGAACAAGGCCTTGGAGAAATATCGCAAGATTGAGGAAGAAGTAAAGCAGAGGCAACAAGAAGAAGAGAGGAACATAAGTGAACAAGAGGCTTTTGAACACTTCAACAGATTGGATGCAAATCAGGATGGAAAGTGAGTGCTTTTAATTCATTTCCACGAGTGAATTATAGGGAGGGTTTATTTAGCCCTTAATGTCCAGAATGGTTTTGGGGCCACTCATTTGATAATGTCATTCACCAAGTACAGGGTGAGGAGTGGTGTGCTTCTACCACGTTGTTCTGCTGTCTTACTTGCAGTAATCCACCTAAAAATTGTGAGTAAAACAGTTTGTTTAATGTTTCTTGTTGGGTGGATACCTGCTATACTAAGCTGTTTTTCACAGCAGAAGCAGACAGTACAGGGCTCAAGAAAACTGATTTGAACAGTAGTCTTAAGCTGCTGTAGTCTCCATTTATTGTTCAGGTGTATAATGTGTGGAGCCCTACTTTTATGATTACTTTATGACTTATGTTAAGTAAAACTGTAGAGCGATTATTCACATTGATGCGTTTTGCTTTCCATTTGACAAAATATTAAGTAACACTCCCTAATGAAATCTGATATGGAGGTAGTATGAAATATATCACAAAATTATTAATGTATAATTTCTGCTAGTATCTGAATACACAGAGCATTCACATCCCCCTGTAGGCTGCTTTTGACACCAATACTTGTCTGTACTGGGCATCTTTTACATGTTGTAGAATTGAGATACTTGAGTTGCAAACTCAACAGACTTTTGACCAGAACAGAGATGGAGCAGTATCAGAGGATGAGGCAAAATTCTTCTTGGATTCAAATGATGAACTGAACTGGGAAGACTTTTTGGCATCTGGCTGGCCACGAATGAAGCCCTTCCTTATGTTGGACAACGGGCTCTTCAAACCTCCAGCTACTGAAGCACTGCTAAATTCTGCTGTGGAGGTTGATACTACAGCACAGGTAACAGATTTCTCTTGTTCTGCAGGGAAATTAGGAAATTGAACAAGTTAGAGCACAAATACTTCCTCATATTACTAAGATTATTTGTGTGTTACATGGGGGAACTTCGTAAAAGTGATAATGTCCTTTGATGACTTCTGGTATCATATTTAATGAAAATATGTTCACAGCAAACGTGAAGTATGACACCTTTACTTCTTCATGAAATACATTTTAATATCAAACTACTTACTGATTGTTGGTAAAATTAAGAATCTGTTTAATTGAATGAATGAATGAATGACAAGAGTTACAATGACTTTCTAGATTGTTCTTTTTAGGATCTGCATTATAGAAATGGAAGAGGAATGAGTATTGCAATGCTTTGCAGGACTGCTACATTCTTACTCATGATCCTGTGCCTCTCACTGTAGTTACCAACAGACATTTGTATATTTTCAGGAATCAACTGCAGATTTCTCTGCTGCAGGAGGTGAAGCAGAAGACAAAGACTTTGAAAATGGGCATGACAGTGACATAAATGAAGAAGTAGGTATAGAAAACATTGAAAACACTTGAACATTGATATTTAGTTGAGTGGATATTTTAATGTCATCAGCTGTGTGTCCCATCTTCCACTTGGTCCAGCTGGCCGTGTATCACAGCATATTGCTAAACTGTTAGCCCAAGTCCAGCCAAGAGCCCCATGGTATGGGAGGTTTAAATCCCCTTTCTTGTATGATAAAGGTTAATCAAGCTAGAATAAATTATGTGGCAAATTTTTGGTTCTGCAACTAAGTTATGTAACTGGATATTTTTAGGTAAATGAGATAAATAAGGATGTTCTGCCCTGAAAAAGTGCCAGATTTTAAAGTTACAGAACTGTCTTTCTGTCTGCCTTGGTATTCTAAGTAAAATATCTTCTTAAAAGATTTTAGCACAGAAATTTTGTATGCTTTTCTGGTTTATCCACTAGTGCTGTCTATCCAAGCCTTGAATTAATTATCGTAACAAAAGAAAGGCTCAGAGTTATTCACCTGATTGGCTATAATGAATATGCCAGAGGAACTCTGTTTCTTTAGGAGGAAGAAGAGGAGGAGGAAGATGAAGAAGAGGAAGAGGAAGGAGAAAAAACAGAGGAGATACCTAAATACGATGAAGAGACTCAGCGATTAATTGATGGTTGGTTCATAATTTTTAGAAGAGAAGTTGCAAGTAAAATGTACCTATCAAAAAATGAGTTACATTAAGAGAAAATATCCACTATATCCACTACAATGGATGTTATTTGTAGTAAAACTGGGAGAGACTTTGGGGATATAGAAACTATGTACTGTAAGACTAACACAATTTGCATGTTTCTTACAGAGGCTTCCAAAGCTCGCTCTGACTTTGAGGAAGCAGACCGAGCTCTAAGAGATGTACAACGAGAAATACGTCAGATTGAAGAGTCACTCGAGAAAGATTATGGAGTTGAAGAAGAATTTGCTCCTCTGGATGGAGAATGCTTTGAATACACAGATTTTGAATATACGTATAAACTGTGTCCTTTTGATCAGGTAAGAATTGTACTTTGTCACATATGGCATAATAAAGAAACACAGTGCACTTATTCATTTTACATACCAGTACAACTGAGTAAAACATCTTGGTACATAGAAATACCAAGAAAACTGGAAAGTATTTGCCACTATCAGAGGAGAAGGCATAAGACAAAGTTCAAACAGTACCTTCAACAGAAGTAATCTCAGAGGAATCGCACAATACAATCATAATACTGTAGACTGATCAGTTCTGTTTGCTGTGCATTAGTCACTTGAACATTTCTGAACTACTTAGAGATAAAAGATAATATTTGTGACTTGACCCAAGTATTAAGCAGTTATATCTGTGAAATATTAGTGTCTTCCCCCTGCAACTGTTCCAGAGCCATCAATGAGTACATCAATTCCAAACACCACTGATAATCAGATGCCTTCTCCATATCCAATTATAATGCAGTCACTTCTTTGCATATGTTGACTCAGCTGTGAGGCACATTGTGTAATACTTGTAATGGAGGCAGACATTTCTGCTGTCTGTCATGCCTCCTCCACTTCATTTTCTATGTATGGATATTTATCTATCCTTTATTGTTTGCCACTTTATTCCACATACCACTTCTTTCTTTGTAATAGTGCTTGTCTTTACATAACAGCTAGCATTTCGTGTAAGAACTGCATTCTTATGACACCATTTTATGCTGGCATCTGAAAGAACAAGTTATGAAATGTACACATAGCATAAGAGTTCTAGTGCATTCCCTCTGTTACTGTCTCTAGACTTTCAATTTATGAATGCTAATTTCTGCTACTATCCTCTAAATATCACAAAAAAGGCAAGGTGGACAAGCAAGTTCTGACAGTCTAAAATCTGATCAAGATCAGTCCAATGGTTCTGAAATTATAACAGAATGAAGGTTAATATTAAAAAACCATATGACATATGGGAAAAATGTATTGGGCACTAAATGTGAGTTTAAAATTTCTCTGCAACTTCTGCTAATAACAGTTTTTTTTGTCTGTTTACTGCATGAGGTTTGTGGAGAAATTCATGAAGAGGTTTTGTCAGTTACTGTTAGCTAATTTAACCAAAATTAGATTATGCCAACAAAATTTAGTAAGATTCCCAGTATCAAATTTCACAAAAATTTGTTTGGTGGTTTTTTGAGTTGTTATAGGCAGGTGGACTGAAAAATATGGTGAAATTTAGTATGCATATTTTTTCAACTGTAAAACTGCCACTACACTTGCCAAGCATGTTTGTAATTTTTTAACCCTTTGAAAGTAAAGTGTTTTTCCTATACAGTGCACGCACAAATATCTCTTATTTTTGCAGCACATTAAAAATGTCAGGTCCTCTTTACATTAACACTCACTTCTTAATTATAAAATGCTTATAGTGAGTAGTTTAGAGTATATCATCAGATTGGAATCCATTGCTGTACACCTACTTGGAACTTGAACAGTGTAAAATGTTAACAGGTGACACAAAGACCAAAATCAGGTGGAGCTGATACTCGGTTAGGAACCTGGAATAACTGGGTGGGTCCTGAAGATGACAAATACCTGGAGATGATGTATGACAAGGGGCAGTCATGTTGGAATGGACCGCAACGATCCACAAGGGTAAGCCTTGAATGAGATGATTTTGAACTGATGTAGGTCTCTCAAGACAAAATTTTAACCAACTGGAATATAGGTCTTTTGAATCCAGTCTCCTTGGCAAATATTTATGATCAGTTAAATGACTAAAAAGGCTGAATATTAGATAGAACTCCTTAACATATAAAAACAGCTATTGCCCATCTGAGACTTACTAATGTAGTAAAGAAAAATAAAACAGGAACTCATATCTACCAAGTAACAGGTTTTGATTTACTGTTTTTTGCAGGTAAAGATGAGATGTAGCACAGAAAACACAGTAACATCAGTGAGTGAACCAAATAGATGTGAATATGTGTTTGAATTTGAGACACCATCCATCTGCCAGGTGGTGGAAGGCACAGAAACTCAAGTGCATGATGAGTTGTAGGATATTTTAATGAGTCTGGTAAAATGGAATCATTGGTAATGCAAGGAAACTAGTTGACATGAGGAAGAACATTGTAAAAATAGAACTACAATAAAAGAAAGAATAAGTCACCTAGTTTGTAGTTAAGACATGTAAACAAATTTGCTCCCCTCTAAGGGATTGTACATTCCAATTGCTGAAAAAGAATAATATCGGTAAAATAAAAGTTCTGTAATTTATTTGAGGTACTTTTGAGAGAAAAGATATGTACCATAAATATCAATACATTGAACATGAACCCATTCTTTCAATAGTTGCACAACTTGTTGGACATGCACAGGAAAATACACTGAGAGGCTGCTTCCAACAGGGCACACCACCAAAACCTATATAAAGTTGACATCACAACAACTTCCAAACAAAGGGGTGTGTCCCCCACCCCTCATGGCACAAATAAGTCGGTTTGATAGCATCCCTGTTTTGTATAGGACTGAGTGTGAGGAGTTACAAATTAAATTCTCCCCTCCCTGGCAGAAAGAATTCCTTCTGAAATATGACAGACCAACAGCACAATCGATTTGTGAAGCTTTGCAATAAAGTGTTTTTGTTGCATGATTTTTCTGTCCCCTGAATTAAAGACACATATGACACTGCAAACAATAAAACAGTACATTTTATTCTGTTGAACCAAAGTTTTGATATCTGAATTTCCAGTTATTGCCTCTGAATTGGAAACTTCTGAAAAAGAATAATTATGACTTATCTGTATAAAGACATTTTAATTCATAAAATATTCTAAATCCTGGCTGCAAGTCACGAAGGAGCATAGTATTTTGTAAGCTACAAATATCTTTCTTTCAGTAATGACTGTATGCCATTTAATAGAAAATTTCTGCTGCTGCTGTTAGAGAGAATGAAGAACATTCACAAATTTGAATCACTGTTGTTCGTGTAACTAATCACCACTACAAAGAACCAAGGATGATCCAGAAAGAGGACTAACTGCAAGATATAGGTTCTGCCTTGGAAACTGAGTTATTCAGCTGAGAAGGAAACTGCCTGCATTTACAAAAATATTAATGTTCATTAAAGTATAAGTAAAGCTGTTCATTATTGTATTCGACCTCTTTGCATTGTATTTCTCTGAGATACCTATGAATATTCCCTTCTCTATTTACATCTCCCAAGTTGTCTATTCCTTAAGTTTATTGACCAAACTAGGATGTGCACATATCTGAGACCTCACTAAGAACACCATCCATCTCATCCTTAATTTCACCTCCATAACAATATTAAGTGAAGGGTATACATTATGAAGCTCCTCATCCTGTTATTTTCAGTAAGCTGGTAAATCTACTCTGTAAAGGGGGCATAGCTATCTAAGTTTTGAAACTGCTGCTAGGGCAAGTGAAGGCTGTCTCTTTTGAGAGAACACTCTTGCAGAAGCTGAGAACTGAATCCCAAACCTCAAGTTTAATGCTGTATGTGCTGTCACTCTTCAAAAAACCCGTTACTGATATGAGCATTTGCTAAGTCTGTGGTATCACACAGCTACTTTCTTACACTTAACACACCAATTCAGTGGTTTCTGTCAGTGTGAATGCAAATATGATCAAGCATTTTATAAAATTCCTAGTAAGTGCATAGCTTTAAAAATATATAGACAGTATGAACATATTCTTGTAAATGTAACCCAAATTTAGCACGTTACATTACGTAAGTTAGAGTGGTTTATATCATATGTAGTAACTAAATAAAAACTTTGTTAGCTATGGTCTTTTGGGTTAAAATGCCTTGCAGTGTTGTAGGTGGTTACGAATGTTTCAGATGACCATACAGATTCATCTACCCTGAAAACTGAGGTGATACATTCCTGCAAAACATTGGTAACCACATAGAACACTACAGAATGTTACAACCCAGACAACCACAATAAACGTTTTCAGTTTTGAAAACCTCATATAGAATCTTGAATAAATGGTGTAATAATTGGTGGGCAATTAATAACCCTGGCACCATGACTGCCTGATTTATTGTGCATCCCCTTGTGTTTAGCCCTCTAGCTATCTTGCCCCTAAAAATAAAGTGCAAAACCTTGCTTGATGGGGGCTTAGTTCAGTGACATGTCTGTACTAAGCAAATGATAGCAAAATAAATTTTGACTCCTACACATTTCATAAACAGCAGCAGTGTTATGTCGCTGCCTGTATGTGCTGCTGGAACAGGATGCTGGTTGCCAAATGGAACCTTAATAAAATAATTCAGGTGACAATGCAATATATACACACACACACACACACATACATACACAGTGAAACAGTATGAAAGCAGCTTAAAACCATCCATATTCAGATTAAGAGAAAATCCCATCCTTGGAAAGTAGAAGACTGCTCCCTCCCTACCTTCACAGCATATAATTAAAATGATACTGCACTAACAGGCACATGATTTGAAATTGGCCTCACACTTCCTCCCACAATGAGATCGTTTTACAATTTATGTGATTAAAAACTGCACAGCAAAAAACTGACAATGTAAAATACAGATAATCAGAAGTAACAAGTACAGTCTACATAACATCATATAGACTGCTTTGACTGTACCACAGCTCATTACTAAAGAAATTTCGGCCCAGGTATTTACGCAACACCTTGAACTTCGTGGTTTTACAACAAATGAATGGAGACTTCCCTTCTTCTAGGTGCAATATAAGATGCTCTACACAGGACAGGAAACTACAGACATCTATGTTCAAACAACATTCAATCATCAATGGAGTGGTGTGACAGACAGAAGGAAGTGGCCAGTTCTAAGAAAATCTCCTATAATAAATAGGCTGTTATCACACATGGTCTATCACTGTGATATTGCTAACACTGCCAAAGGATGAGTCAAAATATTTTTGTCCTAATTTAATGCTGAATTTCAAACTTCCCAACCACAATCAAATATTTCATCATTGCCACACAGAAGAAAAATTAAATCAAAAAGTACCAACATTTTCAATTGTAGCTTCTAGTAAAATAAGTAACAGTTTCATGTGCACAGGTATAATGTGCAGTTCTTTCAGAGCTATAAGGAGCATACAATACATTTAAGGACTTCTTTTATTTGCCCTCTATTTCTCTACATAAATCAGCCTTCAATTCAGTGCAATTTTTCCATCAATGAACAAAGTCTAAACACAGCTGCAAGCAAGTTTCTGAAAGCTAATGCAGGAAATGACATGGATCTGCTAGTCATGTTCAAACTTCTGGCCACCCACTGACTACTTCAGCAGCCCAAAGGGACTGGAATCACTGGCCTATAATGAGTACACTGAAGCACTCCTCAGCTCATTTCCTCAATAGTACAAATCAGAAAATGCACACACACTTGGCCACTTCTGGTATGCAACAACAGAAATGCAAGTGTCTGGATGCAGCCATCAAATTTTGAAACTGGGAACTAAACAGTGAGAAACAATGACATGGCAGTGTCCTGCTGCATTATCTTGAATAAGATTGAATATAAATTAATGCTATAATTAATACTTCTGCCACTATATAATCTCATTATTTCATTCCAAGCACAACAGGCCATAAGAAATTCAGTCCTTCAATTTATTGTAATTCCTTGTAACTGATGCATTACAAATGGGAAAATATGTACCTGAAAAAATGTTAAATAATCCAAGAACATATCAGCTGGCATGTATTCCCAGCCTGTATTAAACCAGATAAAGCAGATACCACAGTTCAGACATAAAAAAAACATAGATATGTGGTTGTAGTGTAGAAGAGGCACAATACTTAACCTATCAAAGGCAGATATCCTGATGAATGTTTGAATTTACAGCTCAGAAATTTTAGACAAATACACCGAGTGGAAAATCCAATATTCAACAAACCTAGTTACAACACTGCAACACTAACAGGCAGAGGAGAACAGACTGGTAAATGACAGGGCCTTACCAACTAATCCTAAATCAAACAAACTTTCACAATAAAATCTGATCAACTGTTTGCCAAGTGCAGAGATTACTTAGAGAAGCAGCAGGATGAATATGAACAAATTAAAGATAATGTAAAAGCAAGCCATACCAGCACATTTTAAGGAAATACTGCAGCAGTTGCATAGGAGACAAAAGAGAGAGAGTCAATTTTGGTATGACATACTGAAGTGCACACAGTGAGAAGAAAGGGAACTGTAAATACTTGTCATTGACACAAGCAGCTTGTATTCCAGAAAAGTTCAGATGACTGGCCAACTGCTTTCTAAAATGTTACATTGCATCCTTGATCCTCCTCATTCAGTCTGAGCATTCTGCACACTGTTGCAGTCAGTTATAACAGGTTCCATAAGAAATGGTATACAGTGACATCCATGTAGACATGACAACTGTTTCTAATCAGAAAAAACAGTGGGCAAAGAAATGTAATCTTATCATGGAACCCAAAGTTTGGTTACCATCACCACAAAAGCCTGCCCAACACTGTACCCTATCTTGAGTCAGCTAACATTTTTGTATCTCCAAGATACATTTTAATATTACCTTCTCACCAGTGTCTCAGTTAACCAAGTAGACTCTTTTCATTATCAGAGACATTAACAAACATTTGACTTATAAAATAAGCAGCTGTTAAGGAATTATGCACAACCTGCTCAGAACTTCTGTCTGCACTCTGAGTCTGACCACATTAACAATTTGAACAAAGTTTGTGAAACCTGTCCTGCTCAGACCAGTCTTTCAAAATCAAACATGATATGATGAAGAAGGGAACGCAATCATAATAAATAATGATTTGGGCCACTCCTACACATAGCATACTTTACAATGCTGCATAAATATCAGGGCCTCAACTACAAACACTCAAGAGAAATACACCTGGCTTATCTAAATTACTACAGCATAATAAAATCTGAGAAAATATTCTAGAATTACATATTTAACAACAATGTTTAAAAATTTAAATTCATTTTGAATGACTGGCATTCAGAGTTGGACTGTAACAACATATAGCTTTGGAATTATCAATAACATATAATCCTTCAAAAGATGTTCACAGTAGCAGCTGTCTTTCTGGTACCTTGCCTCTTTTGGAAGCAATCAAACTATTTAATAGTAATAAGAAAAGAGGAGTAATACAGGTCACACAAAACGGTTTCACATTGTACTTGTAACTGCCACTGGAATGTATTCTAACAGTTTCTGTCCATGTTAGAAAAATAGCAATACATTCTTCACCTACTAAAAATATGATGCCAGCACATGAAACCTTTGGTGTAATTTTCAACAATGCACCTTCTGCCTGGCAGTGAAGACCACAGCATTACCAACTGGTGTCAGTTCCAAAAAATATTTTACCTGACACTGGTGCCACACGTTACAATCTTTGTCATGATTATAAAAGACAACACAGCTTCCATCTGTAGCCTATTCGATGCTTCTTTCTGTCTTTTCCACGGTGCTCTTTCTGTAAAGAAAAGTATCATCATAACAGAAGGCATGTAAAGCCCTGACGACAATATAGACTACATTAAAGAAAAAAGATAAAGTTAATGTTGTTGTCCATGATGACTTGTACATAACATTCTGTGTATTATATATCTTAAGACAAGATGAAAGTGAGTAATTAACTTCACACCCTGCCCAATTTCATTCTCAGGGAGTGGTGGGTGAGAACAGTACCCACCCAATAGAGAGGAAGCTGTGTTGGTTCCTGAACTGGTCTCGATGTAATCATAATAAAAAAAGAAACCTCTGCCCCTGCCAAGAACTGAAATCCTGTAACCTGTCATATTGATCTTTGTTAGGTCATCACTGTTAATGAACTATTCAACTACCTGGATTATGTAATAAAATGAAGAGATCTGATCCATGGCTTAATGTTCATTAAGTTGTCAATCATAATGTTCCCTGTTGCTGCTATGGAACTCACAGGTTCATTGCCATAAACAAAGCCCGAGCCACTTAGTCTAAGACTCATTTCAACCTCTCCCAAACAGTTCCCCACCAGTGTAGTGTCCTCAACCAGAATTTGTACTAAAAGGTATGGATGCCTCAGTTATTTTCTTATAATAAGCACCAGTTGCCTATGCAATATTATTTGGAAATGAGTAAAAATCTGTTACTTTCTGATGTTGGTGCATCACCTTCATGTAACAATAAGACTGATCACCTTAAGTGGGTGATATATTTTGACATAAGTGTAATTAAGAATAAATTTATTTCATATCCATAGCATGTCTATAAACATATGATTTGTAACTACACCTACATCTTTCCTAATCTCCCGAACCAATGTGTAGAAGGCATCATCCACTCCAAGTCGTGTTTTGGCTGATGTTTCTACAAAGGGAATCATGTACTGCTTGGCAACTTCTTGTGCTTGATTCACTTCCACAGCCCGGGTTGGCAAGTCACATTTATTGCCCACCACTGTGAAACAGAACAGATTTCCTCATCTAAAATAACTTTAAGCTACATAAGAAGGCAGCACATCAGGAGTTTAAAAGATCTGAACCACAATGGCATGAACAAATCATCTGCATTAAGAACACATAATGATGAATGTCAGAAATGGTCTCTTCTCTTCTAGGAAGAACATAACCTGCAAACATCTGACAACTAAAAAAAATATCTGGGCATAAGAAGGATTAAGTACCTGAGAAATTTAGGATTTATCATCAATTATCCTCACTGTGCACAAATTAAAGAGGTTGCAAAACACTAGACAAAAACCAAGATTTGGGGTTAAAATTTGTACTAAACTCTGGTGATGAAACATTTGGTATGGGAAGACAACATTATGGAAATAGTTGTGGACTGATTCAGGTTCATGTCTAATGGTATTAACAGTATCTCACTTATAATACAGGGGAGTTCAAAAATCATGGAATTAATTCTGTAAAATTTGTTGTGGTAACTTATACTGAGGTACCAACTCCAACAATCAAATACAGCATGAACCTATTCCCATATACTTACAAACCATTGGCACTTCTTCTGCGTCTTTAACCCTTTTAATCTGTTCTCGATACATGCTGATATCTTCAAATGATTTGGCATTGTTTATGGCAAATACAAGTAGGAAACCTTCTCCTGTCCTCATGTACTGATCTCTCATAGCACTGAAAATTGAAAACACATTATTTTCAAATAATGTTATAAAATACTTCACTGGCATTTCTCTGTAATAACATATAGGTCTCCGAACAATTGCATTTGCCTGCACACTAGTGAAAGATTGTGGCACATGACAAAATTCAACAGGCTTTGGCTGCCTCGTGAAGACTCAAGTTCATACTTAGTAACACGTCATAAAGAAAGCCTCTGTAACAAATACTGCGCTTGGATTGACTTAATTTAAAAAGAAAGTCTTTGAGTTTTGTTGTAGGATGAAATTGCAGTCTGCTTGATGGAGCAATAAAGTGTTCTTTATGCAATACTATAGAAAATACTAACCCCACAGTGAAAAATTTGTTCAATGGCAATATAATGTCTGGGATTTAAGTCAATGTGAAATGATAAAAAAACAATACTATAAGAAACGTAAGCCCCTAGTTTAATTCTGAATAGACTTCACAACTTTTCATGATAAAAATTCTGTTTTATCCAATGGAATACACAAACAAGCAACATGACTATTAAACACTTCCATTGACAAATCTTCTGACCCAATTTCCTTACTTTCTTATTTATAAATACTTATATTAATACTTTATGCATTATGTTTGGTGGTGGGACATGAAGGTCGACAAATTCTTAACCTTTACACTACTTGAGACAGCCCTCTAAACAGGAGCTTGAATAGTCCCCAGTCAGTGCAGACATAGTTATGATCCTATCAGGAACCAAACCTCAATCAGCCAACACGAAATTACTTCACTGACTGAAATACCACCATGTTAAGTCTTCATTTGGTTTCCTTAAGTCTGAATATTTGATTGAACTCACAGCCATTGCAGTTTAGTCAACTATAATCAATCAGAAGACTTCATGTCAAAATTCACTGCAGACAGCTCGAGTATATGTGGATCAATATCTGTACTACCTGCCTTACCTCTCCCTCTCTTCACACTGTAAATAACTCAAAATCAAAAGAAGGCTGCAATAATACAGGTATCAAGTTACTGCATTTTCTGACCAATGTCAACCACTCTCTGTTGATTGTACTTTTGCAAGCAACTCAGAATATGAAGCAAATAAGCGTCATCAAAACAACCAGTACACAGACCTGTATTCCTCTTGTCCCGCTGTGTCCAGAATATCCAACAAACAAGTTTCACCTTCAATGACAACCTGCTTTCGATATGAGTCCTCTGCAAATAAAAGGAAGAAGAGTGAGTCTAACAGGGCTCCCACACATACATGTATGTCAACTGCATGTCAAGAATAGAGCTTACCTATTGTTGGGTCGTATTCATCAACAAAACTGAAAAACAACACAATCTTTATTAGTAATTTCAATTCACAACAAAACACATTTATTTCTGACAAAATTCTCTGTAATTTAGGAGTTACCAAATATTGAGACTACATTTAAAGTACATCCAGTGCCTGGTAAAAAAAATTTAAGCTGAGAAGCACTATTTTGCTTGGATGAATTTCTCATATCCTGTTATCTCCTAACTTTTAAAGCAGGATGAATGGGATGTATTTCTGAGAAAAATTTATGCATCAGTCTTTTTACTGCCTTTTTATCAACTCATGACACTAATTTATCTGTACTGGTACATTCCTAAAAAGGATAAAAGCAACAGATTTATCACAGCTCAAACCACAAAACTGAAATTACATCACTATCATGAAAATGAAGAATCAATCTGTCAATCCTCATCAAATTACTGAATACACTTACTGATTCTGTATCAGCTGAATTGTCAAGGCACTTTTTCCAACACCTCCAGCTGGGGAGAAAGAAATGAAAAATTAGAACTATATTTGATGTCTCATAACCATCTGTTATGCCATGAATAAATTGGGGTTAGTGTTTGTTACATGTTGGGGCAACAGCACACATAACCTGATGACATCAGCAGCATAAAATCCTGCAAGTTCACTGTGCAATATAAACAATATTGTAAAAATATGCAATGTACACTTAACAGAAACAATACACAAACAATACTAAACTCACACAAAACTTTTTCACCTTGAAAGGAATCATCCAAAGCTTTCCACTAGACTAAATAATAACAACTACTGAACTCTTACAATAAATTCATGTGTAACTGCATAAAACTGTTAGATAACAGAAATTCAGATTGATGACTAGTCAAAACTATATACTGAATGAATAAACAATGTGACTGAGGCTTCACTATTCACTGTTACTATAGACAGTAAAAGAAAATTAAGTTTGATACATGCTTCAAGGTTACCCTGTAATACAGCACCAAATGAACAGAACATAACAAATCTGTTTTAAATGCACTGTAAACTCATAAAAGACTTTTATTTGTTGTTTCTTCGTTAATGTGATCTGCAGAAATAACTGAAGTATTTGCTTTATGCAGAATTTCCTATCTTCATAAGATATCAAAAAAGCATAATGCTTTTAAACAAAGTGGTCATTAAAACTGTCTACTGTAAATTAAAACTGAAATGGCTCAAAAATTTCAGTAAAATTCTGCAATATAAAATTTGATCAACACTTGTTTATCTGTTCTTAAGTTTTATTACCATGTGGAAAGACAGGTGGACAAGGCAATTTTAATAGGTACTCTGCAGGATTGCAAACCGCCAAGAACACGTGACTCTGAAAAGGGCCACTGTGCTACAAAATACAAACAAACATATGTGTACTTAAAATACAGTAGCAAGAATTAAATGTATTGTAGTTAACATCTTTGGCAAAGAACTGTTCTGCAATAAATACTTAGAACACTAAAACCACCACAACTCAACCCATAGCAAAGGCAGCCAAAGTATCAGTTGGTCACTCAATTCAGTTAATTTGAAGATCTTACAGCTTAAGTGTTTTACTGCAGCAATTCCTATGCCATGAAACCTGGCATAATGCAGACACATCTAAATATCTATTTCACACTTATTCCACATAATTACACTTCCTATGTGTGAAGTCTTAAAATTAATACAAACTCACAAACTGATTTATACAGGGCATCAGATCTTGTACAGAACTCAACAGTCTATTTCAAAGTTTGCAATATTCTGGTTATAAGTTTCATACCTTAATAACAGACAAAATACTGTACAATAATAATAACAAAAACAACAATAAATTTATAATAAACTGAGGCACTACAAATGACACACAATGAATCTGCTAGTCTGTCAGTCACACATATTTTTACCATTTATTCTTATATCAATAAATAAAAGTAAAGCTGTCCCACTATACACCATGCAGGCACTTGAGGGAAGAGGTGGTAGAGCTCCTACTCATTCTTGACCTCAGCACTAGATGGGATGAGTGGTCAGTATCACACACCAGCTGTGCTTAACCTCCAGGAAAGGACCCCAGTACCCATACAACACGAGGTAGGGTAGGCTCCAGAGCCAGTCTGGATGCAGAGGCTAGAGGAAAAATCCTCTGCCCCATCGAGAATTGAACCCCAGTCGTCCAACTCGTAGCTAGTCAAAATACTGACTAATTAAGGAAAATAATATAAGGTGCATTACTATCTTCTTTTGTTTATGTAGCTTGTAAATTAAATAAAAGAAACTAACATAAAGAAAGACTTCAGCTTCAACATGTCTTCACAATGTTATTCTTATGCACTGAGAAAATATCTGAATCTTCTATACAATTCTGAGTACAAACCTTACATTTCAAACATGGGACATGTGATATGATAGTGGTGATGAATCTCAACAACTCTATGTTGGGGAAGAAAAACAGTGGTACAGAATAAGTGGGAATGGTTCCCTTAACATTATGCACAAAGTATACAATTCAGTCACTTGGTGCAATAAAACTGAGGACAAAATAGAGAAATCTTTTAAAAGGTAATGAGCATGAAGTAAATTTTGGATTAAACACAAAAATCTGACCTTAACAAGCCAAACTAAAAACAATGACAAATAAAAAGAATAGTGTATAAAAATTAATGTGGGGCTATATGTGTTTGTAATATAATCAAAGACTGACTACTCAGTCAGGTAAGGTAAAGAATTCAGAATAACTTTACAGTACAGAGACCACAAAAATTTGCAGCTCAGTCTCAGTTTTATTTAGAGTTATTGCTAGAACAGAATAGAATAGAATTTATTTACATTCCACAGATCCTTCATAAGCCCAAGCCAAAAGATGTATCATAGCACAAGGCCTCACATAACCAATCAAACCTACACGAGACTTAAACTGTTATATAGTAATGCCAACAAACATTAGGAAACTTTTAGTTTATATACAAACTGGAAACCACTATTCTTGTCTAGGTATGGTAGTTCTCTATAATGGACAGGCATTTCCACATCTTCAATCCACTGAAGTCTTGATGTAACACTAACATTAACAATGGTCATTTAACATATTGTTACAATAGGACTTATTGACATTGTCATTCATGAAACTTGCAATGTATTTTGTGGAGCACCTACTGAAATTCAATAATAAAAACATCCTTCCTAAAATAAAACATGTACAAATTTCTGCTAGACAATGAAGGACCAACAACAATTTCCATCACAGCAATGACACATAGCACAAGGGTCCTAGTGAACATTATTACGCATCTGTCTTCAAAAATCAAATACACCAAAAAATGACAGAAGATTGAAAATACTCCTGTAATACTGTTGTAAACTAAACATGCCTAGTATTAACAAATAAGTTGACACCTGCGTCATTATCATTACAACTATTGCATTTTAAAAAATTAAAGAATTCGCATGTTTGCAAAAACAAAACTGAAGATTCTTTATAATCCACTTAACTTCATGCACTTGGCTCTTATGGAGTAAATATTTCAATAAGACGCTCCATAAACGAGTAATTCGAAGCATTTTGAAATGTATAAGCCGACAACTCAAATTTTCAATAAAATCTCGAGCGATCAGTAGCGTCAAATGGTTAAAGACATCAGAACCATGATGATGGGGGCAAAGATGTTCCCTGAAACGTCGATTTCGTCTTTTAACAATTTGATGGGGCTGATCGCCCGAGATTTTACTGAGTTACGTCGCCGCAAAAGCTTCAAATCATAAACTTAAATTTTCAAAATAAATGTACATCTGCTGTGAGAAAGGCTTTCATAACGAAGTAAAATTTGATAAGAAAAGTTTTTACCTCCCACGACAACCAGTTTATACTCCGTCATTTTCATTAAGACAAACAGCGGATAATGCACAAAACTGAGCTCAATTAAAATGCTCCCAGCTCTTCTTCAGGAGGGCGAGATCCTCTTCATTAGTGAAATAAAATAAAGTGACACTTAGAAAGTGAACTATTTCACGCCAACACGCTATTGGCTAGCACTGCAACACTACTATCACATAGAGTATCTCTTTTCCCTTTGACCATTGCGCCGCCTTTACAGTGTTGCTAATCAAGCAGACCAAAAATAAAATTTTCCGTCGTATTGGTAGAGAAACAATAAATATATAAAATTGGATAATCAAAACATGATATTATTTTAACAAGTTTGTGACATCAAAGTTATTACAGCTACGTTATGTCGCTTTTGCTGAGTTATTTAAATAGTCACTTGCAAACGCATTCTATTTTTACTATTTAAAATGGCAGCCATGCTCTGAAGACAAATTAATGCTATAATTAATACTTCTGCCACTATATAATCTCATTATTTCATTCCAAGCACAACAGGCCATAAGAAATTCAGTCCTTCAATTTATTGTAATTCCTTGTAACTGATGCATTACAAATGGGAAAATATGTACCTGAAAAAATGTTAAATAATCCAAGAACATATCAGCTGGCATGTATTCCCAGCCTGTATTAAACCAGATAAAGCAGATACCACAGTTCAGACATAAAAAAAACATAGATATGTGGTTGTAGTGTAGAAGAGGCACAATACTTAACCTATCAAAGGCAGATATCCTGATGAATGTTTGAATTTACAGCTCAGAAATTTTAGACAAATACACCGAGTGGAAAATCCAATATTCAACAAACCTAGTTACAACACTGCAACACTAACAGGCAGAGGAGAACAGACTGGTAAATGACAGGGCCTTACCAACTAATCCTAAATCAAACAAACTTTCACAATAAAATCTGATCAACTGTTTGCCAAGTGCAGAGATTACTTAGAGAAGCAGCAGGATGAATATGAACAAATTAAAGATAATGTAAAAGCAAGCCATACCAGCACATTTTAAGGAAATACTGCAGCAGTTGCATAGGAGACAAAAGAGAGAGAGTCAATTTTGGTATGACATACTGAAGTGCACACAGTGAGAAGAAAGGGAACTGTAAATACTTGTCATTGACACAAGCAGCTTGTATTCCAGAAAAGTTCAGATGACTGGCCAACTGCTTTCTAAAATGTTACATTGCATCCTTGATCCTCCTCATTCAGTCTGAGCATTCTGCACACTGTTGCAGTCAGTTATAACAGGTTCCATAAGAAATGGTATACAGTGACATCCATGTAGACATGACAACTGTTTCTAATCAGAAAAAACAGTGGGCAAAGAAATGTAATCTTATCATGGAACCCAAAGTTTGGTTACCATCACCACAAAAGCCTGCCCAACACTGTACCCTATCTTGAGTCAGCTAACATTTTTGTATCTCCAAGATACATTTTAATATTACCTTCTCACCAGTGTCTCAGTTAACCAAGTAGACTCTTTTCATTATCAGAGACATTAACAAACATTTGACTTATAAAATAAGCAGCTGTTAAGGAATTATGCACAACCTGCTCAGAACTTCTGTCTGCACTCTGAGTCTGACCACATTAACAATTTGAACAAAGTTTGTGAAACCTGTCCTGCTCAGACCAGTCTTTCAAAATCAAACATGATATGATGAAGAAGGGAACGCAATCATAATAAATAATGATTTGGGCCACTCCTACACATAGCATACTTTACAATGCTGCATAAATATCAGGGCCTCAACTACAAACACTCAAGAGAAATACACCTGGCTTATCTAAATTACTACAGCATAATAAAATCTGAGAAAATATTCTAGAATTACATATTTAACAACAATGTTTAAAAATTTAAATTCATTTTGAATGACTGGCATTCAGAGTTGGACTGTAACAACATATAGCTTTGGAATTATCAATAACATATAATCCTTCAAAAGATGTTCACAGTAGCAGCTGTCTTTCTGGTACCTTGCCTCTTTTGGAAGCAATCAAACTATTTAATAGTAATAAGAAAAGAGGAGTAATACAGGTCACACAAAACGGTTTCACATTGTACTTGTAACTGCCACTGGAATGTATTCTAACAGTTTCTGTCCATGTTAGAAAAATAGCAATACATTCTTCACCTACTAAAAATATGATGCCAGCACATGAAACCTTTGGTGTAATTTTCAACAATGCACCTTCTGCCTGGCAGTGAAGACCACAGCATTACCAACTGGTGTCAGTTCCAAAAAATATTTTACCTGACACTGGTGCCACACGTTACAATCTTTGTCATGATTATAAAAGACAACACAGCTTCCATCTGTAGCCTATTCGATGCTTCTTTCTGTCTTTTCCACGGTGCTCTTTCTGTAAAGAAAAGTATCATCATAACAGAAGGCATGTAAAGCCCTGACGACAATATAGACTACATTAAAGAAAAAAGATAAAGTTAATGTTGTTGTCCATGATGACTTGTACATAACATTCTGTGTATTATATATCTTAAGACAAGATGAAAGTGAGTAATTAACTTCACACCCTGCCCAATTTCATTCTCAGGGAGTGGTGGGTGAGAACAGTACCCACCCAATAGAGAGGAAGCTGTGTTGGTTCCTGAACTGGTCTCGATGTAATCATAATAAAAAAAGAAACCTCTGCCCCTGCCAAGAACTGAAATCCTGTAACCTGTCATATTGATCTTTGTTAGGTCATCACTGTTAATGAACTATTCAACTACCTGGATTATGTAATAAAATGAAGAGATCTGATCCATGGCTTAATGTTCATTAAGTTGTCAATCATAATGTTCCCTGTTGCTGCTATGGAACTCACAGGTTCATTGCCATAAACAAAGCCCGAGCCACTTAGTCTAAGACTCATTTCAACCTCTCCCAAACAGTTCCCCACCAGTGTAGTGTCCTCAACCAGAATTTGTACTAAAAGGTATGGATGCCTCAGTTATTTTCTTATAATAAGCACCAGTTGCCTATGCAATATTATTTGGAAATGAGTAAAAATCTGTTACTTTCTGATGTTGGTGCATCACCTTCATGTAACAATAAGACTGATCACCTTAAGTGGGTGATATATTTTGACATAAGTGTAATTAAGAATAAATTTATTTCATATCCATAGCATGTCTATAAACATATGATTTGTAACTACACCTACATCTTTCCTAATCTCCCGAACCAATGTGTAGAAGGCATCATCCACTCCAAGTCGTGTTTTGGCTGATGTTTCTACAAAGGGAATCATGTACTGCTTGGCAACTTCTTGTGCTTGATTCACTTCCACAGCCCGGGTTGGCAAGTCACATTTATTGCCCACCACTGTGAAACAGAACAGATTTCCTCATCTAAAATAACTTTAAGCTACATAAGAAGGCAGCACATCAGGAGTTTAAAAGATCTGAACCACAATGGCATGAACAAATCATCTGCATTAAGAACACATAATGATGAATGTCAGAAATGGTCTCTTCTCTTCTAGGAAGAACATAACCTGCAAACATCTGACAACTAAAAAAAATATCTGGGCATAAGAAGGATTAAGTACCTGAGAAATTTAGGATTTATCATCAATTATCCTCACTGTGCACAAATTAAAGAGGTTGCAAAACACTAGACAAAAACCAAGATTTGGGGTTAAAATTTGTACTAAACTCTGGTGATGAAACATTTGGTATGGGAAGACAACATTATGGAAATAGTTGTGGACTGATTCAGGTTCATGTCTAATGGTATTAACAGTATCTCACTTATAATACAGGGGAGTTCAAAAATCATGGAATTAATTCTGTAAAATTTGTTGTGGTAACTTATACTGAGGTACCAACTCCAACAATCAAATACAGCATGAACCTATTCCCATATACTTACAAACCATTGGCACTTCTTCTGCGTCTTTAACCCTTTTAATCTGTTCTCGATACATGCTGATATCTTCAAATGATTTGGCATTGTTTATGGCAAATACAAGTAGGAAACCTTCTCCTGTCCTCATGTACTGATCTCTCATAGCACTGAAAATTGAAAACACATTATTTTCAAATAATGTTATAAAATACTTCACTGGCATTTCTCTGTAATAACATATAGGTCTCCGAACAATTGCATTTGCCTGCACACTAGTGAAAGATTGTGGCACATGACAAAATTCAACAGGCTTTGGCTGCCTCGTGAAGACTCAAGTTCATACTTAGTAACACGTCATAAAGAAAGCCTCTGTAACAAATACTGCGCTTGGATTGACTTAATTTAAAAAGAAAGTCTTTGAGTTTTGTTGTAGGATGAAATTGCAGTCTGCTTGATGGAGCAATAAAGTGTTCTTTATGCAATACTATAGAAAATACTAACCCCACAGTGAAAAATTTGTTCAATGGCAATATAATGTCTGGGATTTAAGTCAATGTGAAATGATAAAAAAACAATACTATAAGAAACGTAAGCCCCTAGTTTAATTCTGAATAGACTTCACAACTTTTCATGATAAAAATTCTGTTTTATCCAATGGAATACACAAACAAGCAACATGACTATTAAACACTTCCATTGACAAATCTTCTGACCCAATTTCCTTACTTTCTTATTTATAAATACTTATATTAATACTTTATGCATTATGTTTGGTGGTGGGACATGAAGGTCGACAAATTCTTAACCTTTACACTACTTGAGACAGCCCTCTAAACAGGAGCTTGAATAGTCCCCAGTCAGTGCAGACATAGTTATGATCCTATCAGGAACCAAACCTCAATCAGCCAACACGAAATTACTTCACTGACTGAAATACCACCATGTTAAGTCTTCATTTGGTTTCCTTAAGTCTGAATATTTGATTGAACTCACAGCCATTGCAGTTTAGTCAACTATAATCAATCAGAAGACTTCATGTCAAAATTCACTGCAGACAGCTCGAGTATATGTGGATCAATATCTGTACTACCTGCCTTACCTCTCCCTCTCTTCACACTGTAAATAACTCAAAATCAAAAGAAGGCTGCAATAATACAGGTATCAAGTTACTGCATTTTCTGACCAATGTCAACCACTCTCTGTTGATTGTACTTTTGCAAGCAACTCAGAATATGAAGCAAATAAGCGTCATCAAAACAACCAGTACACAGACCTGTATTCCTCTTGTCCCGCTGTGTCCAGAATATCCAACAAACAAGTTTCACCTTCAATGACAACCTGCTTTCGATATGAGTCCTCTGCAAATAAAAGGAAGAAGAGTGAGTCTAACAGGGCTCCCACACATACATGTATGTCAACTGCATGTCAAGAATAGAGCTTACCTATTGTTGGGTCGTATTCATCAACAAAACTGAAAAACAACACAATCTTTATTAGTAATTTCAATTCACAACAAAACACATTTATTTCTGACAAAATTCTCTGTAATTTAGGAGTTACCAAATATTGAGACTACATTTAAAGTACATCCAGTGCCTGGTAAAAAAAATTTAAGCTGAGAAGCACTATTTTGCTTGGATGAATTTCTCATATCCTGTTATCTCCTAACTTTTAAAGCAGGATGAATGGGATGTATTTCTGAGAAAAATTTATGCATCAGTCTTTTTACTGCCTTTTTATCAACTCATGACACTAATTTATCTGTACTGGTACATTCCTAAAAAGGATAAAAGCAACAGATTTATCACAGCTCAAACCACAAAACTGAAATTACATCACTATCATGAAAATGAAGAATCAATCTGTCAATCCTCATCAAATTACTGAATACACTTACTGATTCTGTATCAGCTGAATTGTCAAGGCACTTTTTCCAACACCTCCAGCTGGGGAGAAAGAAATGAAAAATTAGAACTATATTTGATGTCTCATAACCATCTGTTATGCCATGAATAAATTGGGGTTAGTGTTTGTTACATGTTGGGGCAACAGCACACATAACCTGATGACATCAGCAGCATAAAATCCTGCAAGTTCACTGTGCAATATAAACAATATTGTAAAAATATGCAATGTACACTTAACAGAAACAATACACAAACAATACTAAACTCACACAAAACTTTTTCACCTTGAAAGGAATCATCCAAAGCTTTCCACTAGACTAAATAATAACAACTACTGAACTCTTACAATAAATTCATGTGTAACTGCATAAAACTGTTAGATAACAGAAATTCAGATTGATGACTAGTCAAAACTATATACTGAATGAATAAACAATGTGACTGAGGCTTCACTATTCACTGTTACTATAGACAGTAAAAGAAAATTAAGTTTGATACATGCTTCAAGGTTACCCTGTAATACAGCACCAAATGAACAGAACATAACAAATCTGTTTTAAATGCACTGTAAACTCATAAAAGACTTTTATTTGTTGTTTCTTCGTTAATGTGATCTGCAGAAATAACTGAAGTATTTGCTTTATGCAGAATTTCCTATCTTCATAAGATATCAAAAAAGCATAATGCTTTTAAACAAAGTGGTCATTAAAACTGTCTACTGTAAATTAAAACTGAAATGGCTCAAAAATTTCAGTAAAATTCTGCAATATAAAATTTGATCAACACTTGTTTATCTGTTCTTAAGTTTTATTACCATGTGGAAAGACAGGTGGACAAGGCAATTTTAATAGGTACTCTGCAGGATTGCAAACCGCCAAGAACACGTGACTCTGAAAAGGGCCACTGTGCTACAAAATACAAACAAACATATGTGTACTTAAAATACAGTAGCAAGAATTAAATGTATTGTAGTTAACATCTTTGGCAAAGAACTGTTCTGCAATAAATACTTAGAACACTAAAACCACCACAACTCAACCCATAGCAAAGGCAGCCAAAGTATCAGTTGGTCACTCAATTCAGTTAATTTGAAGATCTTACAGCTTAAGTGTTTTACTGCAGCAATTCCTATGCCATGAAACCTGGCATAATGCAGACACATCTAAATATCTATTTCACACTTATTCCACATAATTACACTTCCTATGTGTGAAGTCTTAAAATTAATACAAACTCACAAACTGATTTATACAGGGCATCAGATCTTGTACAGAACTCAACAGTCTATTTCAAAGTTTGCAATATTCTGGTTATAAGTTTCATACCTTAATAACAGACAAAATACTGTACAATAATAATAACAAAAACAACAATAAATTTATAATAAACTGAGGCACTACAAATGACACACAATGAATCTGCTAGTCTGTCAGTCACACATATTTTTACCATTTATTCTTATATCAATAAATAAAAGTAAAGCTGTCCCACTATACACCATGCAGGCACTTGAGGGAAGAGGTGGTAGAGCTCCTACTCATTCTTGACCTCAGCACTAGATGGGATGAGTGGTCAGTATCACACACCAGCTGTGCTTAACCTCCAGGAAAGGACCCCAGTACCCATACAACACGAGGTAGGGTAGGCTCCAGAGCCAGTCTGGATGCAGAGGCTAGAGGAAAAATCCTCTGCCCCATCGAGAATTGAACCCCAGTCGTCCAACTCGTAGCTAGTCAAAATACTGACTAATTAAGGAAAATAATATAAGGTGCATTACTATCTTCTTTTGTTTATGTAGCTTGTAAATTAAATAAAAGAAACTAACATAAAGAAAGACTTCAGCTTCAACATGTCTTCACAATGTTATTCTTATGCACTGAGAAAATATCTGAATCTTCTATACAATTCTGAGTACAAACCTTACATTTCAAACATGGGACATGTGATATGATAGTGGTGATGAATCTCAACAACTCTATGTTGGGGAAGAAAAACAGTGGTACAGAATAAGTGGGAATGGTTCCCTTAACATTATGCACAAAGTATACAATTCAGTCACTTGGTGCAATAAAACTGAGGACAAAATAGAGAAATCTTTTAAAAGGTAATGAGCATGAAGTAAATTTTGGATTAAACACAAAAATCTGACCTTAACAAGCCAAACTAAAAACAATGACAAATAAAAAGAATAGTGTATAAAAATTAATGTGGGGCTATATGTGTTTGTAATATAATCAAAGACTGACTACTCAGTCAGGTAAGGTAAAGAATTCAGAATAACTTTACAGTACAGAGACCACAAAAATTTGCAGCTCAGTCTCAGTTTTATTTAGAGTTATTGCTAGAACAGAATAGAATAGAATTTATTTACATTCCACAGATCCTTCATAAGCCCAAGCCAAAAGATGTATCATAGCACAAGGCCTCACATAACCAATCAAACCTACACGAGACTTAAACTGTTATATAGTAATGCCAACAAACATTAGGAAACTTTTAGTTTATATACAAACTGGAAACCACTATTCTTGTCTAGGTATGGTAGTTCTCTATAATGGACAGGCATTTCCACATCTTCAATCCACTGAAGTCTTGATGTAACACTAACATTAACAATGGTCATTTAACATATTGTTACAATAGGACTTATTGACATTGTCATTCATGAAACTTGCAATGTATTTTGTGGAGCACCTACTGAAATTCAATAATAAAAACATCCTTCCTAAAATAAAACATGTACAAATTTCTGCTAGACAATGAAGGACCAACAACAATTTCCATCACAGCAATGACACATAGCACAAGGGTCCTAGTGAACATTATTACGCATCTGTCTTCAAAAATCAAATACACCAAAAAATGACAGAAGATTGAAAATACTCCTGTAATACTGTTGTAAACTAAACATGCCTAGTATTAACAAATAAGTTGACACCTGCGTCATTATCATTACAACTATTGCATTTTAAAAAATTAAAGAATTCGCATGTTTGCAAAAACAAAACTGAAGATTCTTTATAATCCACTTAACTTCATGCACTTGGCTCTTATGGAGTAAATATTTCAATAAGACGCTCCATAAACGAGTAATTCGAAGCATTTTGAAATGTATAAGCCGACAACTCAAATTTTCAATAAAATCTCGAGCGATCAGTAGCGTCAAATGGTTAAAGACATCAGAACCATGATGATGGGGGCAAAGATGTTCCCTGAAACGTCGATTTCGTCTTTTAACAATTTGATGGGGCTGATCGCCCGAGATTTTACTGAGTTACGTCGCCGCAAAAGCTTCAAATCATAAACTTAAATTTTCAAAATAAATGTACATCTGCTGTGAGAAAGGCTTTCATAACGAAGTAAAATTTGATAAGAAAAGTTTTTACCTCCCACGACAACCAGTTTATACTCCGTCATTTTCATTAAGACAAACAGCGGATAATGCACAAAACTGAGCTCAATTAAAATGCTCCAGCTCTTCTTCAGGAGGGCGAGATCCTCTTCATTAGTGAAATAAAATAAAGTGACACTTCAGACCAAAAATAAAATTTTCCGTCGTATTGGTAGAGAAACAATAAATATATAAAATTGGATAATCAAAACATGATATTATTTTAACAAGTTTGTGACATCAAAGTTATTACAGCTACGTTATGTCGCTTTTGCTGAGTTATTTAAATAGTCACTTGCAAACGCATTCTATTTTTACTATTTAAAATGGCAGCCATGCTCTGAAGACAGGCTGTCAATTCTTGTTATATAAGCATTAATTAGTCGCGTCATTTTTACAGCATTTTGAAAATGTCCAGCATCGCACTTTATGTAAAGACATATCTGATCAAAAGAAATATGGATCCAATTTTAATAGGGGTGTAGGTTTTGTCTAAACAATAGCTCTGGTTAACCCCTTGAACCTGCATTTCAAAACCGCACAACGGAATGTAATTGTTTTCTGGTACGTGGGTACGATCACATAATTTTGATTCTTCCTCCTGGTACAATGTATTTCTGACATGGCTCACATAACAGAGTCAGTTTGTTTACGTATCAGAACCGCTGTGAATACACCCAAGACGACATTCAGTATGGCGGCTGTGCAGAGGGAGACGATTCAGAAACAAATTCAACAAGATTGGGCCAACAGAGAATACATTGAAGTTATTACTGGAAGTATAAAGAAAATTACAGATTTTCTAAATTCGTTTGGTGAGCTGGTGTTTCCCCTCATAGTAAATATCCGTAATGTAAGACCTTGATGTATTCTGGGATGTGCCTTGTAGTCCGGCAGAAGTTTACCTTCTTCCAGACTACCAGAATAACAACCCAGAATACTACACATTCGCCATTGGGAGCACCTCAAATCTCACTGGTTACCATTTCTTGGAGTCTGCTGTCTCAATTTTTTACCCGAATACAAAGACAGCAGGTCCCTCAAAGAGACTGGTCACCTTTGGAGAAACCTGCTGCCCTTATTTTATTTCCTAATAAATACATTCCTACTTAAGGGAAATAATGCTATGTAAATATTGAAAATAAACTATGAGACATACAAGCCTAAAAACTTATTGCTGCAGGTCAAGGGAAAGAAGAAAATATACATATGCGATTTTCTCTTGGTGGGATGGAAGTAATTCAGTACAAAGAGATATGGTCTGTTCTAATGCTAGACCAGCAATACTACATATTCCAATTAGTAATTTATATATATTTTTCTAATAGACATGTCATGTCGCTCCCGGCTTGCCGTGCTGAATGAAAAGCTGACAACATTAGAAAGAAGAGTGGAATATCTTGAAGCACGTGTAAGTACATTAACATATTTTTGGAGAGTATTAATATTTTGGACTTGCATGGACCATGTATTCACTACATTCCAGTTTTCTCTTGCACTGAAACGTGTCCTGAATATCTATAGTAGGAAAGTAAAGGCATAAAATTTATTACTTGAGCAAAGCTAAAAATGTAAATGGTGTCATCAAACTCCAAAGCTGGCATTGTACACCCAACCTTTGGCCAAACTTTCACCTCCTTTTCTTTCCTTACTAGTAGGAACTAAGGAGGACAAAGCCCACCCCAGGCTGTAGCGCCAAGGAAGAAGAACCAGTAGGAACTGTTTTTGTATCCCTCCACCAACTGCTATGCAAATTTTACTTATTTTGCAAAAAGTAAGTTGAACAGTTACTTAATAGAAGTTGCTGTCTTGGTTTGTAAACAGTGGTCTTTGTTTTCAGGTTACAAAAGGAGAAACATTGACATAGGCTTAACAAGGATAGCATCATTCAATAGCATCCATTTATTCATGTTGATCCACATTTATAACGAAGTTCATGTTCATGCACATATCTGTGATTGTCTACAAAGTTCAAAACACAAAAATTTACAATAATTAAAATAAATTTAGTCATGTCCTTCACCTTGGACTGAGACTATTTTAAATGGGCTTCATATAATAACAAAGAAACCAACTCTAAAACTTGATGCTTAAGTAGAAATAGGAACTCTACTTAGCAAATATGTACACACAGTACACATACTAGTGCTGTATATAACCACATTTTATTACATGTAAGAATAACTTACTGCTGGACCATCAACAATCAGGCTTTCCCTTTGCTGGTCCATTGGCACTTACACCTGCATCTCCAGACTCCAACTGTTTAAGCAAACGGAACAGTGCTGCTGCCTCACGAATTCGACTGAACTCAATACAAAAGGCCTGCACTTCAATAAACAGCTCCTGTAAATTAATTTATTAACTATATGCTACACAGTGAATTCTTGTATCTTATATTTGTTCACTTCACATGGGAATCAGATTGAACACAAATATATGGTGCACAACTTCAACAATTCTATCATGTTACATTCCCCCCCCCCTTACCCACTCATTATCAGAGAATTAAGATGTGGTTAATGAAATATGATGATGTGTTATGATAACTGAGACATGTACTGCCAATCTCGCAACTATGCTCTGTGAACCACTAATATTTCTTTTTAATACTGAAATAGCAATTTAATAAGTGAAAATAAAACTTTATCAGAACAAAAACTCATACTATTCTACTGTACAAGAGAGAACATCATGGCTTATGAGTGGTGCTGATTGAGCACATAACACTTATTTTATTTCCCACAAGTCAGTACTTCTTAATTTACTGCATAAACATATTGAAATGTATAAATGGAGTCTCAAAAGTTGATGCTTAATAATGGAAAGTATGGTAAATTTTGTACTTATAGATTTTTACATTGCAGATATGGGGTTTCAATTGGGGATTAGTAATGTGTATGTTAATTTGAAATATATGTTATCATTAAGTATGCTGTAATATTTCTCCATACTTATAAATGTCAGGTTGCGAATGCTCCAATATGTCCTTGTTCTTTGCAGTGATACTGAAATGTATGAATGAGTTGTATATTTGTAAGTACTAACCTGCACATTGATAATCTTGTTACGGATTAATGACTGGAGAAAAACACAAACCAGACGGACCAATCGATTCTGCATGTAACGGTCCTTGATAGTTTCACAGGTTGAAATACAATTTGAAATATATAGATGTACAAATTCAGTAGGAAGATCAACTGTTGTTGTAAGCCTGAAACAATATATGACAATAATTCATTATTAACTATACATTTTGCAACAGCATGGATGGCCATAATTACAAACACATAAATAATTTAGTGTTTAATGAATCAACAGCAAACTGTCCTTTATTGAAGTCCAACAATCACCTGATGGCATATTTCCCTGCAGCCTTCATTGTATCAAATAAACAGAGTTAGTGTACCCATTTTTTTGTATGGAATTACTGTAAGGGGGGACAGCATTAAAAATACATGTGAAGCAACTGTTTATACTACAAAAGGGGGTAGTTAGAAGTACCTGTTGACCACCTCCATAGAATGCAATGACATCTCCATGTTCACAAGTACACTGAAATACTCCGTGATATGGCTGGACTGCATTAACTTCAGCAGCACCTCTATAGCAATTAAAGGATTGCTTTCAACCAAGTCTGGAAGCTGCAATAAAATCACTGTTTAATGACTGACTTATCACACTTCCTGCTGTACCACCTTCCTGACTGCATATTAATGCTGTAATTATTTACCCTGAACTTTTGGATTTCAAGTCAAATTTCCTTTTTATTTGTGGTAAATTTATTACGTCTTTCATATTGGTCAGGTGAGAACACTTAAAGGACAGAATTTCATTTCACCTGTGGCTATCTGACAAGCTGTAATAGTAAAACTTTCATGATTGTTGCAAACAGTGCTTACCTTGCTTGGAGTAAGTCCAATGTGATATACCAGTTTGGGATCATTTTCAAGTTCAGCTAATAAATGCTGCTGCTGCTGAAGTGTGAGAGCACCCTTAAAAGCACGAGCCATAAGCCTTTTGGCTTCAACTCCTTCGCAATTAGAAACACACATAGTTATGTCATATGCTGCCTTATGTTCTGATGGTTCTGTTGCATTTAACCAGACCAACTGAAAAGAAGCAACTGGTCATTATTTGTAAAGAACATTGGTAAATAAAAACATCTTAACTTTAAAAAGGCCTTATTTAAGCATATATCTGTCATGCTATTAAGGTATCAAAACCACAACCCCCTGATTATAAGAGGGTAGTCTACCAATGAGCCACAAAACTAATCAAAAATGGATTTTTTTTTAAACTTGAAGTGGCATACATACCTGTGAGGATGAACAATAAGCCTGCCAAACATATGTACAAACCATGAATGATAAAATTATTACCTCATCCTCACAGCTGTGAATGGGAGGTACAAGACGCAAAAACTCTGGCTTGTAGCACTGTTCTACAATTGGTTTCTGCCCCACCAACAGTGCTTCAGCAGTTTTCTTTGCGATGCTCTGCTCTGGAAATAAACTGCAAAACAAAACAAATCATTCTTGCATTTCCTAGGAAATTGGAATTTCATGAAAGGATCTGCTTTTTCCAAATGCATCCATAGGTACATAGAAGCCACAAAAAATATAACTCAGTAATTATACAACACAGAAATCTATTCTGAGTCAGAAATCCTGCTTGTGCATATTTCTGTTCTTTCACTTCTGTCAGTACATACTATGGATACCAGCTTGAAGGGTTGCCATTACAGTATTTTTTCTACAATTTCCAACTGCAGAGCAAAATGTTTCACAAAAACTTGCAGTTTTTATACTGTGGTACAAAGTTCAGTCCCATGAAAGAGGAATAATGCATATTTTGAAACTTGATCTTCTTACTGAGTCATCCTTGTATAACATTATCCTGGTCATTAGCATAATAATGTCCTAGTCATTTTGGTAATGACTAAAGGGCTTCCAAAACCACATTCATAAATTTAACACACTCAAAACTTTTGCAAGAATACTGTGCCTCCAGTGGATGGTAATGTCAAAGAAGTTTCCACAAGCCCGATAATGAGAGTCTAGAACTCTTACACATTACAGTACAAAGTATTTCACTAACCTTACTGAACCTATTCTCATTTCATTGTCTGGTAATATAACGGGAATTCCAGACCGACTAGTATGGGGTAGCTCTGACTGCCTTTCTGCCAGCGCCAGTTGGATGCTTGTAATGTCAACATTGTGAAACAGTCCCATATCACTGCTCAATATCTGACCGGGAGTTTTCTTGAGAAGCTGAAACAGCATGATTACCATTAAGACTGTCAACTATTTTTATACATATTAGACAATGGTTTTAAGTGCAGCTGAGTGATGAGCTTCATGCTCCTTCCACGTAACCCTCCAGTATCCATTTACTATTAGTCAGTTAACTTATTCATTTTGGTACAGGCCAAAATGTTATTCCAAATTCAGAATTTACAAACAATGCATGGCTCACAACTGTACAAAACATATATCAAATGGGAGAGAACTGGCAGTAAACAACAACCATGACAATTTTCCCTCAACCTTACTAATCTACTGCCACTTACAACTCACAGCAGCATAACCTCCACCTGACACTGCATCATAAACTAAGCCAATACTTGTTTACAGAAAAGTAAATGTAAATGTTATTAGACTTCATGACAGAAGCAAGTGAGTGACATTCACCTCTTTTGTTGGGTTCGTAATGAGCTGTGCTAAGAAGTTCTTTTCTACTGCGGACAAGCGAGGCAGTTGACCTGCATATTCCAGCTTACGTACTGAACCCTTGCTGGTTTCTTCAGGATGATGCTGTAATGAAAATAAACTGTACTTTTTCATCATGTGATAGAAAAAGGAACTGACACATTTGTACAACAAGTAGAGTTTAAAGGACTGTTACATGAATTTTACAAATACAGCTGAACCCCACTAGAGCACCTTACTTTGTCCACCACCGATATTGACATTAAAGTGAGGGTGCCAGTAAAATAAAACTTCTGTGTGTGTCTCAGAATATTTTTATTTCTTAACATACACATTAAAGGGTCATTTGATTTACAAAGTGTAGTTACAATTTTGTGGACAAAAGATAAGGCAAAATTATGGAGTATGTAGCCCTAACCATGTTATACAGTAGTCACCTTTATTATAATCTCATTTTCTGTTGCAAAATACACACTAATGTCTGCATGAACTTTCATTTTCTCATTAATTTTACCATTAATTAAGTCCAGAGCAACAATATTCTAAATTATACCTTTACTAACTTACTGGATACTGTAGGGTTCTGATGGCAGTGTGATACAGTCAAGTTCATTGAGATTTTGGAGTTTGTCCATCATTCAAGGTTAAAATGTATACAATGTTTTGAAAACTGGATCTGTTGGTCCAGTCATTATTGAGACTAGCTCTTTCAGACCCAACAGAGTAGATGCCCCTGGCCCATACACCTGAAGACAAAATCAGATCTGGTTTTCAAAAAAGTTGTATACATTTTAACCTTGGACAATGGACAAAGTCCAAAAACCTAATAAACCTAACTTACTATCCCAGTTCTGTTTAGAGTTCAGTTAAATCCCATGATATTGTTCTTTGTATGCACACACACATCTTTTTCTCTTTATTACAGTGTGCTTTTCCCCATGTCAGATAAATGCAACTGTCATAGTATATATCTGCATCTGTGTAGTAATTCACTTCCTTATTGTAAGCATTATACAAGAATTCTTGGAATGTTACCAACTCTTAAGAAAAATAATATTCATAAATTTTTAAATTCAGTATAAGACCATGCTAGAATGGTGCATGTACCTGGTCACAGAACTGCACAATTTTTCCTAACTATGTCACATCCTATTCCCTTACTGTGTTGTTCTTTGCATCTGTGTGGGCAAATGTGCGACGGTTTGTTAATACTTTATTTAATTTTGTTAATTTATGTTTAGGAATAATTGCCATTTACACTAGAACATGAAAATCAAAACAGACCAGTAACCATAGTTTGAATTGAGAACGACAGTCTACAGGTAAAAATATGAGGTTCTGTTGTGTTTAAGTACCATGTTGCTTTTGAAATATTGACAAGTTTGATTAGAATGGGCAATCACCAAACCAAGGAAGACCAGAAACTTGTTAAAACCAGTGATAGTCTCTGACAGCAGGCAAACATTACTCACCAATAAATGAATGAACACTGTTGCAAAAGGATTCATGGCCATAGACTCTCCCCTGTACAAGTCATGAAGGAGTGTAATGGCTGCCAGTCTTTGACATGGCTTGGGGAGAAGATCTGCTTGTTGGAGAAGCAGAATAATGGCACATCCCACTGCAAATCAGCATATATTTGTTTTAACTTTACAGTCGTTAAAATCCTACCACTACCAGAAGTACAATCCAAGAAGTTTTAAGTATTAAAGGGTATGAGTCACATGAAAATTCACCCTAACACTGCAGAGAGAGATGGTGGAGCAGTTTAATTTTGAGGTAGTTAGATATGCTGGTGAAGATAGTGTCCAAATGAGTTCTCATCTTTGCTTTCTTGGTAATCATGCAATGGCACATCTATATTATTGCTCAAATTATAACACCTTATGTGTTTTCCTACTGGAAATTAAACTCAAATGAAATGCATCACGACCTTGATAATTCACCTTTGTAATGATCCTGTTTGCTGAAGCATTGGTGTGTCTGTGATGCTAGAGATTCAAGACTCTGGGACTCTGTGCTTTCTTCACTTAAGATCCTGCAAATTACTGAAACACTTAGAATTTTATATCAAGTGCAGGAATACCCACCAAATTCCTTGTCTTAGAAACTGAGAACAACTCAAACTGGAAAAGCACATTGAATATATAATACCCAAACTAAGTTCAGCTTCATAAGATAGCATCCTGATATAGAGCATAACTAATCATGGTATCTTGCAGAGAACTATTTAACAAATTTAATACACTCCCACTTACAAGTGAATTCCTATTCTCATTCCTGTCTTCTGTTGAAGTTCCAAGCAAACTCTGACACACATAGCACAAATACAAGACATAAGCAAGATCTCCATCAACCAAGCATTAACCTCAATAGCTATCAGAAAGGTGCTAAGTATGCAGGGATGATATAATTCAAAACTCTTCTAGACAGCATTAAAAGTTTCAACCATGATATAAAGGTATTCAAGCCTGCATTGAAAGATTACCTCTTTACTCACTCCTTCTATTCTGTAGATGATTTCATCTCTGCTGAAAATGTTTAAGCTTTATATCCATAATCTAGGTATATGGAAAGAAAGTTTTGTATTTATATTTAAAATTCTGAGGTTTATGTATATTAATTTGTAAAATTATTTTTCATACTTGTATTGCAGAATCTGAAATTTATGTACATTGATATGTGAAATACGTTCTTGTACTTGTGTTGAAAGTTCTGAAGTGTATGTTATTGTATGAAATGACATGTTCTACATCCTTTGGTTGAGTCCTAAGAAGGATCTATGGAATGTAAATAAACTCTACTCTACTCTCTACTCATACTATGACATGTTCCACATCCTTGACTTGTACTACGAAGGATATGTGGAATATAAATAAATTATAATTACAACTGCACCACAAGCAGTCACTTCAAATAGAATTAACACTGGGCTCATCACACATTAGCATCTTAAGTCAAAGAGTCTTTTAACAACAATTAATAAATATAGATGTTATTACAAAAATACAGATTCAAGATTGCAACTTTAAATTTAGTATTGCAAAATGGTTTGGAATATATACATTAAACAACATAAAACTCCTCTTACACATTAAAGGTACAATATATGAAATAAATATACATACATTATATAGAGATAACCTTCATATGCCAAACACTAACCTCAGTAAATATCAAAAAGAAGTTTATTATACTGGAATTAAGTTATTCAATAATCTTCCTCTCACTATAAAGAGTCTGAATCATGATATAATGAAGATTAAGCCAGCACTTAAAGAGTATCGCACTCCTGCTCCATAGAAAAATGTACTTCAACCATAAATTCTGATATATTATAAATACATGCAAGCAATAGTGGTGATGCATTCTTGTGTAATTATTTCTGCTGTAATACTGTTGTTGACTGATTGTAATACACTATCCCGGCTGTGTAATGTATATTTCCATTAGAAACAAGTATTGTATTTGAGCTATGACATTTTCTTTATCCTCGGCTTAGGCCTAAAAAGGATCTAGAAATGCATAGAAATTCAATTATATTCTAAATACACATATTTAAATAAGGAACATAGTGCGAGTTAGGTTAGTTTTTCCAATGCACAAGATCACCTATAACGATAAAATGCACACAATATGTAATAAAATTACCCAAGTAAGGACGTCAAATCTTTCACCGACAAACTCATGGTACATTCACTTCAATTTAAATAAAAATCTTTACAAAACCATAAAAATTAACATGTTTTGCAAATTAGCACTGGGCATGGAAAAACAAACTTCTGTTGGCCACTTTCCATTATCAAGCAAATATTTTATACGTCGTGTCGTGCACTCAAACGTGTATTTTAGTCATCTTCACTGTAGACAATCAATGATCGTGTTTAGGAGATGACTGTATTGTGGGTTGTTGCGCCGTGTAGTCTGGTAAAAGTTAACCGACGTCATGGCCCTGAAGATGGAGGCAGTAAGGACCTCTGAAACATCGGTAAACTTCTACCAGACTACACGGCGCAACAACCGAGAAGACAGCCATCTAAAGACTCACCGCCGTGAAAACCTCGAATCCTACAATGATCATGTTTTATTGCAGACTTGAAGGAGCAACAGAAACACATCTTACAGTGTTGTTTAGAGCCAACTGCCAATTTTGGAAATCTCTTTTCATTTGTATATAATAAGGCAGTTCGTTTGCAAATACTAAACCAAATTTTCATTGTAATTTTTTGTTTATTCATATTTTCTATTGGCAGAACTGCACATGGCACATGGCTATTTTCTGAAGGTCAAAAACTCTGCAAAGTAGTGAAGATGGCTAGATTATTGCAAAGATTTATATTGCAATATCAGGAATCATTACAGTTTGGGGTAAATATATATATAACAAACGTTTTCTTGGAATGCGAATTTGGAAAGGATGTAGGATATAGTGCTCATGGCCAATAATTTACCTAGGGGACTGAAAAACCACAAGCTCGCGCGCACAAAATCTAGGTAGTCCTGGAACGGAAAAAAGCCGTGAATGTTCAGTGATATTATTCGCACCAAAATATATACACAAACTTTTAACTTAAAATGAATGTAATAGTACTTAATATTATAATTCATCGCTTTATGTTTCCTTTTCAAGAATCACCTTGTAGCAGGTAGTCAGTCAAGCTATAATCATACCATGTCAGCTGGAGATACAATACTTACATTCGGCCAACAGTTGCACAAAGTGGAAAGCTTTCATTTTATGTATCCTACCCCTTACATCTCAGTACCTTATACACTGAATACAGAGGTTCATGTATTTGGATGACCAGTCACTGATCTACCTTTCCATGCAAACCAGTATAACTCCATGTTTGTCATATAAGAAACTAAAGTATTTTGATGCATCTGAACAGGCTGTTACAGGAACTGTGATACAGCCAGTCATGCTCCGATGTTTTAGTCATGAGAGAACAGCCAAAACTGGACCTGTACCATCCAGAAATCCCAGTAATGTGCCA